TTGTTCAAAACGCGTCTGCTGCATGGGGTGGTCATCCGGAGCACGCTCGGATTACATAACGCGCACGGTTTGCCTCCCTGCAACTGACTTCAAGTCTCGCATAAGGGGACTGGCCTCAAAATCCGCTTGCTAACCTACACGGATCTAAAGCTACCTTGCCGCAGGCCTGCTTCGGACACACGCGGCTGCGACCCGCATGTCCCCTTCAATTGAGTCTACGATGTGGGGACGCGGGTCTCCTCTGCGTTCCCAGGCCCCACAGAGTTTGGGGCAACCGAGCCGTTATGAGGACCCCACCCAGAACTTGAACTCTCTCCCCCTGAGATCTCACAATCCACGAAATCCTGTGGACTTGGTAAAGCTCGTATTAATACGTATTGTTGACTGTACACCGATTCACCGTTGAGGCAAATCAACGCATTGCTTTGAGTGTTTGTGTTATTGTTCTGCCGTTTCTTCGTGTTTGCGTTTCATCAGTCATTGTGATGACGAATGTTTGCCGCGTTCTTGCACAGCGCTCTGAGATGCTCGATGAAAGACCGTTCATAAAACAGAAATAGTATTACAGTATTATTCTTCCCAGCTATATACAATGTAGTCTTCGATAGTGGCGACTTAACATCGTGACATTTCACGGTGGGTTTTTTTTTAAGCTCAAGCCAAGCGTACGTGGTATACACAAAACAAATCCGTTCGTTCCGTGCCAACTGTGTGGCCGATTTACGGGACCCGCGGAAAGCTGTCGGGGCTCTCCTCGTGGCAGGCCCTGTCCGGTAAGGACCGGTCTCTCCCTCTCTTTCTGGGAGAGCCGAGGTCACAGTGGCTGGGTTTGACGACGATTTCCACACCGCTGGCGGCAAGGTCACGGGTTTGTTCGACGACTTCTCAAAGGGGGCGCCGGTGAGGGTCAGCCGCTGGCCAAGTAGAAAGGCGAGAGGGCACACAGTCGCGATGTGCGAGTGGTGTTTAGACTTTTGCAGGTGTGTGTGTGGCAGGTGTGTGTGTGTGGCAGGTGTGTGTGTGGGTGGGGAAGGTGTGTGTGTGTGGCAGGTGTGTGTGTGTGCCCTCTGGGTCTCATCAGCAGAATCGTCTCGTTAACAAATGCTGCTGCTGCTGTGGTGTTTGTCGGTGGTAAGGGGCGCTCTATGTACACGATGGACCACGTGGAGTAAGAATACCACAATCCCAACTACCACTGCAACCACCAACACCACCACGATCACCACGTCACACGGACAGGCATGGATCTCTACCACCGCCACAATCACAACTCAGACTGACCAGCACCAACACCAGCACCAACACCAGCACCAACACCAGCAACGCCACGAGGATCACGCCATTTAACACAAGTTTTGTTTTACTATCTCCACAACAAAGATAGCCTGAACAGGCTGTTGGGTCCAAGTGCTGTTAGCAATTAGCGCCTATGTAGCCCGGTACGGCACACGAGGGGGTGGGTGGCACCACGCCCGACCGCCTTTGTCTCCCCAGCGGCGATGTTTACACACCACACCAGGTACTCATTTGAGGCTGAGTCGACCTAGGGGAGGCCCGGGACCGGTTCAGATAATCGTCACCGGTGTTGGCCGTGAGCGGGAATCGAACTCGGGTCTCGTAGCGCAGCGTAGCGCGACACGACCGCTCCCACCCTCTCCACAACCACCACCAACAACCCAACCACCACCACCACCACTCCCCCACGAATCACCACAGCTCCAATGAACACTGCGATTAAGAAAATATATCACGCGCGTCCGTAATCGGACTTTTAGAAATCTGAGAGCGTTTCACCCCCCCCACCACCCGAGTCACGTTGTGCCCCCCCCACCACCTCCCCCCCCACCGAGTCACGTTGTGCCCCCCCCCCACCACCTCCCTCCCACCTCCCCCCCCCACCCGAGTCACGTTGTGCCCCCTCCACCACCTCCCCCCCACCTCCCCCCCCACCCTGTGTCACGTTGTGCCCCCCCACCACCTCCCCCCCCACCACCTCCCCCCCACCTCCCCCCCCACCCGAGTCACGTTGTGCCCCCCCCCACCACCTCCCCCCCCACCACCTCTCCCCCACCTCCCCCCCCCACCCGAGTCACGTTGTGCCCCCCCCCCCACCCTGTGTCACGTTGTGCCCCCCCCCCACCACCCCCCCCCCCCACCCTGTGTCACGTGGTGCCCCACTGGCACCGCCACATGACGACTCGGAGCGAGCGCGCGCCGCACGTTGAGGCTGGGGGGGGGGCTCCCGGGGTCAGCACGCGGCCTCGTGCGTGAGGCCGTGACGTCAATGGGCGATAATCCCCCCCCCCCCAAAACCTCCACCCCTCCCCCCGCGCGCGCACGGAGGGGGGCGGGGCGGGGTCGGGGGGGGAAGCGCTCGCGAGTTTCTCGACGTCCGTTGAGTCGCAGCGATGACTCCTCGTGATGCGGTGACATCGCTGCTGATGCTGCTGCGTTGTTTGGCAGTGGCGCACAAGTAACATCGACTCGGCACGTTCGTCTACAACAACAGTGTGTGGCTTGACAAGGGGAGGCCGATGTACGCGACGTTTCGCGGCAATGACCCTTCTGCGCGTCTTTCGCCACCGTGCGTTGCCAGAGTCGGAGCGTGCTCGACATTGAGACCCACGTTTTGTTTCTGGCTCTGCCATCGGGCGCGAGGAGAGAGACTTCCGAGTCTGGGACGTTGGCAGCAGAGAACGCGGCACGGCGGCACAGGCGGCGTGCAGTTCAAGGGAGAACTCAGTCGGTGGTGGGAGAGCTTCGATTCAGGAACACCTCCTGAACGAGTTGTTGAGACTTCGTGAAACCTCGCTGGCTAAACAGGGTTGGTGCTGCTGCTGCTGCGATGGAAGTGGCACACAAGCAGTCAACAACAGACTCAACACTTTCGTCAATAACGATTTTCTTCAGAAGGGCCATTGCCCGAAACGTCGCCTATTATATCATTTCCAGTTATATCGAGGGGTGTCTGTCCTGGTCCCGAGTCTCATCTGGACTCCGGCTGTCCCACCAACTATCCAATAAAGATCCCCCGTGTAGCCTTCACAGACTGCAGGGGCAAGTGCTGTTAGCGAGTCGCACCGCCTATGAAGGCCGACACGGCACACGAGAGGGTGGGTGGCCAGCACCACGCCCGGCCGCCTTTGTCTCCCTCAGCGACGATGTTTACACCGAACCGGGCGTTCATTTGAGGCCGAGTCTATCTAGGGGAGACCCAGGATCGGTGCAGATAATCGTCACCGGTGTTGGCCTTGAGCGGGAAATCGAAACTCGGGTCGCCGGGTTCGTTGCGCAGCGCGCTAACCGCTACACCACCCCCACACACAGACACACACCCCACACACACAGACACACACATACACACACCCCACACACACCCCACACACACACACCCCACACACACACCCACACACACACCCACACACACACACATACACACACCCCACACACACACCCCACGCACACAGACACACACACACCCCACACACACACCCCACACACACCCACACACACAGACACACACACACCCCACACACACACCCCACACACACCCCCCACACACATCCCCCACACACACCCCCCACACACACTCATACACACACACTGCCTCTACACACCCCACACACCCACACCCCACACACACCCCACACACCCACCCCACACAGACACACACACAGACACACACACAACAACAACAACAACCGCCATTCGCCACTAAGTGGCGGTGACGTCACCACGACGCTTGTGCCAGGCCATGTGCACCTTGAGGCCACGTGAAGTGTCTAACGCCCGCTGGCAGGAGGTCACGGGGCAGACCCAGGTGCCACGGGTCGACTAACTGAGATGACCGAGATGACTGGCTGATGCACCACCTGTGCCCCCTATTGTGCCAACTTGCTGTGCTTTAGCCACCCGGCGCTCCGCTCGTTGTTGTGAGCGTCGCTCCTCCGCCCTCCGTTGTTGTTGGAGGGCGACTGCCTCCAACTGCCCAGTAGCGTCCTTCACGAGCCTCCTCCACAGAGGCCGATTTTGACACCGCTGGTACCAGTCATCGGCAAGTCCACTCACCTCCACGTCCTCCTGTACCACATCACTCCATCTCTTCTCTAGCCCGTGCCGCGCCCGTTTAGCCCCCTCGATTCGGCCGAACAAAAGCTGTTTAGGCATGCGGTGGCTGGGCATGCGGGCTACATGACCCAGCCAACGCAGCCTTGCCTGCCGGAGGAGCTCACCGATGGGACTTTGCCCAGATCTTTAAAGAATTTGTGAGCTCCTCACACAATCCAGCCTGGTTAAACCCAGATGGATCGTAGGCAGGCCAGCCTAAATGTTTCCAACCGGCGAAGATGCTCCATTAGGGGGGTCCACGTTTCGCAAGCGTAGAGAAGGGAGGGAATGACTGTGGCCGAGAAGACCCGAAGCTTCGTGCGGAGCGACAGACCAGGCAGCTTCCACACAGCGTTACGCAACCGATGAAAAGATATCGCCGCTCGACTGATTCGGAGTGAGACCTCCGCTGCCAAACCAGAGCCGGTCATGAGCACACTGCCCAGGTATGGGGAACTCTCCACTCTCTCCACAACTGCCCCATCACCGATTGGGAGTTGTGGGGGTGGAGTGTCTGATGGTACAAAATACCCAGGCACCCACACAAACACTACCCACACACACACAAAGTACACTACACCCCCCACACACACACCACACACCCACACTACCCACACACACACTTACTGCCTCTACACACCCCCCCACACACACACCACACACACACCCACACACACACTACCCACACATACACCCCACACACACACACCCACACACCCACACACTGCCTCTACACACTACCCCCACACACACACACACCACACTACCTACACCCACACACCACACACTACCCACACACCCACACACTGCCTCGACACACACCACCAGCAGCAGCAGCAGCAGCCCAGTCTGAGGTCACTCCCCACCCTCTCTCTCTCTCTCGTCCCCGTGCCTCTGCCTGCTCCGCATGTCACCCTGCCTCTCCCCTCCTCTCTCATCCCGTGGCTCTGCCACTCCGTGTGGCGTCCCTCCCCCTACCTCCCCCCCCATGGCTCTCCCTGCTCCGCGTGTCTCCCCCCCCCCTCTCTCTCCCCGTGACTCTCCAGGCACACGTGTAGCGGGCACACGTGCGCGCTGCGTGCGTGCGTGCGAGGCCGTCGCGTGACCCCGCAAGCCGCGTGTCCTCGGCACCAATCAGTCCCCGGCAGACGAGGCCTTATCTCGCCCCCGCATCTCCCCTCCTGCCGCACACACGCACGGGCTCCGACTCCCTGAGCATCTCTCTCTCTCTGAGTGCGTGTGTGGGGTAACACTGCGAACGGCTTCTAAGTGCTGCTGCTGCTGCCGCTGCTGCTGATATAAAGTAGGAGTGGAGTGTCTTACAGTGTCTTGAGATCTAAGTTCAATTCGGCGGGTTCATTTTATTATTGTCATTCGTGTAATATATCACAGTCCATGCAGCGTCTCTAGGTTTGACGCTATAGCGCGTATTTGATCAATACTCAACGTTATTCTCACGTTCAACCGGATTTGTATTGGTAACAATGTATATACTAGCCAGGCTCGACTTCTGCTTAGCTTCCAGAGATAATCAGTAAGAAACTAACAACTGATTATATGTAATATCGTGTGACAGCAAGACACTGGCTCAGGCTATAGCACGTAGTTTACATCACACTAATAGCCTCACCTACAGCTTCTGTATTATAGGATTCTATCCATAGTATCTGTCGTATCCACGTTGTGCATCTGCCACTACCACGCGACTAAGGTAGCAGTGGATAGAGTCTGGCTTGTGTTGGCTGCCTTAGAAGGGGGAGGTGGCAGAGAGAGGAAGGAGGAGGAGGGGAGTTCAATAGCTGCGCATATCAAGTCGGTGTAGTGTAGACACACAGAGGCAGACACGCACAGTCAGTGCTCAGCCGGTGTGGGAGCACACACGTCCATCCTACAGAGACAAAGATCCCCCTTATAGCCCTCAAAAGACTTGGGACAAGTGCTGTCAACACACGCATACATCAACTCACGCTCGCACAACCAGGATCCCTCCCCGGCATAGCCTCACACGCGCACACACGCAGGCAGTGAGACGCAGTCGCTGTGTGCGTGCGGGTCTACACTTCGCACACACACAAGTCACGCGCTCGGCTCTCCTCCTGCCGCCTGCCTGCGATGGACCGCTGCCTGCTGAACATTCAGCCCAACCTGTGCTCTGCCATGGAGGACTACGAGCTCGAGAACAGGGACTTCTCTGGGTGAGCTGATGACCATCTCCTTCTGTCCCCACGAGACGACGACGGTGTCTACGGTATACTACTGCCGTATTGTCCCCATTGCAAGACGCACTCCCTCCTCCCCTCTGTACGCGCTAGGATGTTGACGTCTGCGTCTTGTGATCCGGTAGCTGCGTGTGCGCGAGTCGCCAGAGTTGCGTGACTTTAAGTGACACATGTCACACATTTGGGGTGCGTCTTACTTTCCGGAGCGTCTTATAATTCACGCAATACGGCCAAACGAAAGTCTGGTGATGCTGCTGCTGCTGCGTTGTCAGTTGTGCACAAGCACGGTACAAAAACTCTTTTAAGAAAAAATATCGTCAGCGACGTTTCGGGTAATGTCCCTTCTTTACACAATAATATAATGCTGTCTGCTGCTTGTTGTCGCGTCGGAGTGCTTCGTGTTGTGAGTCACGGTACTCTTGATAATCCACTGCTGGATGAAGGCCTCTGCCAACCTTATCCCAATCGTTTGCTGACGAGTGCCGTGAGGTCGTGGGAAACAGCTTCGGGAGATGCGAGGGGAACCTCACAGTCGAGGAGGCCAAGTTGGCCTCGGGAGAAATAACGAATCAAAGTTACAATAATTGGCAACGAGTTCGATCGGTGAGCTGTATACGCACGCGAGGAAGCTGGTTGTAATTCCTGGCGAAACGTCGTACTCAGATTGTAAATGTTGTGGCTTGGCTCTCCAACACACCGGTTAGTGCTGTACTAGTATACTACACTATACACTGCATTATACACTATACACTACACTACTATACACTACACTATACACTAGTGCTGTACTAGTGACGAATTGGCACGTTCTGTTTACGTAACGAACCTTATGAATTGGCTGTATCGGGTGGTGGCAGGTTTAACGACACATTTATATTTACGCAATCTAACCCCCTCCAAAAAGATACATGATGTATGTGGTACACGTTGGTTGTGTACAAAATAATAATAATGCATTGTGTCAACCCACTGATGGATGAATTCCACCCGCACGCCGTATCGGTCTTAGCGGTTGTTTGACCATACTTCACCACTGGGGGGGGGGGGGGGGGGTGTTAGGGGGTGTTAGTCAACATCTCTCATGACTTACATGGCAGCAGCTGATTGACGGACAGGGGGCTCAAGATTAATAATGTAACCCTCTGGTTGTGGCAATGGGCTGCAAGGTAAGTTGTGCAAGGAGAGTAGCGTGTGTGTGTGGTTATTTACCACCAATTACAGAGCAGTTTTTTGGTAAAAGGCCACTAAAAGATCACAATTACCTTTGTTTATCTCGTGCCAATTATGATCACGTGCCGAGAGTGCCAGCATGATCACGTGTCTACGGCGGTTAAGGTGACCGCATTGGGATGTTTACGCGACAGGAATTGCCAAATACTTGAAAATGGCCAAATACCATAAAAGTCGCATCTCGTCTAGACCACGTATTTATAAGATTAATAATCATGCAAATAATGTTCTTCGTAAAAATACAATACGATGATATTGGTACCGGGAAGTCTCAATGAGGGCATTCATTCATTCGGTGGTGGATTAGCAAACGGCTGCAAATGATCATGCCACATCACGACGGCAGAAGGGTGACCTCGTCGACGTAGCCACAGCAGGACCTCTCCTGCACGTGCTGGCCCCGGGGCAGGACATATTTCGTGGGTCCCCTACGCTGGTTGAAATTATCCAATGTCCGCTTGCCTTAAAAGCATATTTAAATGCATTTGTTTTTGTTAACCCTGTCCCTGCTGTTTATCGTAGAAAACTAAGCAATTCGAATTATTTCACCCGGCAACTAATCTTAGTAGATGGGACGGACCATGGTAAATGAGAATCTAGGCATTGGGAACAGCAGCTGACCAGGAGCGACCTTCGGAGTGTACAGCGAGGGGGCAGAAGGGCTTTGTTTTGCTGGCGTGGAGGACAGGTGAAAGGGAGATGATGAGTGGGACGATGAGAGGGGTGAGCGAGGGTTGGCGTGGTGGGTAATGATTCGGAGTGTCTGGTGTCTCGTTATGGGCCTTTTAAGCTTTTAGAGGCTTAAGGCAGCATCGGTGGCCCGGGGTTTTATCTCGAAATCCGCCAGACGGAGCCGCCGCGTGTCACGCCGTGGACACGTGCAGCCCGACTGGCCTCCGCTTGTCCTCAATTCCACCGTGGCGAGTGCCTACCCAGTGGCATTGAATAATAATGATAATTTACCTTCTTTTTTATCCAGCAAAGCCACGCTGAGTCGTATAGGACTCTTTTTCAGGAAGGTTCTGCTGCTGCTACATTGGGTTTTTATCTTGGGATTTTTTTTTGCCAATTTGCGAGCTTTGATTTAAAGCTTTCGTGGCTGCAGGGTTCTTTCGGTAAAGTCACGCAGAAGGGAAATAATAAGAATATAATGTGAGCTGTTTATACGAGTGGGAGGAAACCAGAGAAACCCCACACTCTGCGTGAGGGGGAAACACTATCCCCATACAGACGGAAACAGATGGCGATTAGTCCACTTGATGTTCTGCCTTCTGCTGGCGAGCCAAGAGAATAGCTCGTCCTGGACACCGACGGGAAGGGAGTTTCACAACATCAGTGTTGAATCCACAAACCCTCGCTGCTTCCTCCACATGGCCGGGTTACAGGCAGCCACGTGCAGCAGCGTAGCCACCACCACCACCTGGTTGGGGTCCCAGTCATTAACATCGTCATCATCAGTCACCATCAATCCACTGCTGGATGAGAGCCTCCCCAAGCCACCGCTGCCATCTCTTACGATTCGATCCTGCGGAGTAACAATCCGCACAGCACCTGAGCATGAGCTGCTTTTATCCGCTCCATCTCCCTCGGTTGACCATCCCCTCGCATCCATTGCATCCCTTGGCTACCATTCCATTGTTACTCTCGACCATCGGGCCTTCGCCACTCCTTATAGCCGCGGCGAGTCCTGGCCAGGCCCATGTCGCTCTCCTCTTGGTATTCTTATAATTGATATTTACATGTGAATCTGCTTATTAAACACACGTGTGGTTCGTCAATGACACTGCCTGGCCGTAGAGAGGAACAGAACAATGAGCCGACTTCACCGAGTCCTGCCAGTCGTCCCAGCTCCAGGCAGAAGGTCACCCAGAGACTTGCAGCTTCCCTTCATAGATGCTGTCGCTGCTGATGCTGTCGCTGCTGCTGATGATGCTGATGCTGATGATGCTGCTGATGTTGTTGTTGCGAGTGGCGCGTGATGCTGCAGAGCGGTCAGCGTCCAAAAATAACAGCGACCCCCCCCCCCGCGGCCCCCCACGATACCCCCCCCCCCGCCACCTCTTCACGGAGTCCACACTAACCCCGTGGAACTCTCAACGAGTTTACTAAACTAGTAGTTTTGTTGTTCCAGCTAAGGCCATGGATGGACATGCAGCTCATATTTAAAGACGTATCCATCGGAAACCGCTCAATTTAAAGATTCCGTTCTTTTTTTATGAGAAAGGACAATAATTAATTATCTTCTTGGTTCTTTCGGTAAAGTCACGTAGAAGGGAAGTAATAAAATAATAAAAATAAAACATAATAAAATTATTCTCACGACGTTTCGGCCACAACGCAAGCAGCCGTCATTCAGACTGTCGCCTCGACGGACCTGGTTTTCACCTGAGGACGGCTGCTTGCGTTGTGGCCGAAACGTCGTGAGAATAATTTTATTATGTTTTATTTTTATTATTTTATTACTTCCCTTCTACGTGACTTTACCGAAAGAACCAAGAAGATGAATCCCTGCAGTCACGAAAGCTTTAAATCAAATAATTAATTAACTTTATACTCTATGACGGGAAGCTCCTATCTTTTACAGTTTTAGAATGATTCAGATTTCAACGTGAAAAAATACGTATTTATTCGATCAAAACCGTTTGAACCCGAAATATCTAAAATACATATATAGAATGGTTGTCGCTTTAATTGTAAATGCTGTCTAATGCTTTATCAAACGAAAACAACAGCAATTTACACTTTGAAGGGTTTCTTAATGAAGCACACAAACACGTTCACGGGGCACTTTCAATCGAGATTTGGGAGCCTTGAACATGAAACATCTCGGATTTTCTGATGTCCCTGTTGTGTGTGTCCTCGAAGCTACCCACGTACCAAACTTCAGCTTTCTATCGTGTCGGGATGTACCTCTGTGTATCGCTATGTATCTCTGTGTATCTCTATGTATCTCTGTGTATCTCTATGTATCTCTGTGTATCTCTATGTATCTCTGTGTATCTCTATGTACGTCTATGTACGTCTATGTATCTCTATGTATCTCTGGGTATCTCTATTTATGTATATGTATGTCTATGTATCTCTGTGTATCTCTGTGTATGTCTATGTATATCTCTGTATGTCTGTGTATTTCTGAGTACCTGTGTATCTCTATGTATCTCTGTGTATCTCTATGTATATCTGTGTATCTCTGAGTATCTCTGAGTCTGTGCGCACTGGGGCCACCCCCACCCCCACGCGGCGTCACGCGAGGCGAGCACGCGCCTCGGGGCACGCGCCGCGTGTCAGCAGCAGCAGCGGCAGCGGCGTCATCAGCCGGAGCACGTGCACGCGCGCGTGACGGCAGCCGCGTGCGGGCGAGGGGGGAGGGTGGCAGCGGGATAGGTTCAGTGGGGGGTGGATGACGGGGGGGAATGGTGGGGGGGTTGGATGGTTGGTGGATGATGATGATGACGGTGGCGGTGGTGAACCAGAGGCTGGGGTGGGTAAGGGGAGGAAGAGGGCAGGTGACGGGCGGGTCAGCGTGGGAAGGACTGTTGCGCAGCGAGTGGGGGAGGAGGAGAGACCGTTTGTGGTGCTGGTGGTGGTGGTGTTGATGACAAGGGAGTTGTTGGCAAGAGGGTGGTGGTGGTGGTGGGCGGTAGAGGCTCTGGGCGCAGTCGATGAGGCCACGCTGGGGCACGCGTCTGGCTTGGCCGAGCGCGTGTCTATTGATAGGCAGCACACCGCGTGAGCGGGCGTGGAGGGCGATTGGCTGTCAGCCCTCAGCCACCGTCTCGCCGCCCTGGAGCATCTCGCACGCAGCGGGGGCTTCTCCGTCGGCTTGGAACGCCGCACCCCGCCGGGAGGGCGGACGACTTTGGCTCACCTTGCCCCCCCACCTCAATCCGCCCGAATTAATTTCCACGCGGCCCAGCGGTCGGGGAACTCGCCCGCTTGTTGTTGTTGTTGCGGAGCTTCGCGGTTCGACTCCGGCAGGCCGCCCCGGTGAATACTGCGGCGGTGTGGGATTTTAACCGCGTGACAAAATGAAATAAGCGCCGGCACGCCGCACGCGGTGGACGTTAAAGATCCCGGTGGCGTCGTTGGCAAGAGGTGCCGCCGTCCGGCGTCACTGTTCCAAATGACACCGCCAATGACTCTGTTTGGGAGTAGACGTCGCAAATATTGCCGCCTCTACCCCCCCCCCCCACCCCGCGACTGTGAAAACTTGGCAGGACCCTCCTGAAAAAGAGTCATGAGACTCGGTGAGGCTTTCCTGGGTAAGCAAACTAATTAAATAAATAACCACAGCCCACAGTCACGAGGCGACTTTCCACTGCGACTCAGCCCGCAGGCGACACGTGACCGCCACCGTCTTAGCGGCACTAATCGGGCACGAGAGGGCGGAATATTTCCAACTGGCAGCACCAGTCGTGTGTTTATAAATTCATCGCTTGGAGCTTCTTTAGCACGCGGAGCGAAACGTCGGACAACATGCCGAACAACACGTGGTGCAACCTGAATATGGTGATAGCAATGCTGATGACGAAAACTGGAATAAAAACTGTGATGTTGTCTGTCTTTTCAGGTTGCATTACTCAGGCCTCATCGTCGGCCAAGCTCGGCGGGGGTTGAGAAGAGGATCAGAAGACCTGCAGGTGCGTGACTGAGCACACCTGGACACCCACACACAAGACAAAGATTCCCCCCCCTATATAGCCTTCAGAGACTGTTGGGGCAAGTGCTGTTAGCGAGCACCTATGAAGGCCGACAAGGCACACGAGGGGGTGGGTGGCCAGAATCATGCCCGGCTGCCTTAGTCTCCCTAGTGGTGATGTTTACACAATGTACCATGAACTCATTTGAGGCCCAGGACCAGTTATAATCATAATCGTCACTGGTGTTGGCCGTCAGTGAGAATTGAACATGGGGCACCGGAATCACACACAACAACCGCCATTCGCCACCAAGTGCCAGTGACGTCACCACGGCGCTCGTGCTAGGCGAAGTGCACTTTTAGGCCACGTGAAGTGTCAAACGCCCGCTGGCAGGTCACGGGACAGACCCAGGTACCACCGCGGAGTTGACCGATGTTGAGATGGCTGGCAGACGCACCACCGCCGTGCTGACGGCGCCCCACGTTGTCTCCCCCTCCCAGGACCTCTACAAGCTGCCGCACCGCCTCATCGAGAAGAAGCGGCGCGACCGCATCAACGAGTGCATCTCCCAGCTCAAGGAGCTCCTCCCCGACCACCTGAAGCAGACGGTGAGAGAGCGGTCACGGCAGCGGGAAATTCCGTCTCCTCCGCGCTCACGCTGCCAGCGAGCGCCTGCGCCGCGAGGCTGCAGCCGGGACGCTCCGTCGATTGCGTCGATTAATCGGCCACAAAAAAATATGAATTCCGAAAGAAACCCTGGAGTGCTACGCCGTTAAGTTATCGAGCTTGGAGGGAAGTTGTGCCGAGTCGAACCCGAGCTAGGAATTGACCCCGTGCGCTGCTGATCGCGGGTCAAGCGGCTTCACCGTGCCGCAGAGCCCACCACGGGCCCATGTCATGGACTGAGTGGTTTGTTCTGGGGTTTTTTTTCTAAATGACGTTTAATAATACTGCACGGGATGAGCAGACCTCAGGCTTCTCTGTTGGGCTGTGCGGCCACCACGTGATCACCATCACGTAATCACCTTGTACACTGGGAGCAATACCGCGCTCTGTGCACTCCTTGCGATTCGCGTCGTAAAAAAACATTTGTTGGCCATGGTGTTTTTTTCCCCACCTGGATCCAAGTCATTCACAGCTCGCCAGCAATACCACAAGTCCTCTATTCCTTTCGGTCGAAACTAACCGTTGCTCCCGAGATGAAAACTAACTCAAGCGAGAGCTGTGACCAACAAATTACGTTTCTTATTTCTCAGCGTCGTATAAAAGCGCAGGGTTTTTTAACGTTCTGTCTGTGACCGCCGTGCGTGTGCAGACCCTGGGCCACCTGGAGAAGGCGGTGGTGCTGGAGCTCACGCTCAAGTACATGCAGGAGCTGCACGCGCTCGCCGAGCAGCAGCGCCAGCGCATCCACTCCCTGCAGCACGGAGCCGGCGCCGGCCCCACCGGTGGGTACCGGGGCGGGAGACCGCACGGCGCTCTGTTAACTCGCGGCAGGCTAGCGAGGGCCATTAAGGCCACGTTGGCGCACTCATAACCCGCTTCCACTTGCACAACGGAGCCGAACGATCGTGGGGCCCTCGCGGCGTACGGATGGTTTTTTCACTGGTTCTACGTTCGGTTCAGCAAAAACCCAGTCTGTGAAACTCTGGCCTCATGATAAATCTGCATCCAAAGCTGGCCAGAGGCGGTATTAATCATTTTAATGGCGTGTAGCGACCCACTCGTCGCGTACGACAGAAGTAGCACAGCCCAAATTCTGAGCGGAAAATCTAATAATTTGGTGCCTCCTGAGCCGGGCCGAGCCGACTCAGCACGGCTCAGCACGGCCTGCAGTACGAGGAGCGTTTCAGCGCAGTGGCAGGGGTGCCAATCACAGCCGCACCATTTTTCTTCGCTGCGACCGAAACGTCTCACTCCTCGATAAGAAAACATGCCACCGCACCTCCACTGGTCACGCGGCTAACATCAACGTTCGTCTTTCTCGTTCCCGCAGCAGCGTCTGCCGTGAACAAGCAGGCGAGCGGCGTGGAGCAGGGCGACTCGTTCAAGCAGGGCAACTCGTTCAAGCTGGGCTTCCACGCCTGCATGAAGCAGACGCTGAGCTACCTGCAGCAGCACGAGCGGTGCGGCGCGCGCGACGACCGCTACTCCCGCCTGCTGCAGCACCTCCAGAGCAAGGCGAGCTCGCTTGGCCTGGCCGCCTCTTCCGGCGACGTCAAAGACGAGGACGTGGGCAACTGCGTCTCCGTCATCCAGCGCAACCGCTCGGCCGAGGACCTCGACGGCGACGGCACCGAGCCGAAGCGGCGGGAGGGCGGCGCGAGGCGCCCCAAAGCCATCGACGCCGACACCGCCGCCGCCGCCGGCGACGACGAGACGGACGAACCGCAGAGGAAGAAAATCAAGGTGGAGCCGGGCGAGCAGCAGCCACCGCCGCCGCCACGATCCGCCGGCGCAGCGCCGCAGGTGCCGCCCTTCTGCGTGCCGCTCTACTTCTTCCCGTCGCCGTCGGGAGAGGCGGCCTCGGTCGCCGCGGCCTACCTGCCGATGCTGGATCCCTCGGCGCTCGCCGGCAAGAAGGGCTGGTACCCGGGGCCCATGCCGTTCTTCTGCCCCGGTTTCTCCGTGCCGACGACGGTGCCGCCGCAGGGCACCGCCGCAGATTGCTTCGGGCCCCTCACGCCCACGAGCCGGGGAGACGAGACGCCCGACAATAAGTCAGACTGGCTCGGCAGCCGTTCGGCCTCGCCAGATTCGGAGGACAACTCGATCGAGTAGTGCCGCAGCACCGCTGGTTCTTAGGACTCGTGGTGACAGCGGTGGCGGTGTCGTCCAAGGAGAAGTTTCCAATAGCGTAGAAAAGCGGAGATAAAAGAAAAAAATCCAAATTGCTTTGCTTTTGGCAAATCTTTTTCTTCAATAATCAAGCTGCGACTCTCAAATGGACAAAACGATGGTTTGTGGATCAGGCCCATGCTTTGGTGAGCCGGGACACGATTAAGATTTTCTTCGCGCACCAAAATACAGAGTCCCGGTTGTGCCTTGGTGGCCGTGTCATGCGGAACGTGGGCCCAAGTGATTGTGAACCCCCTGAATGTGGTCTTGCGTCTTGCTCGGGGATGTAAATATTGCGATGGCGAGTGGTTTTCGACGAAAGATGTTTTCCATGTTTTTTGTGCTCGAAGGTTTACATGTGGTACGTTTAGCACGAGCGGGCAGGCATCCAACAGTACAGCCGTTTAAATGACGTGTAAAATGTGAACAGGATGTTTGTTTTAAACCTTTTTAGATATTACATAGGTGCTCGACTCTGTACTGTAAATGCTCTACTTTTTTGTAGAGAATTCCATATTTTGCAGGCGAGCGCGAGGCCGCAGCAGCAGCAGCACAGCTCACACACACGAGCCAGCGTGCATCACCCTGCGCTTGTGCTCGCCTGTCACCGTACTCTGATGTTTATTTAATACGATTTGATTTTTTTTAACCGTTTCGTTCGGGGAAAAAAAGTGTGCAGGATCGCACGATGTTGTCACAGTGCCTTGGATTAAAGAGGCAAGTTCATCTGGAAACAAAGTTCGTTTTTATTGCACAACACTGATTTCAGACTTTTCCTTCGGTGTTCGCGGTCGCACTGCACAGCACGTGGAGCGAAACATCGGACACCGTGCACGGCACAATCCGAAACACACCGGAGAGGATTTCACTTGGTGGTCAAATCAGAAGGGGTGGATGTTTAATCCGACAGCGGATAACTCTGCGTGCTTGCTCGGAAAGCTTCTGGAAAATTTGACCAGGGGGGATTATACTTAAATAGATACGTTTTTAAATAGTTAATATCGATGTAAGCAATTCTATACAAGCAACAAATAAATAAAACGTAAACCACTGCTTACGCACACAACAACAATCACCTACAACAGTTAAATACTAGTAATGTTTTACACATATTTTAGTTGTCAAATTCACTATTTAAATACACCACATAAGCTCGGGTCAAACTGACCCACGAGTAACAGCTTCCCCAACAAGCCTTGTATCTGTTTACCACAACGCTCACACGCACACACGCACACACGCATGCCACAGATTTACAGTGCTTGCTTGTTAAAATCCTAGAGAGCAGCGAGAAGTATATTTGATTTTGAAGTAATTCGATTTCAAAACGCGGTTCATCCTGTGCCCAAAGGTAGCTCAACAACCGTCAATCTTTCAGCTCTGCAAACACGGCGCCAGCCACGTCGAAAGACAGAAGAACGGCAGCAGTCATTTGTACATGCACACAAGTCTTGTTGGAATAGCGATAACGACGGGGAATGCATCGTGACATAACACAAGGACAGACACGTGGAGGGGGAGAGTCAGCACGAGTGTGACTCGTGGTCATCACCTGCGACAAGTGGATTGATAAGGCCGTGTTGTTGTCATCGAGCGTGGCCAATCCACTGCTGGATGAAGCCCTCCCCAAGCCGCCGCCGCTCCTCATCTTGCTGGGTAACACCTCACAGCTCCATCTCCAACACGTTCCGTTCTATTACGTAAAGAATAAACTTCTTAACATCAGAGCTTCTCCATCTCTAATCCTCACGACTCAATCCGTCTTCCGGAGTGTATCAACCCGAGGCTGGGTGAAGGTCTTAACCACACTGTGCTGAACATGGGTGTTGTTTGACCACGTTGTACTTAACTACACCGGTCAGTGAAGGGTGGTGGACCCAGGACCAGTTCAGGTATCACTCGCCACTCATTGCGAGCCGTGGCCAGGAATCGTATTTAGGCCCATGGGTCTGCCGTGCAGTGCACCAACCACCGCACCACCGCTCCTGCCCCCTCCACGTGATCGACCTGTTCACGTGCAACTGTCATTTCCACCTGCCCGACGATTGCTCAACCCAGAACTGTTTCCCCTGAAGATACACCTCCTGTGTGTGTACGCGTGCCGCACGTGCGACACACAGGACCGATTCAAATTAAGATGACGATCTTTGCACGTGTGTGGGGGGTGGCCGTGTGTCTAAAATGATGCAGGAGTGCCAAATTAAACTGAGATAAGAGATCTGGTCTGATCCACCGTTATCCTATTCATTCAATTGAATCGGCACTCTCTCCATCGTACGTGAACACACAAGGTCTCCAGCCACCTTCATTCAAATCGGCTCTCTACGTCACGTGGGGCACAGTCGGCAATCGTTAGGTCACGAGTTTCACGTAACCACCTATTCTGCCTTTTAATGGAGGTGAAAATTGGTAAAAGTGAAAAGGTGTAACGACCACGGCGGGGCCCGGGGAATTGATTGCAAAACAAACCCTGCATCTGTCTTCAGCCTCTCAGTGTCCATGAATTTGCCTGAGAACGAATCCATTCAATTTGCTACCTCCGAGTTGGGCCTGTACATCGCACGTCGCACCGTTGGACTGCAGCGTGCACAAGGGGTAGGGGGGGCTGAGCGTGAGTTGCCCTCGCCGGGTCTGTCCTTGCTTGGCTCACACCCAACAGGAACGGGGATGGGGTTTAAAAAATAAAAAATAAACACAGGGCATCCGGTGCTTTTGGCGTAGCACACAGTTGCTGAAATGTGACATGCATGACTCCACGAAACAGGTACACCCACAGCACCGACCACGGAGTGTGCAATAATAACAAGGTTTACAGGAAACGACACTAAATTGTAAACAGCTGTTATGGATACGTGGCAAAGGCTGCAATGTCCCTAATGAGACAATTACTGTCGATCCAACAAAGAAGCCACCTGGCTCCCGCGTGGTGTCGCGACAGCACTGCGGGAGCTACAACTGCCTTCTTCCTCCGCGAATGCGGAATCATGGCCCAATTGTGACTGGCGCAAAGTGAATTCTAGTGCTGTGGGTCCCCGTATGAGTCAGTCTGTCCAGCTGGCTTCAACCTGCCACACGGTCAGTGGGCCTTGTTGAACAGGTTCCACATAGGGCAAGAACTCTGCACAGCCAACCTCCACCACTGAGATCTTTATGATAAACCAAACAGCAGCTGTGACTAAGTTCAGCGGAGGTCTCCAAGAGATCCACAAGTGGCCACTGAGGATGCTACCGCATGGCTCGGCGATTGTGCACAATGCTGAGTGAATGGGTCTAACGCGAGTGTATGGGACTCCCGAGTTTGTGGGTCTCCGTGTGAGCCTAGTCTATGGGAGTCGAGCTGCGATCGCGTTGATGTGCAAACTGTTGCAGACATCACCGACCATTGTCCAACGGTAAACGCTCATGCAAGATGTGCAAACAGAATCCATCTGGTGACCCCAGACGCCAGACTCGTACACAGTTCTCAACTCGGTCTGTCGCAGTTCAAGTGCCGTACAAAATAACGTCAGAAAACGACCCCATTATAGCAATAAATAACAATTGAAATAAATACATGTTAGCAGCCAATTTATGTTATACCAGGTACCTTTAAGCACACTTTTCAGAAACACACCCAGACTAACATCACTGTCCAGTGCGTCATTAGAGCAGTGCATGAGTTACATTTCTGCCACGCGTTTCATACGTCAGTGTCAAGATGTAAATAAAAAAAAAATAACAAAGTGTAGTTTTGTAGTGTGGTCGTTCATGCAAATCGCATCTCACTATCACTGAGGAACCAGACAGGTGGGAAGACCGCAGCCAGGTGGTGAGATGGCGGCAACGTCACTGGCGCGCTATGGCAAGCGTGCTTCACCATAACGTGAGTGGACTTTAAACTCCACGCTCTATCGGATGACCCTGGACACATAGGCCGAGGTCATGTACAAACAGGGTATAAGAGCGACCTGGTTTTTGGGTTGTGTATACCTTTTAAAACCAGATGGGATGTCCAGTCAGGATTCACGTACATTTACAAAAGGAATGGATGACGCAAATTCGAACCCTCACGTCTCACGGGCAGAGCTGCCCGCGACGACCTTCGCAAGCGGGAAATAAGAAATAAAGCCCGGCGGCATGCGACTGTAGAGAGAAGGTAACAACATTGCACGTGACTTACGTAACCAATTCTCTAGCACGCATCATGGGAACGAGGATCCGGCGCAGTCAGAAAAACCTGCGCCACGCCCCAACGGAACGACACGGAGCCCACTCAAAGCTGACAAGCCGACGAGCCAGAGGTGGGAAACCTAGAGCCGGCGACTTAATTTCGCTTGACGCAACGGCCACATGAGATCTACCAAGCACCTTGTGGGGGCAGAATATTTTTGACCCGGTAATTTTTTGGTGTGCTCAGACATTACAGTGTGTTAGGATTTGGCCAGCCAGAGGTATTGAACATCCAATTTAGCTCTCTGTAAGGAAAGCTTGGTATTTGCGCAATTCTCATAGCACAAAGGCTATCGGGAAGACGCTATGTTTACGCCTTGTAAGCTTTACAGAACATTTCCAACTATGGATTGCCCACCTCTGCTTTAAACAAGGACGGTGCGGTGAAGAGCAGGAAAGAAGAGGAAACGGAGACGAAAAGAGGGAACGGGAAAGCCCCTACTGCTGCCGATGTCTCCTCTCGTGTCTTCGTCGTTCAGTCGGTCTGCGGCACAGAGATGGTGGGCCCCTTGGGGTCGTCGAAGCGGTCCATGGTCTTGAGCTGCAGCACCATGTGCACGCCGTAGGTGAGCACCAGCAGCAGGATGAAGCCCACCACCAGGCCCATCCACACGGCTGGCGTGAAGAAGGAGGCGCAGTCGCTCGCGTACGCGAACTTCCCATCGCGTACGTTAAAGGCCTGGATCTGGTGGGGGGGGGGGGGGGGGTTCGTGGTCAGGGTTGGGGTCAGAGAAGGGAGGTCAAGCCGATGTAGATGCAGAGCAACAACTACAATTTCACATTCTGGCGTGACAACCTGAATGTGAAAGAAGAAGATTGCTCTGCCGATTTATCGGTTCCATCGCTCGCCTCTCCTTACTCTCCCAACTACGTCGTCGTCACCTTCTGACATCGCAACCAGTGCCGGACGACGCAGCATCGCCGGAAACACCTCTCACCTGGAAGTCCTTGAGGGACACGTGAACGTGCGCGGAGATTGGTGACACGGGCACGAGGCGGGCGCCCGAGTCGGGGCTGGTGCTCACGACCTGGCAGCGGTACGAATATATCGCCGGCGCGTACACGGAGCTGACGTTGAACTCGGCGCCGGCGGCACCGGCGCTGCTGTTGGCATAGGCGACCGCCACCTTGTCAAGCGTAAACCAGCGCTCGGCCGACACCGGGTACAGGCGGTTGGACATGGAGAACCTGCGGCACCAACGACAACGCTGTTCAAGGGCGGTTGTGCCAAGTCCAGTTGGTCCTTTTCTTACATGCACATGGGGTACAATACGGTGCGCCGCTCGCTGCAAGGAGTTCCAAATGAAACTTTTTTGACTTAAGACAACACGGCAACGATAGCGAGCATGACAGAAACTATGGCACAAAATATATTTTTCCTTTTAATTAAAATGTCTTGGGATTTTCCTCCCAGTTTTATCCCGATTGCTCTATCACATCGTAAGAAGGAGCATCCATTTGACATTCATGCAGACATTTTTTTTTCAATAACAATTGCAGCAACTCCATGCCAGCATGAGTGCCCACCTGATGGTTAATCTCTGGACCGGCAGAGTGGGGGTCCTACTCTTGGAGAACTGCAAAGACAGCCTGAAAGAAAGAATGACCGCAAAAAACTTGTCAGCGTGGGTCCTCTTGTGTGGCAGCGTTAAAGCGACAGAAGGCATTTTTTTTATCAAGGTCCTTTGTCATTTTGTGATGCACAAGTGAATTAATTGAGTGGCATTTGTTAATATTTGTCCATTTCCCCCAGTTTTATCCCAATAGTGCTAGGGGTCACGTCATCCTTTTATAACCCTCACAGCGCAGTGTGACCCTTCGTGTAAGTGGACGGCCCACATACGTGGATACCACAGAGCTACCTCTAAGAGCCCCACAAGTGACCTCTGGTCCCTACATTAGGTGCATCACTTTTCCACCTGCCCTACCACGGTTCGTCACATTGGAGTAAAACCTATAACCGTTCATTCTTAGGACTGCAATTTATCCAAATTAAGTGCAGAACCAAATTTAACTTGGCTAAATTACACGTGAACCCAGGATCTCAGCAGTGCCAGCTCATCACTCTGACCTGTGAGCCACTCGCCTTGCATGTTTTATTATTATTATCAACAAAGGTTAAAGGGGTTCATGCATTCTCTTCATTCTTCTGCCGCCAACAGGGGGGCACGACAACTCTTGTAAAGATTATGCAGTGTGAACATTTTTTGTTGTAGTATTTAAGACCGGAAGCAGGTGAATTGCTTCACTATTCATGGAAAATCGCCCGATGATGCTGGTTGATGTAATTACCAGCGAAACGTCGTACTACTCAAATTGTAAATGTTGTGGATTTACTCTCCAACACACCAGTGGGCTGAGGTAGTAACTAATTGATTACGTGACAAACCTTACTGGCTGTGTCGGGTGTTGGAAGGTTACGACACATTTATACTTACGTGATCTAACCCAAAAACCTTTATTATGAATAATATTAGTCGTAAAAGCCTAAGTGTTAAACTGACTTTTTTGAGAGTGTAACAAAATCCCTGCATACGTGTGATTCGTTGTGTGGTGTTTTAGTTTATGTTGCTGTTCGAGGTGACTCACGTGGCGTTGTCGGGCGAGCAGCTCGAGGCGCTTGTGTCCACCTGCTCACTAAACGTGGCCTCCGTGGCATCGTAGCTGACCTGGCCGATGCGCAGCATGACGCGCGATGCCCACATGAATATGCAGTCGCTCGTCTTGTTCCTGAACGTCACCGGCGGGTACAGGCCCACCCCCACCGCCGCCGTTGACGGCGCCGATGACGCCGACGATTCCGCCTGCATCAGCTTCCTGCCGGTGCCAGCAGCGGCCTGGTAAATCTCGCGGATGACCTGCGCGTGAGCGCAGCTACGTTAGAGGTGCGATGAATCAGACCCTCTGCAGTATCAATAACGAGTTTTTGAGCAACCCGGCTTTAGTTTCGAGGCAAGGGTTGGTGGTTCACTGAGATTTGGTTCGCTCCCAACACCCAAATACGCAATGCAGCAACTGCGTTAATGAAGGTTGGTAACACTATGAGATCTCTTTCACCAGTGGCAAAATATAGTAGTAGGTTTTTACCCTTTTAAACTGGTACAAAACTGACACCTTTATTCAAGGCATCATGTTTGCAATAACCACAACACAAGTAGTCAAAAAAGCAAACAAAAAGAAGCAACTCTGATAATGATAATAATATGCAATGTCCTTGAAGTTGATTGGTCCACACCCGAGACGGCTTTCTTTAGAGCCTAGTCCCCATTGGTGTTGGACCAGATGACACCAGAAGGCGTACAACTCAAACACAGTGCAATATCAGAGTCTTGAGAGCTCGGGGTAAGCATTTACACTATGAGATCTCTTTTACCAGTGGCAAAATATAGTAGTAGGTTTTTACCCTTTTAAACTGGACCAATCAACTTCAAGGACAGTGCATATTATTATCATTATCAGAGTTGCTTCTTTTTGTTTGCTTTTTGGACTACTTGTGTTGTGGTTATTGCAAACATGATGCCTTGAATAAAGGTGTCAGTTTTGTACCAGTTTAAAAGGGTAGAAACCTACTACTGAAGGTTGGTGAGACAAGGCAAGCTGAACCATGGCAGGGCACATGCAATGGGAGTTACGTGCGGGAACTACGGCCTAACGGGCGACGTTTTGCGAGATGGTCACTCACCCGAGAAGGCCTTGATGCTGTGTAAATTGCAGTAAAGGGAAATCCGCTTTTGTTCAGTTGCTCGGTGACTTCTCTGATGATTTCATCTGCAGAGGGAGGAGACGTAAAAAGGTTAACGTGTGCCCCAAACAAACCGAAAGCTGACAAGTGTGCAGAGAAGCGCGCAGAGTTACACTGAGAATGTACAGATCAGCTAACAAATGCAAATAGTACACGCTATCTCGACCGTACAGACACGTAAGTGAGCTGAAGGAGGACACATCACTAGAAAAGATGATGGCCAATGATACAATGGTGATACAATCGCAGCCAAGGAGAGAACCACCACCACCACAGGGATCAACAGACGACATTAGTTCGTCTACACAAGCAAGACAGAGCGTGTCATTGAGACAGAGATGGAGTGGGCAGGCTTTCGACACAGAGTGGATCAATGATGTCTGATGATAATAAAACATTTTTACTTGTGATTCACCATAGGAACGGGAGTAAAGTCAAGGATAAAATGTATTGAAACAGAGCGAATAGCAAAGGAAAGGGATGTTGGGACGAAAGTCCCCAAGACAAGGAAGGCATGGCTCAAGATGGGCAGCAGGAAGGAGCACTGGGCAGGAAGGGGAGGAGGCAGAGAAGGACTGACCGGGCCAAGATGTTGGGGATGATGAGAGGGTGATGATAATAGGGGAGGGAAGAAGACAGGGAGCGAGAGAGAAGGAGCGAGCAGAAATGAGCTGCACAGAGCGGTGTCTGTTTTCACAGGGAGCAGCGGGGAGACCGGAGGGATTCAGAGTGGCGTTGACCACACAGAAGTCACTTGGCTTACAAGAGGCTTGAGCGGATTTAGAGACACAGAGAGTGATGATTACAGATATTTGTTAAACGTATACATTTTACGTACCGTTTCTCTCCAAGGCCTCTTTGGGCGACGACACGTCAGGGCTGGTAAAGCAAAGGGAACAAACCATCATCCACTGCAGCTTGAAACTCCTAAGATCACCACGGTTGTCTTTCCTTTGCCTTTCCCCCCACATGTATTCCGATTGTACTATAGTTGTTGCGAAACAAAGAATCCATTTAGAACCATTGCAAAACAGTGCACCATTTGTTTTAGAGAACAGCCCACTGAAGTGGATATTACAGAGCTACCTATGGGATCCCTTCAAGTGGCCTCCGGTCCATGCAGCAGAGAGCACCACTTTCTCATTTGCTCTGTCTGTGAGTAATGTTCATTGCATGACAGCCATAAAAGTACGAGACATAATTTTGTACATTTGGCATTTGCACTGTTCTTATTTATAGATCAAGGCAATCACGAAAAGCATTATATTTCACAGACGGGTACAATCTGCCATTATGGAGAGACGTTGCTATGTGGTTTACCCAATTATGAAATTCTAGTGAAATTTGTTTTTACTCGCAAACTCTGGGTATGAATAACAAAACAAAAAAATACTCAGAGAAGCGGTCATGACCACACATTAGGGAAACCCGGGCCCTGACTTAAACGGACAAACAAATTCGGCCCAACAGTGCAGGGCAGGGACGGGCTGCACCTGCTTGTGCGAGGCAGGTTGACGAGCAGCAAGTTGGGCCGCGTGGGGTCCAGGATGGGCTCCTGCGAAGGCGAGCGCCCCAGTCTCAGCTCCCGGACACTGCGTCCGGCCGCGAGCCGGTCGCGTAAGAACGCCGGAAGGTTCCCGGCCGAGCGCCAGTCGACTGACGGAAGCACCAGGGAGGACGGAGCCGATGCCAGAGCTCTCTGCGACACAGCCGCGCGAGCAGTATGTAACGTGTAAGTCCCCCCCCATCCCGAGTCTCACCTCCCTACCACCTCACTTCACCAACCAGGACTGATCGGCGTGGTGCAACATTGGGTCAAACTCCCCCCCCCCCCCCCCGTTGCTGACACAGAGTGTGCAGACATATGTCAAACAAGGAACTGAGAAAGGGCTGAAAATATCATCGCATCACCATCATCATCACCTTCAAAATGACAAGATGGATCTCAATTAAAAATATCACAAAACTAATTTGTAGATGTACAGAATAAGTTATGAAGCAATTGTCCTTTATAAAAAGACAAACATGCATTGGGTTTGAAACATGCGTTCTGCTTCACAGCCTTAGAAAATATACTTTAAGTTGTTTTTGCAGCGTAAAGGTAACATTTATATTTTATTTTGTAACTGAAATATTTACCTGAATGTTGGAAAATGCATTATCTCCGTCGGCTCTCCCATAGTGCGTGAAGTCATCAACGCTCAGCTGAAAAACAAATATATATACAACACGTTGGCCAAGGAGGAGATGTTCATAGCAGAGATGGAGTGAAGACAACCCATCACGTGAGAGTGAAAGGGTGGATTATCACATCACAAGACCGGCAGTGGATTATGGTTGATGATTATGAGACTAAGGCATTTCCATTGTGAACTCTCACAGTGAACAGTACAGTACTGTTTTCAAACCCCCCTGTGAGATGTCACCGAACAACTTCTGAAGTTGCTACAATGCTAAGCCTCTTTGTCTAAACTAGGCGGACAGTAATTTTAAGTGCCCTTCAAAGCGTTCATCGCTTATCCATCAAAACAATTTTTTTTAATTGACAGCCAAAATAAACCAAATAAAAAATACAAATTTAATGAGACCTTTAACGCGGTTTAATCAACGCTGGCGGCTCAATGGCTCCGACAGATGTTCCACCAGGCTACATAATTATACAAGACTTATGGCTGTTTAAATGATAATCAGACATTTGGCAAGTATACATAAACACATTTCATATTTGGCAGCGGCATGTAAATTAACGTAAAAGGAGCGTTAAATAAGTCGGTGTCTGGTACGCCACGGTTCATGGGGATAAATTTATCTTTGTAACTAAAATTGGACGTCAGGCCTATCTAAATCCGGATGGATCACGTGCATTTGAATCCAACGGTCTAAGTCCATAAAAAGAAACTCGTGCGTGTTCTGACATGCATTAGCATGTCTGTCTCTAAGAGGCTTACACTCTAAAAAGTGCCATTAAAATGCCCAGTGAGCTAGAGAATTTAAAAGGCACATTCTTTCTGTTCGACGAAGGCAGACATGTGCCAGGCAGTAGAGAATGCGTTAAGCTACCAGTCACATAGAATGTCTCAATAGAATTACAGTACTCAGTTAGCCTTCAAGGTCCACACAAGACCACAAACAGCTCTCATCATGTAGTTGTCAAGGTGGTAGGGGTGCAATGATATGCCGATGAATACTGATCACGATTGATAAAATTATTACATGTTGTATGTCAGGGTTCTGTGATTGGTAGCCCATGGGCCACTGGGAGTGGCCTACCAAGAGATGAGGAGACCACAGAGATGAAAGAGATACAAGCAAGAGAGCTGTAGACACGATATAAAGATTAGGGAGATTAAAACCGGTAAACAAGAGAGAGATGAGCAACCCTGTGACAGGAGGTCGGGATTAGGGGTCACAAGTACAGGATGGACTAGAAACATGAACACTGGCAATGAATATGAAATGAAAGCGGAATAGTGCAATGAAGCACCAGGAGATCCAAGCTTGAAATTATACTGCAAGACAGGAAGAGGAACACGTGGATTAGAGACCCTACACAATTTTGATACATCTAAATTTATGCTAAGAAGAGTAAATGGGCTTGGGCAGGACGGGCTGATGGCCATTTGTCGAGGAAAATAACGGAGCGGAAGTCGAAGGAGAGAACGCACCCAAGAAGACGTCCACCACACAGACATGGTGCGATGCAATCAGCTCGTGCAGGAGCCAGATGGAATGTTGGGCCCATCCCAGCGATTATACCAAACGAAGATAATCGGGACTTCACCGACTGTGGAATCAGCTGTCGGCAGTCTCACCCATCCATGACTCATTTAGTGATGCCCTGGCAGCTGTGACGATAATATATTTTTTGTTTCAATAAGAGGAAGTCGTCAGTGTCACGGAGCCGTCTCGTGATTTTCTGGTATAAAAAAACATGCAACCATCACATGACACGCGTTGAAAGTAAATGTTCTCGTTTGCCCAACCCCACCCCACACCCCCCACTAACTCGAGCCCGAGCAAGCTTACAGAGGGACTACGCTGAATGAAGGATCATGCACTATGTATTAGCTCTCTATTTAATTATCCATCACAGGTCAGAGTGTTCGTGAATTATTTACACAGAGCTTGGTAGCAGAGGGAACAGTTGGGAGTTGATAACCCCTGCTCAGTGCTGGCCAGCGAGTAAATTTATTAGTGGGGGCATGGAAGCTCGACAGGATGGGAGGATGGGAGGAGTGGGGGGGGGAAAGGGGGAAGGGGGGCAGGAAGGGTGGGGGAGGAATGGGGGGGGGCATGAATCCCATTTCTAAGTATAGCAACTGGCCAGCGCACGTGTGGGTCAGTAAGCAATGTTCTTTTAATTTTCTCTTTTCAGGGCCCCCCCGGCCCCCTAATGATGGAGCAGCCACCACCACCCCCCCTGCCACCATGTAACAACGCAGTAATAACGCAGCTCACTTTGTCCTGAAGAAAGAGCACCAGGTTTTTGTCGGGCATCTGCAGGGCTGGCTTCAGGTATCCGTGCAGCTCCTTTGCCGTCACGATGTGACCCGAGTGCGGGGAGGTCGCCGGACCCCACAGGGAGCTGGCGGCGGCAGCAGCAGCGGCACCAGCAGCAGCGGCACCAGCAGCAGGGAGAGAGGAGAGAATTCAGCGGCGGTAAAATTGTGGCGCAATTAATGATTTGGAGAAGATATTAGAATGTGTTTTTTTAACTAAAGCAGTGCAGTGGCTGTAGGTTTTGTCCTTTGTTTCTTGGCATTTGTGTTGGCTCCGGCATTAAAGAAGCACGAGCCGCAGTCTTGGTAGTCTAGCGACTCCTAGCGTCGGTGCACGGCCATCACAATTGTCAGTGGGGCATCGTTTTGCGTTACATTACAGGCGAAGGTTTCAAAATACAGTACCGTGCTCCTCCCCCCCCACAATCTTGTTCCGCATGAGCCGTCACATCAAGCTACCCCCCTCCTAGTGCACAGAGCGCAGCAGCAGCACCGTGAAGAAGAGGGGGCAGCAGAAGTGCGTATCGGAGCGATCTCCTGGAGCCTCTCCAGGGATCTGTGTGCCACAATCTAGTGGGGGGGCAGCACCTTGCATGACCGTCAACACGATGTATTTATACTCCCAGAACTGTAATAAAGCTACATTTAATGCAAACCCAGCTCGACTCCCAACAACTCGAGGGCTCGATTTAATCAGAAGGCAGCCTGGATGGGAACCAGGATCTCTTGCCAGCTCAGTGCACTCACCTGAGCAGCCGGGACTTTCTCCACTGCTACATTGTTTACCGCCTATTCCTGTGCTGGTGGGTTACTACTACAAGGCTGACGGTGCTCAATTTTATTGCCAATAAGAGCCCCCCCCCCCCCCCCCCCACGTCTGCTGTCAGTAAAGATAATCTGTGCCGAAAATACGCATCGGTGTAATGTGACCACCGTTACATTAGGACTAACATTGGGTATCGATATTGTGGCATTGCAAGCAGATGGTGGCATCATGAATCGTCGCCCACGCACAGATGGGACGGCAGCGCAGTCCTCGGGGGAAATGCGAATCGGGGTCTGCGCGCCATCGCTTCCTTCCTTCTGCTCGCTCCCGCAACTCGTGCACAACAACCTCGTCAGCCACCAGGCGGGCGGTACAACAACAACAACAACGACGACGGCGAATGGTGCCGATCGCCTGGCCCCATTCACGCAACATTCGACTGCAGTGTCGACTGTCGTGGCGACTGCAGTGGCCGCCGCGCGTCAATGGGGTTGTTGTTGGCACGGTGCTGCGAGAGACCTCCGCTGTACACCGCGTACGATGCACCAGACTGCCGCATTAAACACAAATCACGAACGATACAATTGTTTCATGTTTTATTTTTATTATTGTATTACTTCCCTTCTACGTGACTTTACCGAAAGAATCAAGAAGATAATTGTTTTGTTTTATATTTTTATTATTTTATTATTTCCTTTCTACGTGACTTTACCGAACGAACCAAGAATATGAATCTCTGCAGTCACGAAAGCTTTAAATCAAAAGATATAATTGTTGTCGATATTATATTATTCGATGTTAATGTTATTGGCGAGTGGTGGGTTGCCCGAGGGGTTCCTTTTCGTCATTCCCCCGGCCCGCAATGGCGGTTGCCCCTAGCGACGCGAGACCGACCGGGCCCCATTCGCATCCGTCGCGGGCGGGCGGCAACTCACGCGTCCGAGGTCCACAGCAGCACGGGGACCTGGTCCACGGCCGCCGCGACGCTCATCGCCGCGAGGAGGGCGACGGCGACGGCGCCGCCGCGGCGCAGGAACGAGCGTGGCCACGTCGCCTCCATTGCGTCCAACGTCGCCTTGCAAATCGCCCGGAGCGCACGAAGGCGATCGCGGGGGGGGGGAGGGGGGGGCGTTGACGACGCGCGCCATTGGTCGACGAGCGCGCGGCGTTGCGATCGCCGTCCAATGGGAAGGCGGCGAGCGACGGGGCCCGGCGCGCGCTCTCGCTGGCCAATCGGGGAGGCGCCCGAAGTGAGACGGATCATTATGCTAATGTATCCTCATGTGTGCACTCATTAGCATAGTGGCAATGCCGACATTGGCGAAGTGAGACCTGCTATTATGCTAATGTACCCTAATGTATGCACTCATTAGCATATGTGCAATGCAGACATTAGCGAAGTGAGACTGCTCATTATGCTAATGTATGCTGATTTATGCATTCAATAGCATAATGGAAATGCCGACATTGGCAAAGTGAGACCTTACATTATGCTAATGTATCCTCATGTATGCACTCACTTGCATATAGGCAATGTAGACATTTGCAAAGTGGGATGGCTCATTATGCTAATGTCGGCTGATGTATGCATTCATTAGCATAGTGGAAATGCCGACATTGGTGAAGTGAGACCTTACAGTATGCTAATGTATCCTCATATATGCACTCATTAGCATATGTGAAATGTATACATTGGCGAAGTGAGACGGATCATTATGCTAATATATGCTGATTTATGCACTCATTAGCATAGTGGCAATACCTTACCTGCCAGTATCAAAATATTCCAAGATGATGGGAGACTACATTTGGGGGCTGATTCGTGAAAGTGATTTACAGTATAATCGTAAATCTCGAAAAACTACTCACTTCCAAATCTTTCCTAGTAATTTTTTGTATTACTTTAGTATAAATACATGTTAATTTTGATTCATATGTTATTTTTTTCTGACTTGATGTGAACGAAAAGACACAAATTCGCCCGTTTTCTCATTGAAATAGATACATTTCAAAATATCACTGTCCTGGTCACAAAAGCTAAGTTTGTGGAAAATATTAGCCATTTTCTGTACTTTTTAGGCATAAGCAATTACGAAATAACACTTAATACACAGGAACTAAAATTGTGTTACATTATGTAATCGGTGGTGCGGGGGAAAGACAACAAACTAAACACAACTTAATTGCAAGCAGACAACTCACCATTGATCAGGCTGTAGAGCATCATGGGAAAAATGGGACAAAATCCAACCTCAGCAGTCCCTCTGACCATAAGTCTGTTCCAACCACCAACCACCACCAACAGGAGAGAGTATGAGTCATTTGTATGATTGTTGGTACAATATGCCTGTTAATCTTTGTTCTTTGCGAATTCTGTTCTGATGTCATATCCTTCGATAAGTATAACTTGGATATTGTTCTTTGTTGATGCACCACGAATCTTCTTTGCAAACTGGCTAACTGGCTAAACAGGATTTTTCGTGTCACAAATAAACATTGAATTGAAATTCTCTTATATCATGCTAGGTACCTCCATTTAATATTTGCATTATTTTTGCATGGTTCCACGTCTGCTATAAATAAGAGCCATTGCCCCAAACGTCACCTACTACAAATTTATTTTCATTTTTTGTTTTATTTATGGAACGTTTATCAGTTTTGGTGATCAAACATTGATTAAAATCAAACCTTTAATTGACAAGAGATGAGGAAGAAGGTAAGAGTGATACCCATCTCAGACAAGCTGAGATTAAACGAAATCGGATGGCTTGAGTGACACGTCTTAGGAAAAGAGGGAACCCGACGAAGGATGAAGAAAGCCGATGAACATGGATTCACTGGGGCGGAGAACGAGAGGCAGGCCCAGACAGAAGTGGCTTCAAGTGGTGAGCCAGGTAGTGAAGGACTGTGGAGTGGATGTACAGATGATGGCTCAGGATTGGAGTGAGTTGAGAAAGAGGAGTAAGAACGCAGAGCATAAGTGGGAATACTTACAGGAAGGATTAAGTTGATAGCTTTGTCGTGATACGTTTTCTACTGTCATGTTCTGCTTGCTTTGGCAATTGTGTTTAACTCCCTATGTAATTAAATGTCTCTCTGGATCTCTATTAGCTCTAAATGGCATGTCTGTAATTGCACTGTTTCTGTCATCACAAGCAGACCCAGGTCACTATACCAAAGAGACATATCTCAATCAATGAGCTCTTACTCGGTGAGATAGCCAGTGAGTGGATTACCTTTCGTACGAGTATGGACCTTCGTGTTGAAGTCGTTCTCCACCCAGGCTTAGGAATGTGGAATATCTACTACTGGCTCAGGGTCGTAAGGGCTTCCTTTGTCAAACCACATTGACCAGCGCATTATATATTCTTTGGGCCTTTCGGTAAAGTCACGTAGATAGGTTTAAAGAAAATAACAAAAACAAAAAACTACGACGTTTCGATCGCAACACAAGTGGTCGTCTCCTTTTTCCTGAAGACGACCACTTGTGTTGCGATCGAAACGTCGTAGTTTTTTTGTTATTTTCTTTGAACCGATCTACGTGACTTTACCGAAAGACCCAAAGAATATGAATTCCTACATTCACGAAAGCTTTAAGCCAAGATTCAGCGTATTAGAGTATTGCCGAATAACACCCATGCCCGACATGGCGTGGGGAGGCATTCATCCGACAATAGATTGGCAATGGGCTGTAGGGGAAAACATGACTTTACCGAAAGAACCAAAGAGTATGAAAACAAAGTAGTTTGTAGAGGAAACATGGAGTGGATTTAAAGGTGTGGAACATGGGGTGGACAACAAAGCAGGTGGTGTTTTACAGCATCCGGATCCAGGGTCCCCTTTGTCAAGATCGATGACCAGGATTACAACACCGGCACAACCACTTGACATCCTTGATGTCGTCATCGGGGCTGCCACTCAACACCATTGTTAAATCATTCAAAGAGACTACAGTGCATATTTTAAAACATCTTAGTCGTACCTAGAAAAGAGATGTTGGTTTAGGAATTGAAAGATTTAAAGTAAAAACAATACACCGACGTGACACAAGTGGGTTTTTTTTTAAAAACGAGGTGTTATATTAAAAAAAGCTTTGAGGGGGCACTCGGATTTGAACCGGGGACCTCTTGATCTGCAGTCAAATGCTCTACCACTGAGCTATACCCCCACAGGTTGCTGTGTGAGCGTAATCGCTTAAGTACATAACGTGCATGTCAAATAAGGTATAATGTCAATGCCTATGAATGCCAATGCACTCATATGGTTCGGCATGAATGATTACATCTCTACACAGTTCACAAAAAAATATCTACATACACCCAGATATTTCAGTCACGGATTTGCAATTAAATGACTTAATTTGTGCACGCATTACTGTTTATTTGCTAAATTCACACAACATAGTTTTTACACAAGTCCCTGAAAGCAGCATTTTTTTAAACGGATAGTTTTCTACGGTATCTTTATTCAGACTCAAATGACACATCGAATATGTACGATTGAATAAAAAAAAATGTTTCCAGTACCCAAAGTGTATAATTCATTTTTAAATAAAAATTCTAGGGGGCACTCGGATTTGAACCGGGGACCTCTTGATCTGCAGTCAAATGCTCTACCACTGAGCTATACCCCCTCACACAGCCTCTTGTACACAACGTTCATTAAGAACGATTACACGTTTAACTCTCAGTTCTCAGAGCAGTTGGATTGACAGCCATTAAACAGATCTACATGGAAAAAGACGTCGTAGCCACACACCCCAAATACGTAATAAGACTTTTGGCTTCAAAGAAGCGTTTTTTTGCCAAAGAGTTGTAAAAAATCAAAGGCACTTTTACATACCCAGATCATGTTTTGTTGAATATATTTAATTACATTCGGGGCTTAATTTCTCAATATGTTCATGGTTTCTGGGAGACAGGAGTAGGCACATGAGCAATATCCACAACCACACAGCAAGAAGTAATATGGACGTCGATCGTCTAGGCTTACCACCTGATCCACAGACCAAACCTGTGTCAAACCTGCACCTCAGTCAGCCTAGGTCTATGATCAAAACTGTGCAGTAGGCTGTGATAAAGTTAAATACAATACCAACTGTTCTCGATCCAAATCAATTCCTGCCACCCGAACGCAGATGCCAATTCCCGGACCGACGGCAACCCTAGAAATGCTTAATGCGGAAATATTTTCCGGGTCCCCAAGCTGGTCTGAGTTAGCTGAAATGAAGCTCTTACTGGACATCCTTAAAACTTCTGTATATGCGTGAAAAGAGCTTCGCAGCTCAACGGATTCTTGCAGGATAAATATGGATTTTGATTCAGAATGCACCCACGTGCGTGCGAGTGCACCCCTATGTGGCATTCCCGGTGGCGGAGGCCGTGGTTGTGCGTGGCCGTAGGATCTTGAGACCCGGCGGCGGTGGGGCCGGAGGAAACTCCAGCTGTTGGGCCATCCCGGGCAGGCGTGAGAAGTAACCTCGAGCCAGGGCTTGCCGCTGCTCCACTCTCTGCACGAACGCACGCTCGTACGCCTGTTCGGATGCCGCACAGATAGACACAAGTGCCACCATCGCTTTTCTGACTGTAGTGTCAATGTAGTCGTAACAAAACTTATTTTTGTACACTTTATCCCAATTTTGCTATCCAGAGCTTAATTTGGGTGTCAGGGCTGAGTAGCGGTAACACAGCAAGATGGTCCAGGGTTCGATTCCCAACTTTCTGTGTGGAGTTTGTATGTTCTCGCTCTGTTCTGCATGCATTTCCTCTAGATTCACCAGTTATCTTTCATAGTAAAAAAAAGAAATATTCTTGGTATTGGCCAAACATGCCAATGCTGAAAAATGACCTGTAAAGTACTCAATTGGGATTACACATAGCAACAGCATTCCCTACAACAAAAAACCTTGGCAGGATCATCCTGAAAATTACTCACGAGGCTCAGTGAAGCTTTCCTAGGTAAACGAGCGGAATGATAATACTAAAATAATAATTGCTCACTCAATATTTTACAGGTTGCTGGTAAACAAGAGTAGTGACACGTGACTCTCAGCCACAGCCATAGTGAGAGGTATCGTGGATGCGTTATACGAGATTGCTGAGCTGGATGGGCCCATATGAAATTAAGCCTCTGGCCCTGGTGCTATCAGTGTTCTTTTATGAGATGAAGAATTAATTGATAGCTCTGGCAGAGCAGTGCAGAACCTAGGCTCAAAAAAAGTAACAAAAAAATCATCATCATTTTTTAAAATGGTTGAACACAAATTCATTCTCATCCAACTTCATTATCCTATTTGCATGAGCGAGTGATGTGTTCTGGTTGAGCCTCCCAGAAATGCGAAAGCTTTGATGAAAGCCCAGCATATCGATGGGGCTGGGGCACACAGTCTACAGACCTTGTCGATGTCCTCCAGCTGCAGGTGATATTTCGCTTCATCCCGCGTCAGCAGAATGCAGTTCCAGGGAGACCAGGCCTCCCGCTTGTCCCACCGCACCAGCTCCATCTCTGCCAGGCCGGTGAACGCGCTCAGGGCCGACTGTGCCCCCCACACTCTGTCCACGAGGAATTGAAGGTCCTGCTCCTGCACACGGACAATCCGTGGGCGGCCAGCAACGTGACGCAACACACAAGTTGAAACATGCTGGTGAAATAGTAGCGGGCTGTAGGGCTGGGGTAATCAATGTATTTAAATAATCACACGACCGATTATTATTTGTTTGATTGGATAGGGAGATTTTCCCCGTGCCCAGCCATTGATGCTCTCGACTCCCACCTTCTCAAGACATTGGTACTTTCACCCTCTGCCGATACCAAGGAGCTCTCTAGAGCTCCCTCAAGTGAAAGCCGTTCAACCGGTAGTGGCCTGAGCAAGCAATTGATGGATTACACCTTTACTGCCTAATAACAGACTGCCTCTATTCTCTATCGACACAATAAATATGCCCGCTGTCTCTGAACGGCGTCTTGACTTACGGTTCCATTTGGGGTTCTTTAACTGGCGGCCCGTGGGCCAGAAGGTTCATGGAGTGATCCACCAAAATATGACCAGTTGAGAGATATGGCTCCCAGAGTCATAAAGAGATAGATTAGTGAGATGACAACACTTACACTGTGTGGCCTGCCAGCACCACACCCAACAATTCAGATCTCTCGCAGAGCATTGCAAATCCCCCCCCCCCCCCATATTAGAGAACGGCCCACAGAAGCGCAAATCACAGAGCGAGCGGTGATATCCCTTCACTTGAACCCGGCGCTGCCAGTGGTGGACTTGCCTGGATAAGGAACGGCGCTCGTGACCCGTCGCTGTAGCCCTCCTCGGTGTGGCACAGGCGGCGGAGCATGGCGCGGTACTCGGACATCTCCTCCCGGCGCCGCGCCGCGTTATCCACCTGACAGCAGCGCCGGCAGCGGCCCAGGCCCCGGCTGTCCGACGCCAGCCAGAACTCCGATGCGGGAAGGTGGTCGCGGCAGCCCGAGCAGAAGTAGACATTCTTGCGCAGCTCCGTCGGGTCCTGGGGCACCTACAGATGACGATCATCGTCGTCGTCATCCTCATCAATCATCGGCGAGGATCTATCCACTGCTAGATAAAGGCCTCGTTGCAGTCTTGCAATGCAACAATTCGTCTGGCTCCCGTACTCGAGCCGACCTCATAGCTTCATCTCCCGCGGTGGACGTCATCTCAACAGCACATGCCAGAAAAAACTAAAAACCGCATCGGAGAGCTGTCGCGATTTTTCTTGGGTCACCTTGAGCAGCTTGGCCACGGCGGGGTTGAAGGCAGGCGTCTTGATGTACTGCAGGAAGAGCGTGCAGATCCTCTTGCGCAGTCCCTCCAGGTTCGCCTCCTTGATGGAGCGTGTGAGCAGGTCCGTCTCCCGGTCCACCAGCTCCGCTATCTCCCGCGTCAGCTTGCAGTCATTGTCCTGACACGGGGAGGGGAAAGGGCGCGCGTCGACAACGTTTCAACTTTAGGCGACGGTGCACGGCGTGTAGAAGCCTTCGTCCGGCCAGTGATTGATTTACAAATTCAGGTCTATTTAATCGACTTGTATAATCGTCCGTGCTCTGCACGAGAGTACCTTGACCTTGTCCTTTAGGGTGCGCAAGGCATCCAGTCTCTCCTCCTGGCTCAGGCTGGGCATGCTGATGCTGCTGTAGATGTCCTGCAGCTCCTTGGCAAGGAGGCTGGCTGGTGTGTGCATCGCCGTCGTCTTGCCGTCAAACGCTTTCCAGCACTTGGGGCTAGCACTCTGGGGTCACGGGAGCAAGAAAAGGAATTGGAAACGGGAGAATCGGTGTTGTCATATTCCGTGATCAAGTAGAGACGTGAATGAGCCGCCGGAGATTTTAAATTGCATGTTTTTGCAAGTGACACACCGATGGAATTGTGTGCGCAAATAATGATTGCACATTCATATGCGTGGAGTGTTTATATTCATACGAATTCTATAATTTATATAAATAGATTATACATAACTGGTGGGCAGCCCATCCTATGGCCACGCTCGCATAATTCTCGCCCTATCGTCATAAGATATTTACTTGCATAACGCCACTCGTCAGTCATCAACTTTTAACATATTTTGTCACACTGCTACTGGTAATGCAAAACAAAACAACAAAATGGACAACCCCACTCGTGATGCAGATCTTAGCCTGCCCACCCACAGCCAGCAACCGCCCACCTTCTGGAGCAGCTGCCGCACGGCCTTCTCGCGGTTCACTCCGTCCGCGATGAGCTTGTGCCGGCCGATGGACGCGAGCAGTTGTGTCTCCTGCTCCAGCAGCGTGCACAGGGCGGCCTTCCTCTCGTCACCGCTCAGCTCGCCGTCGATCCGCGCCACCTCCTCCTTGCGCCACTCTGTGCGGCGCACCGGGCGGGGACAAGCTCTTCGCATCAGAGGACGGCCCGCGGAAGCCGATATTGGAGAGAGACATATCTGACCGTCCGTTCAGGTATCCTCTAGACCGCGCAGCCGAGGGGTTGCACGTTCAGAGGGGTTATTTTTTTTACAAATTAAGCGCAGAACCAATTTTTATGTAATGGTTTCAGTGACGGGGCTCAAAACATTAACTCGCTATACTTGAAAACCCACTTTAATCAAAGGCAGTTGCCTGCATTTTTGCTGTTTAATGTTTTCCGTCAAAGGTTAACAGTAATTATGCATTACCTCCTGTCTGTGTCTATCGATGTATCTGTCTGTCCATATGTCAGTCACGAGGGGGGGAGGGCAGACAATAACTCTAATAAAGATGAATCAAACCTTACTAATGTCCAAGCTTCAACGTCTCATTACCTATGAGCATTCTGAACCTTCGAGACATTCTGTACCACCAAACTGCGCCCTCACTTTCCACCGCAGCGTAAAGCAGATCAAAGTCCTCTTTGGATCTGGGGTTGACGCGACGCTCGTAGTCTCTGCGTCTCCTCTCCTCCTTCTCCTGGCGCCGCCGCTCCTCCTCCTGCCGCTCCCAATCCAGGCGCAGGGCCTTGGCCTCCCTCAGCCTCTGCACCGCGTCCTTGGCAAGCCACCGGCGTAGGTAGCTCTGCAGTACGATTACCTGCGTCGCAAAAGAGAGGCAGAAGTACACACCGGCACTGTTCAATGACAACGTGGTGGTGGCGGTGGCGGTGGAGGTGGTGTTCTGTACTGCTGCATGCCTACTGTGTGCAGGGCTTCATTTCAGTCAGATCTGTCAGAGTCAGCGACCTGTAAAAACATGTATCTTGCACACCACATCCAGTATACTTCTTGATATGGCTGTGGATAATAGGTATGTGCTACGTACTATTTTCCAGACCACTGGTAGACTGGTGTGAGGGGGAAATTAAGCCCTGTCTACACGTGGAGACTTCATTGCATTTGGTAGAAAAGTAAATGCCAGCGACAGAATGCTGCTATTTGTGCTTGTGCATCACTGCCAATGCAGCATCACCAAGTAAGTTATTAATAAGAGCCCTCGTACGAGCTTGAGCTCGAATCCATACGAACTAGTCAATCCAAGTCACTCAACCACTCGTGGCCAAGAGTATTTTTGGTTGTGTGCGAGTGAAGTGAGTGAGGCACGTAGGCGTGTAACCCTGCGTGTGAGTGAATTGGATTTTTGGCAGGTTCAGGCGCTCGTCCGTGGTGTGGCGTGGTGCAGTGCAGCGCGGTGCGGGGTGGCGTGGTGCGATGTCGCGTGGTGCGATGTGGCGTGGTGCGGGGTGGCGTGGTGCGAAGTGGCGTGGTGCGGTGCGGCGCTGACTCACGGCTCTGCGGCGACGCTCGTGGTACTCCTTGGCCGTGACGTAGGCCCGCGGCGCCAGGAGCCGGTCCGTGGTGCTGGTTATGTAGCAGCCAATCTTGGTCATCTGCGTCGCCGTGGTGTTGTGCGTCTGCTGGTAGTGTTGCTTCTCCGACACAGTCTGCCAGACAATAAAGACAAAGATCCCCCATATAGCATTAACAGATTTTTTTGGGTGAAAGTCCTGTTAACGAGCACCGATGAAGGCCAGAATGGCACACGGGGAGGTGGGTGGATAGCACCACACCCGACTACCTTTGTTTCCCCAGTAGCGATGTTTACAAACCACACCAGGTACTCATTTGAGGCTGAGGCGACCTCGAGGAGGCTCAGGACCAGTTTAGATAATCATCACTGGTATTGGCCGAGAGTGGGGGAACAGAACAGAATTTTGTAAGGCGTCTCTTGCGATGCTCTGGCACACCTGGGTGTTCCGGCAGAATCGCTTTATTCCAGTGTCAGGCCGTCGTTTGGGCAGTGTTTGAGTGCCGGCGTGGTGGAATTCGGTGCCTGTCAACCGGTGCCTGAAGCCACCTAGAAACGGGTTTTGCCGCGTCGCCCTCTCGATCTCCACCACGACGTCCTCCAGCGTTCCTGATCCTGGAGGAAATTTGTGTGGCAGTGACACGTGCGTTCAGTTGCAAAACAATATTAAATTCGTCATATAGGGCATCCATAAAGCTATCACCTATTCCTCTTCCTCATCCTCATCAGCCGTGATCTCCAAGCCAGCAGAAAAGTTTCGTGGGTGTAGGTGGCAGTACAGAAAGTGGGGCAATGGCCCGTCTGCAATTTATAACAAATAAAAACTAAAAATCTCTCCTGTACATCGACCTTCAGCTGGACCTCTGTGTTGAACACAGTTAAATTGAAGATACCTCAGATGTAGGTCTGTGATATCCACTTCTGTAGACCGTTCTCCAACACCACGGGTTGCACTGCTTTATGAGAGAAGGTCGAAAACACGAACGCTCTGAACCTTTGGCTGCAACGCGTTAATGAACGGCGCCAATGCGGTGAGTACGCACCGGTCTGCACGCGCACTGTGATGACATCGGGCATGCTGTACTCGTGCCGCAACTTGATGGGCCTCAGCGGGTACGTGTCAGGCTCCGTGGAGCACATCTCCAGCTGCACGGTGCCGTGAGGCTTCACCCCCAGCATGCGCAGGCTCTGCGTGTTGTCCACGGTGCTTCCTGCGAGCGGGCGCGACAGTAGTATCACCAAGAGCTGTCTGCACACCGTTTGAAGGAAGATGCAACACACTGGGGGATATCGCGTGTGTGTGTGTTAATATATATTGCACATGGACTAGCTGTCAAAAGTCACCCTCAACTGAGGTTTGATGTCCATGACAGAGTATTATTATATTTGTTCGACCTTCGCCTTCTGTCGTGGAGAGTCCGATTCAAATACTCACATTAATGGTAATGGCCAAGCAGCCCAATGGTGGACCCTCGTGATGAAAATCTTGAAAGGAAGACCAACCTTCAAAGGAGATGAGTATAACTTGGCTGGGCACCTTCATCTCTGTCGCGAAATGTTCCTTGAGGCTGCCGGCGGTCTGGCTTAGAGCTGTCGCCATCGTCATAACTTGACCCCCTGGCGTCAGCAAAATTTTTACTGTGGATCGAGAGAGAGCATTATTACCTTGACACCGAGGATAGTGCATTTCACTTTGTACGCAATATAGTTTAATTCTGGTTTTGGGAATTAAAACAATAAATGCACGTGACTGTCATGCGACGAACACTAATATCAGTGACAAAGTGAGTGGGATGGCAGCAGTTGTGTGATATCTAACATAAAGGGTTGCACTGCTCTGCAAAAGATCTGAATTAATACTTCCACCTCATGACCTGACACTGTAAAGCACAAATATTGGAAAAAGGCATGAAATATTGGTGACCAAGCTGCCGCTATTAAACTCACTACACTTGAGAACCCAGTTTAAACAAAGGTAGCTGACAGCCAGCTTCAAATCCAAGCAGTGCTAGCTAGCCCAGTGCTTTGACCTCTTAAGCCACACAGCCACATGATAACAAAACATAATCTGGTAGAGAAACCGTGCCGCACGTGAGACTTGAACCTGTTGCCGTGGCATCTTCCTGCTCGGGGGAAGATGGCACGAGCTCCGCTGATCCCGGCACTCCATCAGACTCCTCCCGGAGTTCTTCCACCTCTGACTGCCCCGCCACGGAGCCATCTTTCTCCTCCGTCGGATATTTCTCATTCAACGACGCACCTTGCTCATGCTCCTCCTCCACAGCCTGCCTCTGATCGTCATCGCCACCTGCAGCGTACTGCACCTGCACCGAGATGTTCATGTGCGCTGAGACTTCAGCTGGAGCGGGATTTTCCACAGCCCCCGCAAACGCAATGTCACTCGCCTGACGGTGAGCATCGTCGTTCTCCACAATGCCGCCTTCGGTTTGCTCCGCAGGATTTATTTTTGTGTCACCTCCTTCCTCAGTGTCTGACCGCTCCTCCTCCGCTGAGTCTGGGTAGAGCTCGGTATCCCGTGTTTCTGCTGGAAGCAAGCCCGGTGTTTCTGCAGGATCCACGTTCTGGGTGTTGTTCGGGTCTTCCGCGTGCTCTGTCTCTGCAGGCGACACGTTGTGTGTGTCTGCAGGATCGACATCGTGGGCTGTGGCAGCTTCCGTGGTTGCTTGTCGAGAACTTGGTGGTGGTTCGTCGTCTTCTAGGTCCCGAGTTGTTGGCTCTGGGTCGGCGTCCACTTCACTGTCAACTTCACTGTCGCGTTGTCGTCTGCCCTGAGCCGATCTGTCTGGGGTGGTCTGTGTTTCTCGATGATCCATCACACTTCTGCACTTCTGTAAACAATGGTTCATAGCTGCTGTTATACATCGACATAATGGTCACCATGAATATTGTACACCCCCCCCCCGCCCCCTTAACGAGTTTTAAATAACTAGTCACTCAACCAGTGTTGCCCCTTCGGTGAACGCAGTCACACCTGTGACGGATTCTATACACACGCGTCTTATGAAGTTATAATATAAGTTATAATATAAATTATAATATAAGTTGTAATATGAGTTATAATGTAAACACCGCGCGCGGCCGCGTTGTCGTGTGAGCGTTGTTTGTTGAATCCACGCACCTTTGGGTCGCAGAATCACCTCTTTAAAAATACACAAATTAAACAACCCCCGCGCGCGACGATTGAGTCGTGAGTTAATTTGATCAATTAACAACAACAAAACCGATAAACTTTAAACCAAAATTAATCCGTAAACGACGTTTCCGATCGCCACCCTCCCTCGGCCCGGCCTAGTGAGCGTCCTCCGGCTCCATGGCAACGCGGGTCACGTGCGGGTCACGTGATCCCAGACGCGGCTTCCCATTGGCGGACGAGGAGGCGGTCACCACGTGGGGCTGTTGTTGATGCTGCGCCGTTGCCGTGGCGACCGCTGTTGTTTACACGCGGATTTTAATTACTAAAATTAATATTCTTGGTAGAAAAAAATAATATTCACGTAGAAGAGAAGTAATAAAATAATACAAATATGTTTTATATATAGCTACATAAATAGCTACATATCTCCCGTGTGGCCTTTTCTAGTGAAATAAATAGTTTTAGTTAATTTTAGTATTTTGATTTAAAGCTTTCGTGACTGCAGGGATTCATATTCTTGGTTCTTTCGGTAAAATCACGTAGTCACGTAGAAGGGAAGTAATAAAATAATACAAAAATGTTTTAAATATGTTTTATATTTGTAATATTTTATTATTTCCCTTCTACGTGACTTTACCGAAAGAACCAAAAATATGAATCCCTGCAGTCACGAAAGCTTTAAATCAAAATACAAAAATTATTTTTTATTTCACCAGGAAAGGCCGCACGGGAGCTTTGGAGCTATTTTTTGTCAGAAGCGACCTGGCTATCACAAATGATAGCTCAACGACGTGGAAATGAATAGCAGCCAAATACTCTACAACTCTACAACTCGTGATGTTCATTCTAAATGTGGAGGACGAAAAAGCGGAGGACCCGGGGGGAAATCCACGCGACCACGGGCCGAGAGAGAGAAAGAGACACGCAAAGTTAAAATGTACAGCAGGCGACAGGGTCGGGATCGAACCCGCGACATCTTGTATACCAGGCGAGGCAGTCAACATCTCATGCCACCGTGCGTTGCCTTCCCCTGATCTGTCTCTCCACGTATAACGTAGAGGGTTGCGTTGCTCATTCTCACGACACGAATGATTGCCCAGCAAACAAGCGAACGTTGGCAAAATCTACCTAAATGTTTCATCCGGAGATACAAATATAGGGTGACAACTTAACCACCTTATTTCTCTATTCTACCATGTGAGTCATCTGAGTTGGTCTTGCCTTCCTTTATAACCATGAGCCCATTAAGATTCACTACGTTGGAGTAACTTTGAATCATGTGAGTCATTGTGATTGACGTACTTTGCATAACCATTAGAGCTACATTGAGATTCACAGTCTCTTAGAACTCGCTTTTTGCCCGTCCAAGGAGGACAGGTGTATATTGCAGTAAATCTGAAATATTCTATAGAAAAATTGTTCAGCTCATGATTAGCAATGAGGGGGGGGGGGTTGCCCCATGTGGAGTGACGTCACCGGCTAATGATTATTGGGGAGGGGTGCGGCATGTGGAGTGACGTCACTCGCTCATTATTCTTGTGCGGTGTGTAAATTTCCACGCGGGCATGAATATGAATGAGGGGGGGGGGGCTCTTTTGCAGTGATGTCACGTACGGATGTAACACTGTGCTGCGTAGATTTATTTTTTACCGTCACTTTCTGTAAAGAAACATCGTATTTGAAGCGCCTTTGCGTAATAAATTATTTAATTCAGCTCGACCTGCCTCTGCGTTAGTGTAGAAATCCACCCACTCATGAATATTAATTAGGGGGGTGGGCCTCATGTGGAGTGACGTCATGCGCGGGACGGACAGACATTTCGTGGTGATTCTAGTAGGTAATTGACATCCTTCATTTCACCACGCGCGAGCCCGTTGAGGTTCATTGTCGCTCAGGATTTGTAATGAATGCCATTCTGAAGTCTGCTCACGTGGAAATATAAATCCAAACCCATGCAATGTAATTTGCAACACAGCAGATGGCGCACTATGACAATACCACAGCTGCAGCCTACATGGTGCCATTTCTGACTTTCTTTTCCGTGTTATGGGTAAAGCAGCGCAGTGGTTGACACATGAAGTGATGTACCATGCGGCCCAGGTTGGATTCCTGGCCAAGGCTAACATCGGTGACAATATCTAAAACCAATCGTAGGACTCTCCCTCAACACCTCTTTTCCAAAATGCACTGACCAACATGGTGAAGTATGGTCAAACAACCCTCCATGATCAACATGGCATGTGGTGACATTGATTTAGTAGTGGATTAACAAAGGAAAGGATGTTATAATTAATTATATCTTCTTAGCATTTTCACCAATGTACATGACCTAAAAGCGACGGCTCTTCTTGCCCATACTCCAACAAATGACACACTGCATTAGTTTGTAACACATCATGACTCGCACAGTGAGGGGTCATCATCATACAGCAAAAGGGGAGGTGGTCTACAAGGGGCTCCTCCATCTGGACTGTCGCAGGACACCCACAAGAGAGAACCTAGCAGCTCATTGGGCCCTTCCTGCTGATATAAATAAAATCTGTCTAAACTATCTATCCATGCACATGTACAAACGTACCCGATTGATAAAACAGCGGTACGCAGGGACACTCGTTCATTGATTGGTGACTTTTATTGTCAATAACCAAACCAGAAGCGCGCTACACGTTTACGTTAATGATATCGCGGGTCACAGTCTTGCTCGGACAGGAGATGCAGACGGAACCAGATGGGGCGAGGTTTAGATGGGCCACTTCCACTGGTTGGGAGGTGGCTCCTCAATGAGTGGTTCCCAAGGCTTCCACTCCTGCATCTTCCTCGCCAGGGAGAGCTCCTTCTCGGCCTGGTGAAGAATGATTCACGCACACACGTTTAGGTAATATATTGACGACTGTACATTTCGAATGAATTAGCAACACAAGTCTCCAATTATTGTGTCATCTACAGTGTTAGGACATCACGACGCAGTGTCGCTCGCCAATGCTGATCGGAGGTGCAGGGGAAGGACAACAAACGAAACACGCAACACTGGAAAAAACTGTAGAGCCTAGTTCAGCCAACTGAGTGTGTAAACGAAAATATCTGGGAACCAAAGCTAAGAACGGCAGGTGGTGATGCCACGGAACGTACCTGTCGGATCACTTCTTCGATCTGTCCACAATTTATCTTTTTCTCCAGCTTCTCAATATCGGGCTCCTGTAAATGTGGACATTGACAAACGTTAGTTGTTCCACAAAGGGTAAAGGTTATTTTTCATTGTGACTTAACTAACCTTAACTTTATGAGCTATTAATTAAATTTACAGCCTCTCATGAATCCACCGCTAATGGAATGCTTCCCTACGCCATGCCGCTCATAAGGGTTGTTTGATCCTATTTCACCACAATGGTCAGTACCAGTGACGTGCGGTGAGGTCGATGGCTGGGGAGGCACTGGCTAAGACACGCCCCCTTCAGTGAGGCAGATGTGACGGCTGCCTCCCCTGGTGCTTTTTCATTGCAGTTTTATGGCGAGACCAGCGAGCCTAAATATCTTTATACACATCCGTGAAACAAGTTACCTGGAGTATGGAAGGCGAGGACATGTAATGAAGGGATCTCCAACCATTACATTGGTAACATACAGAGACATAGTGACAGGCACGCGCTTATTGCCCGCGCTCCATCCAGTTTCTGAGGGGTTGCGCAATCAGAGGGGAGGCTTAGCTCGTCGCTGCCTCACCTCTCGTCTCTTCCTGTATTTGCAGCGGAGTTCCGCAAATTTGGCGATTTTGACTATAAAAATGATTGGAATCGTATCGTACATAAATTATATTTATAACACAGATCAGTAGAAAAATCTTAATATTTTTTTTACTTTTCGTAACAGCTATTTTCATTGGAGCATGGCAGGTGAGGCTCTGCCTCCACTGCCTCCCCTGACCGCACGTGACTGGTCAGTACGTGTTGGTTAAGTTTGGGGTTGCGCCCAGAACTGCTTGAGATGTCAGAAGCCGCCGATGTTAGCAGTGGCCATGAATCTATTTCTGGTCACTAGATTCATAGCACAGTGCACCAAGCAGACCTGGAGTCAACGAACATTACAATCATAAGCAGCAATGATCGCCGATTTACAAATTTGAGCTGAAATTAAGCAAAACTTTTTTAAGACAGGATCGATTCTTGATGTGGCCGTGGGGCTCTTAATGTGAAGATGCCAAGCCGGCACAATTACAGCGGATCCAAGGTCCCAATTACAACTGTAATCGATCCAAACATCTTGGTGTTAAACACTACGACCCACATTTCACTTCACATCAGATGCCACATAGCGGAGATGAGTGTCGCAACTGGGAGCTACCGTCTGGACGTGATGCTGGCGCTCATTGATGATCTGTTCCGTGTATTTCCTGTACGCGGCATCCTTTGGGACCGTCTGCAACACGCCGATGATCTTGATGTAAAGAGCGTTCAGGTGCTGTGGGGACACGGCGAATGCAACGCATTTAACCACTTCCCCCCACAACTTTCCTACCATGATCATAATTTAAGATCGTGACTTGATTTCAAGCGTCGATTCTTTGAGTGGGCCCAAGTGGTTCCGAAGATCAAGGCTACAAGCCGGCACTACTAAAATCCTGGAATCAAATTAAGGCTTCAGCCACTTGTGATGAAACTGGGTTCTCCAGCTTAGCAGGTTTGATGGTCTCAGCCTGGCCACCAATGACAGCAGAATATTACATTACATTTGAGAGCAAAGAATCACAAAACAAAAATGTATTTTGCTGCAATGCACTCTGCGACCCATTACTTAGCCCTGTAGCAGCCTATAACAACCCACTGTGCATGGTGGTCGACCCATCCAGGCACTATCCAGGATTAACCCTGCTCAGTGTATGATCTGACAAGATCATGCGCATTGCGGGTAAATTGATCATAGGTCCTAAAACACAGAAGTGAGGGGTTGTGGTATCCACTGTGGTAACTTAAGACACTAACCTCATGAGGGTTCTTGGAGACAGCAAGTCCCACTAGCCCAGTCGTCTGGTAAAAACAAACATCCATAAATAACACAGTCAAGAGGGTACTGTATTGCTCAAAATATGTGCATGTTAGGCATAACAATAACTTGACATTTCAAAATAACAAGTCCTGTGCTCCCCCCTTCACCAACCTGTACTGACCAGTCAAAACAACTCCTGCGACCGACACAGCATGGGGAAGCATTCATCCAGCAGTGGATTAACAAACCCTGAAAAAAGTGGATGAGGTGACTAAGTGGGCTGATAACGGAGTTGGAGACACGAAGCCAGCACCACTGAGGTGCTGGGTTGGAATACGGGTTTCAGCCTGGGTTGTAATCCACGATCTCAGCAACGACACCAGCTCAGGGCTCTGACCTTTGAAGAACCCGGCCACCTCGCTAGGTAAACATTTTGTTTAAAAAAATCCAGAACTACCATTGCAAGCGCAGAGGCACGCTCCTTTCCCAACAATGTTTTAGCCCTAGGCGACTTGTGCAGTCACTTACAAGTTGGAAATTTAGAAACAAATGTCGCCCTTAACCCAAGTCAATTTATCAACATTAAATGCAATGACATGCGGGAACCTATGGCTGTGTTTCCATGGCAAGTGTTTATTGATAATTTTACTTTGGATAAACATACGAAGTTGAACATGTGGATTGGAATGGCTTTGACAAGTGCAAAGTATGCTGTTGTGCGACCCTGTTCTACACCTTGGGATGAGAAACTTTCACAATCTAGTGCAAATTGTCTTTGTACATAAAAACTAGCCTTTTTGTGAATACACTTCTGGACAACTGCTTCCCCACGTTGTGCACGTGTTGTGGAGTTATCTCACCACAATTCACGCTGGTTAGTGCAGGTGTGTGATGTCGAGGAGCATAGATATGAGAGCATATGTACAGTTCGTGTGCAACGTCTTTGCAGAATTGCCCTCTGCTGCTGGTAACATAGCCAATTGAAGGGGTTTTAAACAGTTAACCGGTGACACTTTATGTAACAAATTCACTCATGCTAGGTTCCAAAAACACACTATTCATGTAAAGCACTTTGTCAGTCCACTGCCGGATGAAGGTGTCCCAATGCCATGTCGCTCTTGGTGGATTTGACCATACTTCACCACGATGGTCACTATGCGTTGGCGACGGGGTTGGAGTAGGGTGGCCCAGGCCTGATTCCGATCTCTCTCACTCGCCATCGATGCTAACCGTGGCCGGGAATGTAATCATGTAGGCAGTGGGGCAGGTAAAACCTTCCCGCCACCGCTCCACCCATCGGCTACATCCGAGATCATCAGCCATGATGATCTATCCACTGCTGGATGAAGGCCTCCCCAAGTCGTTGTGATCCCTTCGTCTCGCGATGCGACAATTCATGTTCCCTCCTGCAGAAAAACCAGCCCGACCCATTGCGCCACCGCTCCCACTCCACCACCTCACAGTACACCTCAAGACTAAGTGATGTACTGTACTTAACCTTAGCGATTTAAGTGAAACGTGTATTTAGAATATTTACTGATATAAATTTCCACATCAGCCACCTTGCCGCCTCTGAAAAATAATGTAATATCTCAGTGGGCTTTGTCTGGTAAGATAAAAAAAAACCGTAGTTTAGTTTTATTTGCCTATTCTTAAAACGTTATTTGTTTATCTTTCCTATACTTTTCACTCTTCTCGTGTTTTCTATCGTTTATTGTTGTAACGTTCTGACCCGCCCTTACTGTGAAAAAGAGCTTCTGGAGAAATTACTGGTGAAAACGTCGAACTCAGATTGTAAATGTTGTGGCTTGGCTCTCCAACACGCCGGTGTGCTGTACTAGTGACAAATTGTCGTGTTCTGTTAACGTGACAACTCTTACTAGTTGGCTGTGCCGGATGGTGGCGAGTTTTAACGACACATTTATATATTTACGCGATCTAACCCAAAAAAGAGCTTTATCGCTCATCGGATTCCTCAATCATAAATGTTCATATTCTACGTATCTCAAACACACAGACTCAGGTGACTTAAATTAACAGACGCAACTCAAGCGACGTAAACGTGATTGAATTAAGTATAATTCAGGCTAATTTCCCAGCTCCGAGCGACCGATCTCATCCAGGGTCAAGGGCAACCACCAAACGCCGCAAGAGCCGAGCCCACACAAGGCCCAAGGCGGCACGGAGTGACGCGAACCGTCCCCGCCTCGCCCCGCGTCTCGCCGGAGTCTCTCGGCGCCAGGAGATGGCGAGAAGACGGCGAGAGAGGGGGGAATGATTCGAGGTAAACAAGAAGACAGAGAGAGACGAGAGAGCGAGGTGGAGGATGTGATGCACGGAGATGCGGTCACCTTCTTGAGCGCACCGGCCATGTTGCCTAGGGGTAGAGGGGGGGGCGGAGCTTCGTCTGGCAGAGCAGCGCTCTGATTGGTCGAGTCAGCGCAGGCTACGGAGCGCCCCGCGGTTACTACAGAAAAATCGTTCGGCGAAATGCGTTTCGTTATTGTGCGCGGTGTAACTGTGTGGACACGGTACGGGTACAATAATATCTTGATTTGAACAATTATATCACGTTCATTTAGTTTAAGAGTCTAAGTGAAGAAGAGCCTTTCCGCCAGCAGTGGCCTGAGTGTGACATTTCAGGGCTGCACCTTTATCTTTTTTTAGCAATCGCCACATTGTTAAGGCGCTAAAATAGTTGAATGTTGGTTCTTTATCCGCTACTTGTGCCTGCACCTCCGACGCGCTCTGTGTCCTGCGCAAGGACCGCTCTGGCGGTGTTTCTGTCCCGTGCTGATGGCACCACGAACCCAGCTTAGCAAGCTAGCTGGGTAACTGGCTACACGGGGACGTATCGTGGAACAAATACAACATTGCATTGCTCGATTGCAGGTGCAGCATTTAAAAAAAAATTCCCCCCCGCTGACGATACAAATGGAATGTAATAGCAGGGTATTTGTGCACGTGAACGAAGTGACCATATACAAATAAAATCTACAAACTTACGCATCACTACGTCTGTCCTTTATCTCGTGTCACGCCGTGGGTCGCGAGCGGGAAACACTTTGGCAGCTCCGTCACCGACAAACACCGCACTCACCATTGACGGCGTGTGTCACGTTGTGTGTGGCCTTTGTCTCTCTCCCGCGTGCTGTCTGCCCGCCCTGCCTGTCTGGACCCTCACTCCGCCTGACTGACTGATGCGTGATTGTGCCTCAATTGCAAGGCCGTAGCCATGGAGTCAACATTGGGGCGGACCAAATCTTCCAGGGTCTCTGGGGGTCCCAACCCAGAAAAAAATATAAATTTTAAAACTCATTTCCCGCCTAAAATATTAGGAAATTCACTAACACATGGGATGGACTTTTATTAATTTTTTAAATGTCTAATAGTGTATTGTATTACATTGCTCTGTTCTTACTTTTTTACCATTTCTTGTTTCATTGTATGTAATGACAGAGATTAGGGATTAATAAAGTACAACCATAACCACAATGATATAAACATAAATCTATGCATTGATTTATATAAAGACAAGTCCAGATATTGTGGCCAAGGTTTAGCAAATTGTTTTTTATTTACATAGCATAGCAATCATTTATTTATAGCAATATATTGGGAGGGGGGGCATTTTAATATCGATGTGGTGTCAACGCACGCCTCTGACCGAATCACCTGGAACGCGCCCGATCTCACCAGGTCTCAGAAGCTAAGCAGCGTTGCGCCTGGATAGTGCCTGGATGATGAAGTGGCTGGGTAGGTGTGCGAGAAGTCTCGGAGCGCGAATTGATGCCGACACCTCCACACATCATTCAACATTACATCTCGCCAGGTATTGCCCACGTTTGTACACCTACGCGCCTGACACAAAAAACCAGAGGTGTGGACTCGAGTCATGTGACTTGGACTCGAGTCAGACTCGAGTCATGAATTTGATGACTTGAGACTCGACTTGGACTTGCATAACAATGACTTTGTCCCACCTCTGAGGTGTGAACTCGAGTCATGTGACTTGGACTCGAGTCAGACTCGAGTCATGAATTTGATGACTTGAGACTCGACTTGGACTTGCATAACAATGACTTTGTCCCACCTCTGCAAAAAACACACCCACGTGCCGATCTACAAACTGACATCCACACCCAAAGATAAAGACCCCACGTATAGCCTTCAAAGACTGTCGGGGCAAGTGCTGTTAGCGAGCACCTGTGAAGGCCTTCACGGCACACGAGGGTGTGGGTAGCCAGCACCACGCTCGGCCGCCTTTGTCTCCCGAGTGGAGATGTTTACACAACGCATTTGAGGCTGAGTCGACCTAGGCGAGGCCCAGGACCGGTTCTGATAATCGTCACTGATGGTGTTGGAGGTTGAGCGGGAATGGAACTTGCGACCCCGGGTTCATAGCGCAGCGCGCTAACCACTACACTAGCGCTCTCCACCCACAGATACACACCCTGACCCACCCACAGACACACACACTCAGACCATGACCCACCCACAGACACACCCTGACCCACCCACAGACACACACTCACACCCTGACCCACCCACAGACACACCCTGACCCACCCACAGACACACACCCTCACACCCTGACCCACCCACAGACACACAGACACACACCCTGACCCACCCACAGACACACACCCTGACCCACCCACAGATACACACACTCACACCCTGACCCACCCACAGACACACCCTGACCCACCCACAGACACACACACACACACCCTGACCCACCCACAGACACACACACAGCCTGACCCACCCACAGACACACACACTCACACACGCTGACACACAGAGACATTCAAAAAGTCCAGCCCTGCCTGTGTCTTTGCGCACACGGACCCCCACCTGGGCTGCGGGGCCATGTGTACGAGTTTGATTCCCACCGCTGGACTTCTCGTCTTCGTCACCGCCATCGCCTCCGTCCTGCTGCCCATCTCCTCCGATGCCACCCACGTGCACGTCAGCTTCGTGAGTTCATTCTGGCCAAGTTCGCGGGCCCATTCATTGCCGGAGACATCCATTCTCGAGATTCATTCACAAAGTCCAGCTCTTGTAGAGAACGGTGTGGGGTGAATCGGTTCCTAGTTAATAAATAACACAATGATCGGACTAAATATTTCATCACACGATTGATTTATTAATCTGTCTGTGGAGGGGGGAGGAGGATTTTTGATCGTTCACAATGGCCAGCTCTTCCGGAGGAATGTTCTGGGATCAATTTAATTCGCGGGGAATTCGTTCGTAAGTTAATTCGTTCATGCATTCACAATGGCCAGCTCGTGTGGAAGGGAAAACGAACCACGGCTTATTAACGCCTACAGTTAATTGGTTAATGAGTCAAACTTGTTAACAGATCGTTTCGTGTGCGTGGGCTTTGCGAGTTCGCAAAGGTTATCTCCGAATAGAGAAATGGTTTCGGGCTTATTGATACATTAATTACTAGGTTCACAATGACCACCTCGTTGAACCGAGAACGCGGGGCAATTTTAGCGCTGCGTCGTGGCAATCGTCCAGGTGTCTGAGGCTCAAACATCCGTGAGCAATTAATCAAAGAAACCATTAATGAATTCATCGCTTTGTTGTTTGCATTGTGAGTTGCTTTGTATCGGGTGCTGCAAGCGCTTGCGTAGGAGATGTAAAATGAGTTTTAAAATAGCGTGAAAATGTAATGCAGTAATAACAATTATACTATGTAACGCAATTTTTGTTCCTGGGTACTAAGTGTTATTTCGTAATTGCTTATGCCAAAAACGTATAGAAAATGGCTGTTATTCCCCTGAAACTTTGCTTTTTGTGACCTGGACAGTGATATTTTAAAATGTACCTATTTTCAATTAGAAAACGGGCAAATTTTTGTCTTTCGTTCACACAAAGGCAGAAAAAAACAACATACGAATCAAAATTAACATGTATTCATACTAAAGTAATACAAAAATGACTACAAAAGATGTATAAGTGAGTAGTTTTTCTAGATTTACGATTATACTGTAAATCACTTTCACGAATCAGCCCCCAAATGTAGTCTCCCATCATGTTCTCGTTATATTGTCCTTGGTGGTGGCGTTCAAAGTCCAGTATATCATGGTGGAAGCGCTCGCCTTGCTCCTCCGAGTACGCTCCCATGTTCTCCTTGAATTTATCAAGATGAGCATCAAGGATATGGACTTTGAGGGACATCCTATAACCCATTGTGCCGGAGTTTTTCACCAGTCTCAACCAGCTCCACATCGTTTTCGACCTTGTATTGCCCAGGAAGCCACGAACCATTGCGACAAAGCTGTCCCAAGCCGTTTTCTCCTTACTAGTGAGCTTCTTTGAGAATTCATTGCAATCCAGGATCTTCTTTATCTGTGGTCCGACGAAGACACCGGCTTTGATCTTTGCTTCAGACAGCTTAGGGAAGAAGTCTTGAAGGTACTTGAAGGCTGCCGACTCCTTATCTACAGCTCTGACAAATTGTTTCATAAGGCCCAATTTGATGTGCAGTGGTGTCATCAGCACCTTCCGGGGGTCCACCAGTGGCTCCCACTTGACATTGTTCCTCCCCACAGAGAACTCGGTCCGCTGTGGCCAGTCCCGCCTGTGGTAGTGTGCCTTGGTGTCCCTGCTGTCCCGAAGGCAAAGATAGCAGGGAAACTTGGTAAAACCGCCTTGGAGACCCATCAGGAATGCCACCATTTTGAAGTCTCCGATGACCTCCCAGCCGTACTCATCATACTTCAAGGCATCCAGCAAGGTCTTGATGCTGTTGTAATCCTTTTTGAGGTGCACCGAGTGAGCCAGGGGAAGAGATGGGAACTTGTTATCATTATGGAGCAGCACGGCTTTGAGGCTCCTGGATGAGCTGTCAACGAAGAGGCGCCACTCATTCAGGTTACAGGCGATTCCGATTGCCTCGAACAGACTGGTCACATTGTGGCAGAAACAGAGCCCATCTTGACGAGTGAAAAATATGCAAAAAGGTTGGTGACACTTCCCCTGATCTGCGACTTGCACACTTTCATCCAACAAGTTCCACTGCTTGAGCCTAGACGTCAAAAGCTCGGCATTGGACTTGGTGAGACCAAGATCTCTGATCAAGTCGTTGAGGTCTTTTTGTTTGGGGTAGTATAGGTTTCTCTCCTCATCCTTTGTAATCAATACTTTTGGGCTACCCTGTATAATAACCCTATGTGTCCTGGCTTTTGGGTCTGTTTTGTTGTTAGCAGTGCTTGTGGGCCACTGCCAAGTAACTTGGATGTAATTCCCTTAATTCGTCTGTGACAGCGAGAAAAGCGGGGAACTCGACGGCCAGACGCTTCGCCACCAGACACACATGTAAGTAAGCATCTCGTATTCAATTTCGATTGCCCTGGTCGGTCCTTAGAAGGACGGCGATCCAGGGGAGTCCCAGGGCCTATCTAGCCGGTCTTCTTTCTTCGCTGGTTTAAGCTAAACACTGAACCCCGAGCCCACCGGCTCACCGCCTTATATAGCAACTCCCCCACCAAGGGGTGGGGCCGTGGGGGATCCCAGCGCCGTTTTAACCCCCCAGGCTAAACGGTGCGGACGTGGATGTAAGCATCCTTCCGCGTGCGGGCATAACCACCCCCGGTGTGTTTGTTCGCCCTCCCGTAACACCTCTACACAATGTTTAAACGTTGCCACTTGGGGTGACAAAGGCGGCCGGGCGGGATGCTGGCCGTGGCGGCCGTTCTAGGTGCTCGCTGACGGCACTTAAGGTCACACGGTGGGGGGGAGGGGGGTCTGTTGCCCTTGGTCTCTTTTGCAGGCTGGTGAGGCTGGCGTGGAGGTGAGCGAGTACTCGGTGAGGTGCCTGGTGGAGTCTCGCTACGCGCGCACCTGGGCCCGACTCGAGGTGGTCAACGCGGGTGCGGCCCGCCGCCTCGTGCCGCTGCAGCTGCCCGTGCCGGCGTCGGCCTTCGTCTCCAACTTCAGCGTGTGAGTGGCGCGCTCGCGGGGGCCGCCGTCATCCCATCTCGTTCACAGCTCATCTCATCCATCGATCGATCGATCTTATTTTATATTTGTAGAGCGTCTTCGCTCAAGGCGCTCGATAACGATGTTTAAAAGCGGTTAACAAAAACTAGAGTGATTTAGATGGCAAGGGGCGTGGCAAGGGCCGAGGACCGAATGACCGTAACAGAGGACACGTGGGGGTCACAGAAGGGCTAATGGGGAGGGACGTGACGGAGTGGAGGGGCCAGGAGACGGAAGAGGAAGGGAATGGGCCGTGGAGAAGAGGTGAGGCTTTAAGAGAGGAACGTAAGGATGCTAAGGAGGGGGACTGCTTCATGTACATGGGAAGTTGTATTTGTTAAGCGGAGAGACCCGTGTAGCCAGTTACCCAGCTATCTTGCTAAGGGGGGATCCGTGCCGCCATGAGCACAGGACAACAACAAAAACTAATCTAAAGTTGCTCTTTCGTGTGGCGATCGCTGCTCCTTTCTCCGTCGCGACGTGGGAAGCGAAAATCAGCGGGGAAAAAACTACACAGGAGCTCGTTCGTACGTTCGCGTTTTCAGAACCTCGCCGGACGTCAATTTCTGCTTTGGCCCAAGGACCGCGAGAGATTTAACGAGGGCGAGAGAGTGAGTGTGAGAGAGAGTGAGAGAGTGTGAGAGTGAGAGAGTGAGAGAGAGTGTGAGAGAGAGGGTGAGAGAGAGAGAGTGAATGTGTGAGAGAGAGTGTGAAAGAGAGAGAGAGTGAGAGAGAGAGACGGTTGAGAGATTAACTGCGGCGTGGAAAGCTCCTGGCGGTGGCTACATGGATGGATGGTGTTGGTGGTGGTGTTGTTGTTGGTGGTGCTGGTGGTGTTGTTGGAGTCGTGGTGAACCCCTGCGTTGGGGTCACGCCTCCCCGCAGGTGCGCTGTGGTTGCCCCGGCGACGGCGCCACAAGAGGGCCCACGACTGGCACGCGGAATGTCAAAACAGCGCGCACGGGGCGGGGGTCGCATCTCAATCTCCCTCCTCTCTCTCGTCTATCCGTTATTTATTTATTTATTACTTCCACCATGACCCCCCCTCACCCCATTATTTTGGAAAGCCCAAGACGGACGGGTTTTTAAAAGCGACACGATTTATCGTTTCAAATTCTGTTGGGGGCCAATTTTGCTTTCAGAGAGAGGAAAAAAATGGTAAAAATTCTTAAACGCTGTTCGCCGTTCAGAGAGCCCTTCTCCCCATGTGATGGGCATTTTGAAGCAAAGCGTCTCAAAACAAGGAGTGCTAAAAGCCGTGTAACGAGCAGTTTGGCCCGGATGCGTTACGTGGATTGATGGCGCTGTCGAACATACAGAAGAAGAAAAACAACCCCAGAGACTTTCCTTTCTTGTTCAGGACGATTGTTATTTTATTCTCAAATCAATCGTTTTTTTTTTGGCGTGGGAAACAGGGAGAAAAAATGTCAGGGAGATGGTCCTCGGATTAAGAAATTTAAGTAAAAAGCACGGGGCTCCCAGGTAGCTCAAGCAGCCCCGCATTCATTGCGAACAAAAACGAATTAGTGTCTTAAATGTAGATCCTAATGCACATAACAGGTTGATTAAAATGTGAAACATACAATCCCCATCTGATCTGCATCCTGTTCTCTCACCGACCCTTTGTCTCTTGTCTGCATCTCATCTCACCGTTCTGTCGCGTGCGTGGATCTCTCCCCTGGTCACACGACTGCGTCACCTTCGTGCAGATGTCTCTCTCCTCTCACGACTGGGCTCTTGCCTCAACCTCGCCTCAATCTCTGTCTCTCGTCGATATCTCTTCTGCCATCGCACTCGGCATTGGGGGGTTGGGGGGCAATGAGCTAGGCGCCACCGCAGCTCGTAAAAAAATTTGTCGAAAAGAATGATTGGGGCTCTGCGTTGCTGTGAGGGTAGAAACACTGACCTCTCCCTGCATTGGGTTAAAAGTCAGGGCCAGATTTGGGATTCGTGAGGGGCGGTGGGTTCGCGTGGGCGGGGGGGGGGAGTTAGGGCGGGGGGGGAAGCCGGTGGGGGGGGAGGCAGAGGTCTACTCTGCCTGGTGGCCCGCGGGGTAAGTCTACCTTCATCCGCCTCTCTTGAGGCTTCCAAGGACATCGCGCAGCATCCCCGTGACCCCTCGTGGCTGATTGAGCTCGTGCCGAGTGCTGCTTGACTTTTGACCCGTCGTGACGTCACAACGACCCCCACGGCAGCTCTCCTTGGCTGGGAATGTCGCCGAATCTTACCGCGTGCCAAAACCGCTGTCTTAAATCGCGGGCGTCGAGCTCATTTGCGATTCGCAATAGATTGTTGTGGTCCGACCGTCGCGTAAGTAAAATTGTTGCGTCGTTAAACCCTCCTCCACCCGACACGGCCAATCTATAAAGTTGCCACTGTGGTGACCAAACGTGGCCAATTCCTTACCGCTGCGGCAGCAGCGCCGGTGTTGCTGGAGAACGATCGACACGTGCACAGCGTGACTCTATTGGGTACGGACGCTTCACCGGTCGTTCCAGGCAGCAGCATCATACAGGCGGCGTCAGAGGCAGGTTCCAGAAATCTGGAGCAGATACATGCAGTGGTCTTCAGTTTCAAGTCGATTATGTTTAACAAGCTGAGAACTCAGTGGGCCAGGATGAGGCCCGTTTGCAAGAGCGAGTGACCTGACACACGTGCACAGAGGGGCACAGTCGGGCAGGTGAACATTCGCGGCCGAGGGTTGGGTGTCTGTCAGCCATCACTCGTCACGGGGATCGAGAGAGATTTGGTGGGAGGAGGAGGAGGTGGTTACTGTCGCCGTTCCACCTGAGACCTGGAGACGGCGAAACAAACACGGGCAGCGCGCGGCGGATCAAGCGGCGGCGGCAAGAAAGGAGACGGAGGGGAGGAGAGAATTTGACGCCCGACAATTCCTCGACTCGGGCTGCCGGACGCGTTGATCTTGCGCGCGTTTGTCATCGTCTCGCGTCTGCGTTTGTCATCGGTCTCTTTGTTACTGTCTCTCCCTCGCACCTGTGGACAAAATCCTCCACGGTGCAGCCGTGTGACGTAAGTCTCTCTCCGTCGTCTTCCCACGCGGCCTTCTGCTGCTCCTGCTGCCCGCCAGCGAAGTCAACACGTGGAGAGAGGAACCGTCAGAGCTGCTGTCGTCACGCACAACGAAGCTTTGTTATCGTGGTGTAGCTGCGACTACCGGTGTGTGTGTGTCTGCGTGTCCTTGCGAGTGTGTGCGCAGCGGTAGTGTCGTGGTTAGTGCGCCGTGCTACGAACCTGGCCACCCAAGTTCGATTCCCGCTCATGGCCACCAACACTGGACATTTGTGAAAAAGAGCTTCATAGCTCATCGGATTTCTCCAGACTAAATAAAGAATCTGATCTTCTGATCTGATCTGAACACTAGTGACGATTATCCGAGCCGGACCTGGGCCTCCCCTGGGTCGACTCAGCCTTTAAAGAATGAGTACCTGGTGCGGGATGTAAACATCAGCACTGAGGAGACAAAGGCAGCTGGGCGTGGTGCTGGCCACACCGCTCCCTCGTCTGCCTTGTGAGCGGCTTCAACACTAACAAGACTTGTCCCAACAGTCTAATTCTTAATGGGAATCTGTGTGCGTGTGAGTGTGTGTGTGCAGGGTTGTAGGTAACAAGACCTATGTCAGCAGGGTACGGGAGAGGGCACAGCAGAAGGCCGCTGTACACAAACACAGCTACAATGATACCGGGTGAGCACAGATTCCAACAATAGCAGTCCACACACACACACGACAAAGATCCTCCGTATAGCCTTAACATACTTTTGGGGCAAGTGCTGTTTGCGAGCAGCTATAAAGGTCGGCACGGCACACGAGGTTCCTCATTTGAGGCTGAGTTGACCTAGGGGAGGCCCAGGACTGGTTCACGATCACAACCTTAACTACAGCCCAACCCCTAATCCCAGCCATAACACCAAATGAAACCCCAATTCCAAACCCTACCCAACTCCAACCCGAGTTTTGCACATTAACCCTATACTCTCAATCAAAATCAAAACCACAACCCCAACCAACCTCTAAGCCCAGCCATAGACGACGCCAATCCTAACTCTACAAATAACTAATCCCAAGCTGAACCCAACCCGAGCCTTAATCCCAACCCTAACAGTAACACCAACCGTGACCCGACCATAACCCCAATGTTAACCAACCCTAACCCCTCTGCCCCCCTCCGCCGTGCCCACTCTCCGGCGCGACCCCCCGCCCCTCCACCCGCGCGTGACCCCGCGTGACCCCGCGTGACCCCCGCAAGTCCGCGTGGCTGGCACGTGCTGCGCGCCTCGGTGCCCGTGCCGGCCGGGGCCCGTGCCGTGCTGGCAATCACCCACGAGGCGCTGCTGCAGCGGCGGCTGGGCCGCTACGAGGTGGCGCTGAGCATGCGGCCGGGCGTCGCGGCGCGCTCCCTGCGCCTCCACGTGGAGCTGGCGGAGAGCGCCGGGATCTCGGAGCTCACGGTGCTGCCGCTGAGGCCGGCCGCGGGGCAGACAACGGCGGCGCGTCGGCACGGCAAGTGTCACAGCCGGGCATCTGTTTTTGTTACGCGCTTTTATTTAACTCACTCTGTCTGTTGTTGTTGTTGCCGTTGTTGTTGTATCCTCAAATCTTGTAACTTAATTTTAACCCACTTCCCAATGTGGTATCGACTGCAAACTTGGTATACTTATGTCATACTGATGACAATACTATATTCTATCATAAAAAAAAGTAACATTATTTTTTACATGTTATGTTTCGGCTTGGGTCTAATTATCCACGGTCAACTGACGTTTGCTGTAATTGGGCACGTGTTAATTTTTTTTTATATTACTTATTTGTCTTTGAATTACGCTGACGGCGTTCGTGACTTTGCCTCCGACGTTTAAAGCTAGTAAATACGTGTTTTGTTTGTTTGAAGAAAGGAGTGATTTATGGTTGACGGATTTGCCTTGATGACCACGTAAAAAAACATTGCAACATGTAATCCAAAATCAGAATATGTGTTGTGGATGTATCCAAAGAGCTATGAAGCTCTTTTTCACAACAGATGTCCAGTAGTCCATACCATTCGCCTGAGGCTCCTCATCACCTGGCTGCCCAGGCTCACCCCTGCCTGGCTTCTGCCATCTGTCTTGAGTGGGCCCAGTCCGGGGGTATTCGGTCACATTCCCGGGACAAATGCAGAGACCCCCCAAACGAATGACACTGAGACGGCACCGTCGCCGTCGATGTTGACATTCACCGAGTGACGGCTCTCGCCTCGGTGAACGTCGCCGTTTGTAATCGCGGCGCCACATTTGTGACGACGGCTCTGACCTCGACCTTCTCGACCTCCTCGACCTCGACGTGTGTGACGCGGCAGACACGGGGCAGGCCCCCGAGGGCACGGCAGTGGAGCGCTCGGCGACCCGGGCGCGGGTCCGCTACGAGCCCACGGTCCAGCAGCGGAGCGGGCTCTCGGCAGCCGAGCGGCTGGGCGAGTTCGTCGTGTGGTACGACGTCTCGCGACACCTCGGCGTGGGGGACATACAGGTGACGGCGCTCACTCGCTCGCACGCGCTCGCACGGCGATTTACAACAGAGGTTGAGAAAAGTGAAGCCGTTAGCGACGTCCCATCCGTCCGTCCCGTAACGGGGACCAGGGCACGTTGACTTCCCCCGTCAAGATGATCCGATAGGAATAAAAACTCCCCTGTGAAGTTGCGTTGCCATTGGGGACTCGCTCTTAGGAAAACCGGACTCATCGATCAAAGCATTGCCTACATGCTTTCTTTTGGAGATTCCGTGCTGCTAATTCGCTATTCCGTGCTGCTAATAAGTTATTACGTGCTGCTGATTGAATACTTCCGAATATTTAGTTTTGTTAGTAAACTGTGGCTGAGAATCCAAACTCAGGTCGTAGAATAATAATGCTAAACCACTGCACCACCGCTCCCCACGATGTAGAAAAGATCCCCCGTATAGCCTGAACAGACTGTCGGTGCAAGTGCTGTTAGCGAGCACCTACGAAGGCCGGCACGGCACACGAGGGGGCGGGTGGCCAGCACCACGCTCAACCACCTTTGTCTCCCCAGTGGCAACGTTCACACATCGCACCCTGTACTCGTTTGAGGCTGAGCCTACCTATGGGAGGTCCAGGACCGGTGCAGATTATCGTGACCGGTGTTGGCCGCGAGCGGCCGTTCGTAGCGCAGCGCAGCGCTAACCGCTGCGCCACCGCTCCCCACGCACGCACGCACGTGCGCTCTCGGTGTGTATACGCTACACGCGCGCTCTCGGTGTGTATACGCTACACGCGCGCGTGACCTCTTATACCCTGGGCGAGTAATTTACTCCCAATTTTCCTCGCAGGTTAAAATTCCTCGTGAAGAGCACGGCTTAGAGTCCCGAACAGGTTGGGCGCAGCACGCACAGTGACTTGGGCCTACAGCTCCCCTCCCCCCGCCGCCAAGTCGACGTTTCTTTTTGTCCTGTCAAACATTTAGGGGTTTTTTTTCCCAACCTCCCCCCCATTTCTGTTAATTTCCACGGCCGTTGTCGCTCTCAGCAGCCTCCTCCTCCAGCCCGGCAGCCGTAATCCGCGCCCGGGGCGAGGACCGCCCCCTGTCTCCATCTCACTCGGAGCGCTGCAGAGACGAGGGCCCGGCCGAGTGACGGACAGAGAAGCAGTGTCTCGACGCTTTATTGAAACTGCTGCTTCAGCAACTGCTGCTGTCTTGAGGATTACTTTTTTTTGCCGAGGAGCGAATTTTCTGGATTATGTCTGTTTCAACAACAAAAATAGAAATGTATGTGTGTGTATATAATCATGTTGGGAGCGGTGGCACAGTGGTTAGCGCGCTGCGCCATGAAGCCAACAGCGACCCGAGGTCGATTCCCGGTCAAGGCCACCACCACCAACTCCAGTGACGATCATCTCAACCGGTCCTGGGTCTTGCCTAGGTCGACTCAGCCTCAAATGCATACCCGGTGCGATGTAGAAACGTCACCACTGGGGAGACAAAGGCGACCGGGCGAGCGTAGTGCTGGCCACCCACCCCCTCGTGTGCCGTGGCGGTACCAGCACTTGCCCCGAGAGTCTGTTCAGGCTATACGGGGGATCTTTGTTTATATATATTTTAGGGGTGGCCAACTTGTGAAAGACCCATGAGTTCTGCACAGAGCCACGTGTGTGTATATAGACGAGTATATATTGGCAGTTTCGGCACAGTACGGAAGACATTCATTATTCTCTGCTACTGTGATATCGCGTTCTGCGTTCTGCTCCTTCGATAGAGCCGCACGTGGTGGTGGATTAAAGAGCCGCATTGCAGCTCGGGAGACGCCAGTTGGCCACCGATGATATGTACAGCAATCACAGTGTCCGTGAGCCCGCGGGGAAGTGCTGGAGGTGGGGGATGGAGTTCATCGTCTGATGGAGTTGCTCTCTGCGAGTCCGTGCGGTCGCGCAGCGTTACAAGTCGATATTTTATTTTAACAATTTATTCGCGTGGGAGTATTGCGCGATATTGTTGCCATCCTTGGTCCTTGACGCTTGTTTACTCATCGACAATATGGGCCACGGCCTTTGGTTGATCCTTAGCCATCATGGCTGTGGCAGAGATATACACAGGTGATCATTAAAACAGGCATTAGGGCTAACGCATTGCTACACGCGTGCCATATATGTGCGCGACTGTGAGAGCACGTGTCCCCTGTCTCCGCCCTGCCCCCCACAGGTGCGTGACGGTTACTTTGTGCACTACTTTGCGCCCACGGACCTGCCGGCCGTGCCCAAGGACGTGGTGTTTGTCATCGACACCAGCGGCTCCATGATCGGCACCAAGATCGGGCAGGTAGCGTGGCGGGGGTGGGGGTGGAGGGGGAGTGGCACGGGAGGGGACGCGAAGGGTGGGGGTCGGTGTGTACTTGTGTGTTTGTGTCAACCCATGGTCGATTCAGCCTCAGAGTACCTGGTGTCAGAGCCGCCCAGGGCCCCGCGCTTTGGGGGGCGCGTCCACGTCACGGTGTCAGATGTAATACGTCCGGTTTAGTTTGAAGGCGTGGGGGGGGGGGGCACACACAGTGGGGTTTTCCCCGCACACCCCCCTATGGATGGCCGTGCCAGGTGTGGTGGGTAAACATTGCCACTGGGGAGACAAAGGCGGCCGGGACGTGGTGCTGGCCGCCCTCGTGTGCCGCGCTACGAACACGGCAGAGACCCGAGTTCGAGTCCCGCTCACGGCCACCACCACCACCAGCGGTGACGAGAGTCTCAACCGGTCCTGGGCCTCTCCTAGGTCGACTCGGCGGAGAGGTTTGCATCATCAGGCATGGGTGGTGGAGGCGCCACCCATGTTATAGTAGTGGGGGGGGGGGGAGCACCCCAATACTATACCAACCACGAGCCTTCCCCTCCCCATTCAACTTTATTTTATCACTACGTTAGTTTACCCCGGCAAGCCTCACCGATGTGAGTAATCACCATCAAGTAATTTGCGAGTAAATGTTCCAGCATTGGTTTAATCTGGTTCTAACGTCATGATGATATCATTATTCATTTATTCATCCAGGACACCCACACCGAGTCGTGGGACTCGAGATGAGGTTTTTATTTTAAGAAGTTTCCACCAACAAACGACGAGTGTGCACACGGGTCGAGATTAAACCAGAGCACCCGAAGACAACCCACGCGTTGGGCGAGGGGGCAACGCTCTATCCCCCGCACGGACGGAAGCAGATGGCGATGAATCCACTTGTTGTACAGCCTTCTCCTGGCACCTCCTCGGCGCCCACCCACGAGACGGGAGTTTCACAACATCTGTGCGTGAACCACCAACCCTTGCTGCTGCCTCCACAGCGCAGGATCACTACAGGCACCACGTGGTGCGGCGTAGCGACCACCACCGCACTGACGGTGACCGCACCGATCCATTCCGTCCGCCCCTTAGACCAAGGACGCCATGCAGACGATCCTGAAGGAGCTGCGCACGGGCGATCGTTTTAACGTGGTCACCTTCTCGGAGAGGGTGCGGGTGTGGAGGCCGGGCCGCATGGTGGAAGTGACGCGCGACGCCGTGCGTGACGCTCGCAAGTACATCTACCTCGCCTCGCCCGCGGGAGGTACGTCTCACCCGACACCGCTCCGCTGCTGGATGGAGCGCGCCACGATGGCTAGGAGATGTTAACTACCTCGCCTGGTATGCAGGAGGTCATGGGGTCGATCCCGACTCTGATGCCTGCTGTATGTATATCTGGAGTTTGCAAGTTCTGCCCGTGTTTGCGTTGATTTTTCTCCGGGTCCTTCCGTTTTGTTCCCTCCACATTTAGAATCAACGTGCGCTTCGAGTATTTGGTTACAGCTATAAATGTCCAAGTGATGATGAGCCACTTCGTTGAGGTATCATTTGCGGCCAGGTCACTTCTGAAAAAGAGCTACATAGCTCAGTGGACCTTACCTGGTAAAATAAAAACATTTGTTTCATATTGTTCTAGTTTAGGCGCCTCCTCTAAGCCATCGCCACAGATTAGAGGAGAGCTCCACGGTACGCATGAGCGTACTGAGGACAAATCTGCATTCAACGGGTGACCGAGCGTTCAGTCGTCAGGCGCCTCGCTTGTGGAACGTCTTGCCCCGGTCCATTAGGGACGCATTTATTTCCCCTTGCATATCCGTCTGTGTTAAGAGTGGTTTTCCTTAAAACGTTGATCTTAAGGGTTTTTAGTGGGATTGCATGGTAAAGCGCTGTGAGGCCTCGTGTGAATGGCGCTACCCTAAACTGAGTTCTACTTTCTGTCCACTTGCGGTCCCCGCACGCACGCCGCCGCCGTCATCGCGGTCACCATCGCTGTCGGCCAGGACCTATCCACTGCTGCCGCGTGTCTCTCTCCCCTCTCTCTCTCTCTCTCCGTCGTCCCTCACAGGCACGAACATCAACGCCGCGCTGCTGACCGGCGCCAGGCTCCTGGCACGCCCCGCGGCGCCGGCGGACGACCGCGTGTCGCTGCTGGTGTTCCTGACGGACGGGCAGCCGACGGCCGGCGACACGGACCGCGTGGCCATCGTGACGCAGGCGCGCGCCGCCGCCGCCCAGGGACGCTTCTGCATCTTCAGCCTGGGCTTCGGCGCCGACGCCGACTTCGCGCTGCTAGACGCGCTGGCGGCCGGCAGCTGCGGGGTGGCGCGGCGCGTCTACGACGGCGCCGACGCCAGCGCGCAGCTCAAGGGTGAGCGTCGCGGGGTTTGGTGGGGGGTCAAGGAGCGCGTGGGTGAGTGGGGGGTCAAGGAGCGCGTGGGTGAGTGGGGGGTCAAGGAGCGCGTGGGTGAGTGTGGCCCGCACGGGGGGGTGGGGGGGGGCAAACGGGCACGACACGGCCTGGAGAAGAGATGGACTGATGCAGCTACAGGAGGATGTGGAGGTGTGTCGATTTTGGCGACGACCGCGATACCAGCGTTGTAAAGATCGGCCGCTGTGGAGGAGGTTCATGAACGGGCGCTACTGGGCAGTCGGAGGCAGTCGCCCCTCGATAACAGCGGGGACGCGAAGCTCGCAACAACGAGCGGAGCGCCGGGCGGAAAAACCCCGCAGCGAATTGGCATGGTAGGGGGCACCAAGTGGTGCATCTGCAAGTCAGTCAACCCATGGCACCTGGGTCTGTCCCGTGACCTCCTGCCAGCAGAGAGCCTTTGACACTTGACGTGTGAGTCGGTGTGAGTACGGGAGCGAGCGGGAGTGGATTCGGACTCGCGGACACGACGGCCTCAGATCAGGGTCTGTCCAGGTCGACCACCGAGTAGTGGCAGATTAAGCGAGTGCGGGACCTGTAGCATATGTTATAAAGGGGCCTTAAATAAATAAAAAAACACGTAAATATTAAAACACATCGCTAATCTTTAACACCCAGTCGTTCATAAAAGTTGAAGGCAGTATAGTACTATAGTAATAGAACAAGTGCAGAATCACTGCACCGGAATTGATAGCTTGAAAGCATTTAGCGCGGGGCTTTGAAAGTGTGGGGCCCGTAGCAACATGTGTAGCTACGACACGAGTAGTAGCTACAAGTGTAGCTACTTTTGCTACTACGATAATCCGGCACTGTCACCCAGAAAACATCTCTGCGCCCGGCACACCACATCCATGAATACCTCTCCCTACGGCTGCGGCGACTGCTACTGCAGCCTAGCAGCAGCCTGCAACGCACTCGGCGAGGAGATGCGGCGCCGAGCTCAGACGTATCACCGAACGCGACTCCCCTCACCGCCACCTCCGCCACCTGCGCCAGGCTTCTACGACGAGATCGGCACGCCGGTGCTGACGGACGTGCGGGTGGCGTACCCCGACGGCGGCGTGCGGGACCTCACCCAGAGCGTCTTCGCCAACTACTTCAACGGCTCCGAGCTGGTGGTGGCCGGCCGGCTGGCGGGGAACAGGAGCGGCGGTGGCGCTGCGCCGTTTTCCGGCGACGCGCTCAGGGTGCAGGTGTCGGCGCGGGCCGCGGGGAACCGGCTCCGCGTGGAGGGCGACGTCGCGCTGCAGGTGCTCAGGGTGGTGCGGGGTGGAGAGCGGCGAGCGGTGGTCTCGGTGGGGCGGGCGTGATGAGCCGGGAGCGCGCGGGCGGCCGGGCCCCTCTCCGATTTGTCCTTTGGCGGAGCCGTGCGGTGCAGCCGCGGACAACTTACCGTGGCCGGGCCGATGCCACCGGTTCGTTGAGCGGTGGATGGTGAGGCACGTTGAGCTAAAACGACTCCGTTGGACGGACGGCCACAGGCCTGAGACCGTCGGCAGCTGCAGCAGTTGCAGGACATGGGAGTTACGCAGAGTGACTGTAGGGATACACAGAGTTCCATAGAGATCCGCAGAGGTACATAGAGATTCACAGACTCAGGCTTCATTATCTCAGCTGGCAAGGCCCGTTGAGGCAAGCGGCTCTGTTACCACGGCGACCACAGCCCAGGACCTTCGTCGGCAGTGGCGGCAGTCACAGGACGTCGCAGCGTGGGAGTGTGCACACTAACGATGCGCACGTCGCATATTCAGTCTTCATCTCATGACTTCACTACGACATCACACGTGGAATAACATTTTAAAAGAGGCCAAAGAGTAAAAATAACTCGATTGTTTTTCTTTCTCCCAATCGGATCCCGATTGTCGTCGGATGAATTCGGGGCACTCACGGCACAGTCGTGTTAGAGAGCGGCCCACGGAAGCGGGTGTCACGGAACCACTTCTGAAACCCCTTAAATGAGCTCTGTTTCCCCGCAGTAGTGGGCAACACTTTCCTACTCGCTGTGCCACCCGGCCACCCACCACAAAATAAATATCTCTCGCCTACTCCGAGAGGCCGCAGTTCATCGGGCGAACCTCGCCCGATTCCCATCGCCGTATCTTCCTTGCCGCAGAAACCTTCAGCGCCGGGCGGCACCGGCACCGGCCACGGCAACGGGACGGAGGAGGAGGAGGCGCGCGAGCCTCTGACTCCTCGCCTCTGGGCCTTCCTCACCATCAAGGAGCTGCTGAAGACGCGGCTGAGGGACCCGCTGCGTGGCAACGGCTCCACGGCGGGCACGGGCGGGGCGGCCGCGCCGCCACGGTCGCCGCTCGACGCTACCCAGCGAGCGATGGACCTCTCGCTCCAGCACCACTTCCTCACGCCCGTGACCTCGCTCGTGATGGAGGAGGAGGACGAGGGGCAGGAGGAGGAGCAGGAGGAGGCTGACGAGGGGGAGGAGGAGGAGGCTGACGAGGCAGGTGCTGGGGAGGAGAGGACCCGGGATGGCAACGGGCAGAATAAAGTTGAGGAGGAAGATGAAGAGGAGGCGGAGGAGGAGGGACCGGAGGATGTTGGAGGGCTGGACGGGACGCAGTTCGGTAGGGGGGTGGAGAGGGACGCGTCGCACGACTTGGTGTGGCTCGGTGTGGGGCGTTTGGCTGCTATAAATGTCCACGTGATAAGCCACTTCATTAGGCTATCGTCTGTGGCCAGGCTGTGTCTCTGAAAGAGTCTCATAGCTCAGTGGGCCTTACCTAGTTTATGGCAGATGTTTGCGGTTTGAGCACAGTAGCCTCCCTAGTTAATACCACGGGTGTGTTAACCATAATTGCTGCGTACCGTCTGCTGCACAGGGGGCGTTCAAAATGAAAGAGTAGTCGGCCAGTGTGTGCCGGCGTCACTGCCCAACTTCTTGCAAAGTACTTAGTCGGGGAGCCACACGGCAACATCGCCCCGCCCCCCACCCTACGGCAGACTAGCGCCCACTTGGGAGGCCGCTGCTGCCTTCACCGTGTGCTGCACAGAGACCGCTGCCACGGGGGGGTCCCCTGCTTTGAGGTCGGACCGCACGGAAGGCTCAATGATGAATGAGCGTGGTGGTGATGATGGTGGTGGCGGCGGTGGTGGCGGACTGGTTGACCTGTGTCGTTGGCAGCGCTGCCGGCGGCGTACCTCGCCACCGAGGAGGAGGAGGCGGCGGCGGCAGCGGAGAGCGGTGCGCGAGCGGGCGCCAAGCCGGCTAAGTTGTCGGGTACGCGACGACGCGGCGACCGCAACCACCAGTGGGGGGCTGGCTGGGATTGGGTGCAGGCGGAGGGATGGGAGAAGTTTGGCTGTCCGCGTGCGTGTGTGTATCTTTGTGTGTGTGCATGCGCGTGTGTGCGTACTTGTGTGCGTGCGTACTTGTGTCTGTGCTTGTGTCTGTGCTCGTGTGCGTGCGGTGAAGCTGACGGGGACCCGCACTTCGTGGTGGAGCTGCCACGTAGCGGCCTCACCGTGTGCTTCAACATCGACGGAGAGCCGGGCCACGTGCTGCGTCTGGTGGACGACCACGGCCACTCCGGTATCCACTCCACGCACGCCCCTCCGCTCTGTCGCTCTGCCGGCCATTCAGGTCGTCTGTCTGCCACTCTGTCTTGTCTTTTGGACTGTCTACTGGTCGGTCAGGCTGTGTGCCTTTTGATTCGTCTTTTGGTCAGTCATTGTGTCTATCTGCCGAATTGTCGGTTTGTCTCTCTACTCGTGCGATTGTATTCAATGCACTTTCGTGGGAACATCAATCCATTTCCATCAGCCACCTTCCGTTTGAGAAAAAAGATCAAATGTCAACTGCTCTTTTGCGAAATTGTGACCGAATTTTGACCGTAGCTCCCCGCACGCGGCGCGCATCTCTCCACCCGATCCACCCACCCCTCCCTCCCCCACCGGCCCAGGCGTGACGGTGAACGGGCAGCTCGTGGGCTCTCCGGCTCCGCCGGGCTCCCGCAAGCGACGCCGCACGTACTTCGGCACCGTGGCGCTGGTGTCGGAGCACCCGCGCCGGGCCTACGTGCTGGTGACGCCGACGCGCGTCGTGCTGGATGGCGCCGAGCGGCTGGTGCTGCCCTGCGACCGCAGCGCCAGCGCGCGGCGGGACGGGCTCGCGGTCGCCGTGGCGGCAGGCACCAGCGTGACGGTGACGCTCCTCGGTGAGGACGGCGTCGTTCTCGATGCTGCTGCCAGTGCTGCTGCAGGTGCTGCTGCTGCTGCTAATGGTGGTGGTGGTGCTACTAGTGGTGCTGCTGCTGCTGGTGGTGGTGCTACTAGTGGTGCTGCTGCTAATGGTGGTGCTGCAGGTGGTGCTGCTGCTGCTAATGGTGGTGCTACTAGTGGTGCTAGTGCTACTGCTGATGCTAATGGTGGTGCTGCAGGTGCTGCTGCTGATGCTAATGGTGATGTTGCTGGAGCTGCTGCTGTTACTTCCGGGCATTACGAATCAGACGGTTCCGGCCACACACCCTGCTTGTCCCTGACTAATCTTGGCAGCAAGCTGCTGCCACTCTTCGCCCCCACCGTGCCCAGGCGGGCGGGGGGGGGGTTCCGTGCGTGACTTTTCCAAATGTGCCGCAGGTAACATCACGTTCGTCATTCAGCTGCACCTCTACAAGCGTCCGGAGTCCTTCCAGAGGGACCACCTGGGTGTCTACATCCTCTCTGGGGGGTCGCTATCGCCCCACACGCATGGCCTGCTGGGTAGGTCACCTCGGGGTTACGGAGTTGCCGGGGGTCAGCCGCTCTGCGTGTCTCGGAGCGAGGAACGAACCGTCGTTACCGCACGCCGCTCGCTTCTTCTTGCGCGTGATTGGACGGTGAAAAAGGGGGGCAAAGGCGCAGCCCTGAAATTTCTCGCTCATGCTACTGCCGGCAGAAGGGCCCTGCACTCGAGGCAGCGCGAGAGAGCGCTCTCTCAGACGGCGTCTGGCCCACTCTCGCCGGAGGTCTTGGAAGAGCTGGGAGTTACCCACACTTTACCCCGCCGCATCGCGGTCTGCCGATCGCCCAACTGTGGTGGTGGATCGGTTTACACTGCTGGGGAGACCGAGGTGGTGCGAGGGTGGTGGGTGGGGTGGTATTCCAGAAACTTACCACCGCTCTTTTAACTGCCATGCCGGGAGATCTAACTTCTTGCCTTGAGACAAATCTCAACTGAAAATCACTGTTTGTGCACGACACTGCACTCATCCGCCCGTACCTCTGTCCCCAGCGGGTCTGTTATGTGATGTCACGCTGTCGATTTGACCTTTTTTTTATGTCTGCGTTGGGTGTCGGGCAGGACAATTCCTCCACGCTCGCGCCACCGTGGTGGTGGCGGAGACCCCGGCACCGGCTGCAGCTACGGTGGTGGCGGGGGCCACCACAACAGTGGCCGGCACCGGCAATCGGGATGAAACAGAAGAGGAGGGAGAGACGGAAGAGGAGGACCGGGAAGAACGCGCGGGAGCCACGGCTACGGCGCCGGGACTCTCGGCGACCGCCACGCCGGCGGTCCCGGCCGACGGCGCGGCGTCGCCGGCGACGCTGAACATCGGCGGCCGGCGCCTGCCGGTGACGGCGAGGGTCCGCCGGACGCACGGCAGCGGCGGGCCGCACGACGTGGCCTGCTGGTTCGCGCGGAGCAACGCGCGCGGCCTCGTCCAGGGCTGCTACGCCGACTACGTGGCCTGCGACCTCTACGACTTCCGCTCCGGCGGCGGCGGTGATTGTGGTGAAAGTTACGGTGAAGATTACAACGAAGACGACGGGAATTTTGCCTGATGTAGGTTCTTTTAAATCTAGATTGAAAACTCATTTCTTGAGAACTGCCTTTTCTGTTTAGTTTTGTTATCCATCCAATTAGTATCGGTTTTATGTACGTATGTTGAACTGCTTTCCCACGATATGTAGCCAACTGTGCTAATCGGAGGTTGGCTAATGTCCAGGGGTTGGGTGTGTCTCTTCAGAGGAGTTCATGACGGCCATGTTAAAGCACCGAGCCAGCATTGCTGAAGTCCTGGGTTCAAGCCCAGGGCCTGGATTTCCAATACGAAGCAGGTGTTTATTTTTATTGTTTGTCAAATGGCTATATGAATGAACATTGGTTAAATTAGGTAAAGGTTCAGCCCTGCAATCGGTTGCTCGTGCCACTGCTGGCGGAAGGGTCCTCTCCACTAGAGGGCGCTACACACAGCCCCACGAGAGGGAATTTTTCACCGATTATTCCACGTAGGCCAATACATCTCGGAGAGGGGTGTGAGTTACCCACACTTTGCCCCACCACGACGCGACCTGCCGATCGACCGACTGGTCAAAACATACCCGTGCGAAAACAGTGGGGGTGGAATGTGTTTTTGTTTGGAGATGAATGTAGATTTTGGTGCTCGTGTGAGATTTCAATTCTATATTTGTAATGTTGTGGGTTGTTTTGTATTCTTTGCAAGGGACTATAAATGAATGTTACAAATACTCCGTGTTTACGTCTCTTTCTCACGCGCGCGCGCTCCTCCGTGGTCAATGTGTCGTTCGACACCAGCGTAGGCTCCTCGCAGCTCGCTCAGCGAACGTCACTTCGCCAACTGGAGCTGAAGTCCACGAGCCGCCCCTGGGGCTCCTTGGAGCCACCCCGGGGCTCCTGTGAGCCGCCCCCGGGGCTCCTTGGAGCTTCCCTGGGGGCTCCTTGGAGCTGCCCTGGGGGCTCCTTGGAGCCACCCCGGGGCTCCTGTGAGCCGCCCCCGAGGCTCCTGTGAGCCGCCCCCGGGGCTCCTTGGAGCTGCCCTGGGGGGTTGGGGTTTTGTGATGGGACCCTTGGAAACTCTAAAAAAAGCCTTTGAAAACACTCTCGTGGTGATGTCAGATTTTCCACCTTCTTAGCCAAATGAAAGCCAGGCCGCCCTGTTGTCTGTCCTCTGGCAGTTTAAAGATAAAGATCACCCGTATAGCTTTAACAGCCTATTGGGGCAAGTGCTGTTAGGAGGCACCTTTCGAGGCTGACATGGCACCTGAGGGGGGGTGGTGTGGATGTTTACACTTCGCACCGAGTATTTGTGTCGGGCTCTTTGAAAGCTCACAGCTCCGAAGGAAAAAAAACATACAATGTTTGGGTTCCATCGTTTTCTTATTTTTTGTTGTTGACATTTTATTCCCGATTTACCGCTAACATTTCTCAAACGTAAGAACCACAAGCCCCGCTCTCCCCTCTACACACATATTCTGCATTTACCTCCTACTTAGACGTTTCTACTTAAAAGTTCCTATCGGTTTCAACGACAGTACATGCAGGGCCCCGCCGATACAAGCGTGCAATCTACCCAGCGATAATCACAATCTGTCAACACTCACCATCACCTACCACCATCATCATCAACATCACTAGCCTTGCTCTATCCACTGTTGCGTGGTCTCCCCAACACCGTTGAGGCACGATCTATCATCCCCCGCTGCGTGAAGGCCTCTATATTATCAACATCATGAGCCGTGCTCGATCCACTGCTGGATGAAGGCGTTCACAATAAAACGTTGCCATCCTTCCGTCTCCATGGCGGTCGCGCTCTATGGTGCGATCCCTCCTTTGGCTGGCGTTCCATCACCGGTCTCGCGCAACTAAACGCTACGGTTTCGTTTAAAAAAAACACGCACACGGCATAAACTACAATGCTAGTTAAACATTTTAAGACGTAGCCATCCGTATATAATTGTACAAATTAAAACCGCGGTACAGTACAATAATCTAAAACTCGCATCACACTGAAGACGAGTGCAGTCTTCTTCACTCATCTTCAGAGGGGGGGAGGGGGGGGGTACACTGTCGCCGTTCAGACATCATCAGTGGGTCAGTCACCAAACCATTTGGGGTTTGACAGCACGATGATGGTGGAGGGCCTACTGGCTGTCACGTGGAGGACCTACTGGCTGTGGGGTGGAGGGCCTACTGGTTGTGGGGTGGAGGACCTACTGGCTACCAGGTGGAGGGCTTACTGGCTGTCACGTGGAGGGCCTACTGGCTGCCAGGTGGAGGGCCTACTGGTTGTGGGGTGGAGGACCTACTGGCTACCAGGTGGAGGGCTTACTGACTGTCACGTGGAGGGCCTACTGGCTGCCAGGTGGAGGGCCTACTGGCTGCCAGGTGGAGGGCCTACTGGCTGCCAGGTGGAGGGCCTACTGGCTGTGGGGTAGAGGGCCTACTGGCTGCCAGGTGGAGGGCCTACTGGCTGCCAGGTGGAGGGCCTACTGGCTGCCAGGTGGAGGGCCTACTGGCTGTGGGGTGGAGAGGGCCTACTGGCTGCCAGGTGGAGGGCCTACTGGGTGTGGGGTGGAGGGCCTACTGGATGTGGGGTGGAGGGCCTACTGGCTGTGGGGTGGAGGGCCTACTGGCTGTGGGGTGGAGAGGGCCTACTGGCTGCCAGGTGGAGGGCTTACTGGCTGTCACGTGGAGGACCTACTGGCTGTGGGGTGGAGGGCCTACTGGCTGTGGGGTGGAGAGGGCCTACTGGCTGCCAGGTGGAGGGTCAACTGGCTGCCAGGTGGAGGGCCTACTGGCTGTCGCTGCTGGATGGCGGCGGCGTGAACACCGTCTCCTTGCCTGTGCGAGCGCCGCTGAACACGGACGGCGCGGCCATCCCAGCTTTCTCTGAAAAAAGACAACGGGAGCACAGACGCCCAGGGAAACGAAATCACTCGCCGCTCACCTCACGTGCGGGACGTGTGGGGAGTTCTCCCTAAATGGGAACACAACTTGCAATTACGCTGAACGCGCGGCGGCATTCACGTCACTCCGCGTCGTCGCTATAACGCGGTTCTGCCCCGAGAGAACACTGTTCGCGCAACCGTTACGACCCAGAACAACGCGCCCCGTTATAGCGCGGGTGCTGAGCGGCACGATTCGGTAACGATACGGCGACGCGGTGGCGTGCCCTCAGCTGTTTGTCCCGCCATCTCTCCGTGCGTGTGCGTAGTTGTACATCGTATGTCGCCAAACTTTATCATTACATTCCTTATGGAGAAATTATTTTCCCTAAAGGGGTTTTTTGCTTGACGCGGCGCTGTTCAGGAACGCATCCGCCGCGTTAGACGAAGACTTGCTGTGCACCTTTGGCGGACGGGGCGCGCGTGAACGCGCTTCTCAAGTGGCGGTGCGAGTCGCCCTGGCGGGAGGCGCTGCCTCGCCTCGGATGTCGCTCATCGCTCACGCTAGCCACGGGCCCGGAATAGAACTCGGGTCAGCAAGGTCCATAGCGCACAATGTGTGAATCGCTGCCCCCCCCCCATCCCCCCAAAAGCTTTTGAGCCACGTCCTCATCCATCAATGTCCTCTGATCTGGTTGATCTGATTGTAAGATCGGCAGCTCACCAGCATTGATTCAAGCGAGCCTGACTCCGCTGATGATGAGAGGTATTTCTCGTCTTGAATCAATGCTGTTGAAGGCCGTGCGGCTTGTTTAGGTTGTGCCACAAGTACTTTGTGATGTTTATTTTACTGTAGAGAGACAGAGAGAGAGACAGAGAGTGTGTGGAGGAAACGTCTCGTGTGCCGATGTATTTTGGTTTTAAATAAAGATCGCTTATCTATCTAACGTTTAACCGGGTGAGAAGCCTTTGAGACAAATTACCTCTCTTGCAAGGTAGGCCCGGGGTGCAAGGCAAAGACATTTTATAGCACAAATAACCCTGGGGCGGAGCCACTAATGGAAAATACAGGAAGACCCAAAAGTCAGAACACAGGGTTATATTTATTTTAACAAACCTCAAAGGATTATTCCTTTTTTTTTACAAATGTTCAAACTGTCTCCCATTAACTTGAATGGGTGACGCATTGATTCTCTTGAAATTAATTTAGGACGTTTTTAAGATTACAGGTGTAATCTTTGAACATTCGTCCAATTATCTATCGTCTCAATGCAGTCAATGCTCTTTCCATGCTTAAATGCCACCCGAAAAGGAAGGAGTAAAATAGGTAATAATAATAATAGATGAGATAAAATATGAACTTAAAGAAGAAACTATTAACATGTTTTAATGCCAATGTTTAAATAAATACGTGTATGTTGAACTTCTTTCGCATCGTACATAGCCAACCGTGCTAATCGGAGATGTGGGGGAAGAGCAAACTAAACACAAACAGCAGCGCTAAAGACATTCGCTTTCAATCTATGCCAGCGGTCCTTAGCCTTTCTGGGGGTGCGACACATGGCCAGATTTTTTAGAAGGTGAATCACTGAAACACAAATTAACTACAACTACTTTTTTTCCATCACACCTGTGTATGTATTAACATGATACATGTAGTAACGATTGACAAACAAAGGAGTGCAGGCTGCAGTAAAAGTTGGGATCCACTGGTCTAGATAATAACTACGTGTGTGTGTCCTGACTTTGGGCCACCCTGTATCATCTGGGGTCTGCATCGTAAATCTGTCTCCATTCATTCCGTCTCTGAACCAGTACCCGAGTCCTTGTTTGGGCCCTCTCTCTCTCTCTGTGTGGGTCCGAGTCCATATGTGGTTATTACTGTGGCCGTGTGTCTTGTTTTCCCTCCTTCGTGTGTTTCCATGCCCATTATGGCGAAGGGTTTTGGGGGTTTTGTGTTTACACGGCATGCGTGGCATTTCCAGAGCCCCTTTTAAAATTACATCGCAAGGGAGATGGCTTTATTTTTTGTTACGAGTCATTTTCAAATAATAACACCACACGGAACAAGCTTTAAGTCAAAATCCCACAGATAAAAATAAATACTGAGTTTTTTGCTTTTAACGATAGCTGGGTAAAAATAACATTTCGGAGGGATTTGATCGGTTGCCATATTTTGATTGTTTAAACGGGTGGGTAGGAGGTCAAATTGCTGAGCTGGCATCCACAAGATCCAAAGTTTGATCCAGGTTTAGGCTGCATATCATTAAACCGGCTTCTCCACGTGATAAGCCACTTTGTTGAGCTATCATTTGTGGCCAGGACGCTTCTGAAAAAAGAAGCTAATAGCTAAGTGGACCTTACCTGGTGAAATAAAAAATAGTTTTGTTGTATCTGTATGTTTTACTGATTTGTTTACCTTTCCTATACTTTGCACTCCTGTCGTGTTTTGTACTATTTGTTGTTGTAACGTTCTCACCCTCCCCTACTGGACATCTGTAAAAAAGAGCTTCATAGCTCATCAGATTCCTCCTCCAGTAATAAATACATATTCTGATTCTGATCAATGACTTCTACCGAGACCTATAGACTCGCATATTAATACATAGCTATCCATATACTCATATAGAGAGACCCGCAGGCTTACATAGAGCCCTTTAAACTCGCATAGACTGAGTTGTGACGAAGCCGGGTTCTCAAGTGTTGCGAGTTTGATGGTCTTAGCCCGGTCACCAACCACTCACATAGAGACCCATAGACTCACATAGAGACCCATAGACTCACATAGAGACCTATAAAACTACATGGAGACCTGTAGACTCACAGAGACGAAGTACGTCATGAGTGATCGGGCTGAGACCATCGACATTTGAGGACCCGGTTTAATCAGTGTGGTTGCGGCTGAAACTCAGATCCGAGCCGTAGGTTCCCCAACGGTGCCAGCTCAGCGCTTGGACTTCTGAACCACACGTCAGCCGACCTCTACCACGCAACATCTGCAAAGCAGTGAGGGCGTGCATCGTCTTCGATGGTCGACATCGCGAGACCATGCGACTCCAATAGCCTTTCCTCCATGCGCTGGCTCTCTGTAGAGTAACATAATCGACTTCAGGATTCCCACTTTTAAGGCCTTGCGTGAACTGGCTCCTAAATATCTCACTGATATGCTTGCGTTTTATATTCCCCCTGCGAAAATGTGTATCTGCTGATTCTGATCGACTCGTTGTGATTTACAAAGACCGGACTTTGTTGCACGGTAGACAGCTTTTGTCGCCGCCAGGCTCCGCGACTGTGGAGTTTCCTTTCCTCCTCGGTCCATTTGAGAATCTTGAGTCTGTTACACTTTCTAAATCTCGCCTATCAAACTCACCTCCTCGTATAGAGGCGTTCTCCCCCACTCAACTTGAGCTTTGTGCAAAGTGTACTTTGATGCTTTGTGTGAATTGCGCTCGAGAAAACGGAGTGTATTATTGTTGCGAGTGAGACGCAGGGAGGAGAGGGGCAGAGAGGCAGGACTACGTGGATGACATGGGAAACAGCTGTCTGTCTGTCTGGCCACAATCACAGCTGCAGCTGTATTCAGACCCAGAATAACCGCGCTATGTTTGGGGTTGGTGGGGCTGGGGTGCAGCGGTGGTTTGACTCAGTGGCACCTGTTCACTGAATGAGTTATCGCAGCCTTGAACATGATAGCACGTTTGTATTCACGACGCGAATAGCGCCATTTGAGTGGAACTTTGCTTTTTTAACAAGCATTAAAAAAAAGAACGATTTTGCCAAAATAATGCTCCCCGAAAGCCAAACGGAGGAACCCGCCTGAGAAGACGCCCACCAGGCAGGAGACGGAGTGATGAAATCAACTCGTATTCCGGGAGCCTTCATCGCCACTCAATATTGACACCGCGCCTCTCACGCAGCAGTTACATCATCATCATCATCATCCCGAGGCGTCCCTGCCGCAGGGGGTGCCCCCGGTGGCAGCTGTCTCTGTTCGGCACGAGGCGAACGCACCAGCGCCCACAAGTGAGGGGGGGGGGCGATGGCGATGTTGCTTTGTGGCTTCCACCCCCCCCCCTGATCAATTAAGTAATTGGTGAGTACTGCACTGTAATTGATAACATTTGGGAATTTTTCTACCGTGACGCCGGCACGCGTGGCAGCGCATGCCGAGGATCTTTGACGTCCGCTGTGAAGCAGGCGGCGCGTGGCAGTCGCAATAGTTTCGGTGATCAACGCTCGGCGCAGTGTTAACCAGGGCGGCCGTGGGGGGTGGGGGGGTGCGTCTCGAACCGCAATCCTCTGCAACAAACGAGCGGGCGAACGCCGCTGCCTGCTCGGCACGGGGTCAACGTCAAACGCACCGGCGAGACCATCGGAAGAGCAACCTCATCCAGCAGCGGACGGACCGTGACTAATGACGATGCCGGTGGCGGCGATGCCGACGCGAAGTCGTCGTTCCCCCCACTCACCGCACTCGGCCATCACTCGGTAGGTCATCTGCCGAGGCTCCGCGTTCTTTCCGAGGCGACTCCTCGCCCCCTGGAGGTCCTCCTCCTTCACCACGGGTCTCTTCTTCTTCTTCACCACCACCGAGGGTTCCTGCGGGGCGAGGTGTGGGTGAAGGCGCGGCCCTGCAAGTGCGCGTGCTCACGCCAGAGGCAGATCTGGAACGTTTTGCAAAGTGCGCTCCTGGAATGTTGAAACTTTTTTTTATATATAGGGCCGAACATTAATAATACTTAATAACAATTTTAAAAAGACCCCATCAATGTATTTGCTCTGGTGGATATTTTTTTAACGTAATTTCTTATTTCAACATTGTTTTAATTAAGTTTGTGTTTTCAAATCTGTAATTGCGGAATGCTTCGATGTTAACTGCCGAAGAGCTTCTTCGCTCTCCGGGCTTTACTAGATCGGAAATACAACTGATTCATTCAGAGAAAAGTGTCAGTTGTGTCAAATACAAATATCGATCGGCAAGCGACTAAATGAATATGTAATGGCCTCCACCAGAGGCAGCTATAATAAGAGAGTCGCCCTTATTTCGAGGGTGGTATCCTCTGGCTTGGCCTACTCTTCCCTGTTGGCCAGCGACTCTTGGTAGAGGTGGGAGTAGCCACACTTACTCACCCCACGCATGCACGCGACCTCCCGATGGGACTGTGGTTGTTCCCATTCAAACTGCACTTCATCATTACACTTTCAGCATCATCATCATTAAATTCCCATAAACTATTTCAACAACAACAACAACAACAATAGTTTATATCGTACCGATATGTTGACACCGCAGTTATGCATCAAATATTCACATCACTAGAAGCGCATGCTCATGAGTTGCAGATTACAACAGCTGACATTTGACGGTGACGTCACCGCATCACTTGTGCCAGGCTGGGTGCATTTATACAAAGATCCCCCCGTATAGCCTTAACAGACTGTTGGGGCAAGTGCTGTTAGCGAGCACCTATGAAGACCGGAACGGCACACGAAGTGTTTGTCTCCCTAGAGACAATGTTTTTTTTCACACCACGAACTCGTTTGAGGCTGAGTCGACCTAGGGGAAGCCCAGGACCAGTTCATATAATCGCGATTACTGATGTTGACCGTGAGCGGGAATCGAACTCGGGTGACTGTATTTCGCTGCGCCACCGCTCACACACAAACACAACACAACGCTGCATCTCGGCACCACACAAATCAAGCACACACAGTGCCTCTCTCGGTCTCTCTACCTGCTGCATGGTTGGTCTCTGCTCTTCTCTTCTTCAACCGAGGGCGGCGGCCACTGCTGGATGAGACAGCTCTCTCTCTCTCTCTCGCGCTCAGCTCTATGCTGCTGCTGATGCTGCTGCTGGGGTCTCCGCTCAAGATGTAGCCGAGGTAAGGGGCCCCTAGCCACTGGCTTTTTATTGTTTACAGAGGGAGGCTAAACTTAGTGGCTGACTGAGACCGACGAAAATGGACTGATTATCACCATAACCCTCCCCCCCTCCCGCCAACTAATCCATCCCGCCTGGCTATTCATAGCCATTGCCGGAGCGATGTGGGCAGCGGGAGGATGGTGGTGGTGGTGGCAGTGGCTGGTGGTGGCTGGTGGTGGTGGCAGTGGTGGTGCTGGTGGTGGTGGCTGGTGGTGGTGGCAGTGGCTGCTGGTGGTGGTGGAGGAGGTGGTGGCAGTGATGCTGGTGGTGGTGGCTGCTGGTGGTGGCTGCTGGTGGTGGCGGTGGTGGTGGCAGTAGCTGGTGGTGGTGGTGGCAGTGGCTGGTGGTGGTGGCTGTTGGTGGTGGCTGCTGGTGGTGGCAGTAGTTGGTGTGATTCATTCATTGTCAGTGGGGTTCCCGCCTGCCCCCGTGCTTCACCACCAACTTCTCGTGGCCTAACCCCGGTGCGTCTTACCACGTCCACCAGACTCCTGCGCTGATGTCTATATATTAATATATCGCGTACGTCATTACACGCTGCCCAAGCCCGATGATTGGTAAACACCCCCCACCCACCCCCACCTTAACTTGGCGACCGTTCAACTTTTCTTGTGTTTGTGTCCCATTGGGGTCCCACCCGAGTTATATTCTCGCTCACGGTCAACATCGGTGGTGAATATCTGAGCCGGTGCTGGGCCTCCCCTAGGTCTACTTAGCCTCGAATGAGTAATTGGTGCGGTGTGTAAACAACGCCACCAGGGAGACAAAGGCGGCCGGGCGGGCGTGGTGCTGGCCACCCACCCCCTCGTGCGCCGTGACGTCCTTCATAGGTGCTCGCTAACAGCACTTGCCCCACACGGTATGTTAAGGCTACACGGGGGATCTTTGTCTTTGTGGCTGTATACGCCACGTGGAAGAGAACTAAAGGCAGAGATCCCCCGTGTAGTCTGTCACAGGCTGAAGGGGCAAGTGCTGTCAGCGAGCACCTATTGGGGTCGGCCAGCACCACGCCCGGCCGCCTTTGTCTCCCCAGTGCTGATGTTTGATACGCACCGCAGGGAATACATTATTCTTTGGGTCTTTCGGTAAAGTCACGGAGACGTGTTCACAGAAAATAACAAAAAACTACGACGTTTCGATCGCAACACAAGCGGTCGTCATCAGGACGACCCGGGGATATATTATTAATATTCACCATTCATTTGTGTTTGTGCAATGTTCGATTTAACCTGTGACGCAGTTGTTTTCCCCGAGATTTCTATTCCTGCACTTTATGGAATTTATTTTCCGTCCGCTAATTTCGTGATACAAATATCTGTCAGCGAATGGAGATTCATCTTCCTCTGGCTCACCGCTCACTCGCACTGCCCTCCTCCATTCATGCGCAGACGCTCAGACGACAACAATTTCATTCTCACGTTCTCTCGTAGTTATAATATAATATACTCTAAATGTCCCCCCCAAATATATCGCTATAAAATAGCTTTCTGTTTATATGATTGTGGTTACGGTTGTACTTTATTAATCCCTAATCTCTGCCGTTACTTACGATGAAACAAGAAAAGGTAAAAAAAGAAAAAAACAGGGCAATGTAATACAATACACTATTAGACATTATTGTAAAAAAAGTCCATCCTATGTGTTAGTGAATTTTTTATATTTTAGGCAGGAAATTCGTTTTCAAATTTAAAATAATTCTGGGGGGGGGACCCCCAGCAACCCTGGAAGATTTGGTCCCCCCCCAATGTTGACTCCATGGCTACGGCCTTGGTGAGACACACGTGTTTGTACACGTGTGTACAAACACGTGTACACACACGCACACCCTCTGTTGCGAACCCACTGCTGGATGAGCGGTCCCCCCCCCCCAACACCGTTCGAGGCGCGGGGCGAGCTATTTGACCATACTTCACCGCGCTCGTCATTGCGGGTACGTGACAGGGGGCTTCATTGACTCCCCGAGTCAACAAGTTTCCTTTCTTTAAGGAGGTGGCGAAGACGTCTCGGCCGTGAAACTGACATCACAGGCCCGGTCAGCCCACTCGCTCCCATGCCTCTCTCTATATATGGAACCAAGGAGCACACAGTGCAGTCATGCATCCACTTTGACATGCTGACCACAGCCGGCGAGCTGGTGTACGCACTTCCTACGTTTATAAAGCATTACTATCGACAGTAGTTCGCCTGACTAATAATATAATCAGTGCCGAATGATCACAGGAACAAAAGTAGCTGCACATGTTGCCACGGGCCCCTCACTTTCAAGGGCCCCGCGCTAAATGATGTCAAGCTATCAACTCCGGTTCAGTGATTCTGCACTTGCTCTATTACTATAGTACTATACCGCCTTCAACTTCTATGAACGACTGGGTGTCTAAGGTTAGCGATTTGTCGTATTATCTGGCTGTATAGCGAATGAAAACATACAATTACTTCACTATTCAAGTAACAAAAATGTGTTTTTATTGTTTATTTGGAGGCCCTTTCAAACATATGCTACAGGCCCCGCTCTAGCTTAATCCGGCACTGCTAATAATTATACAGGGTGCTTCACAGAAATGTGTTCACACTTCTGAGAATATGCAACAACGCCACAAGAAATGTGCGCTGATGGAGCAGATTCCAGGCACGCGTTGACAACGATGGTGAACAAGTGGACAACTCTTTAACTTTTAAAAACTATTTACATAAATTTGTCATCATGTCATAGTGTATTATTATACGTTTTTTTCCCATTAAAAAGATAGTCCCATGTAAGTGTTAACATTTTTTTTGAAGCACCCAGAACTTATTTAAATGTTTATTTTTTTTTGGGGGGGGGGGGGGGGGGTTGCTCAGATCGCTGCCACGTCAGTGAAATGTGTGTCGCAATTGTCAGGTGAGAAACAAACGCGGCCAATGTGTGACCGCTGCAGTAGCGGCACCACTGTGGGTGGTGTGTGGGAGCGATCTCACGACGCCGTTTGACAAATTGGTCCGGGGACGTTTCGCTGGCAGTCGCAGCGAGCATCATCAGCTCGCCACAATTGTGAAAATGTCCACCAGTCTTGGCCCTCAAATCGGCGGTGTCATCATTTGAACTTTATTGTACGGCAAATCCTCGCTTAACGTGGCGAAAAACGCGTTAAGCGAAACCGATTTCAGCATAATGTAACGATTAAGTTTGGCGAGAAAGGATGCACAAGTACACACACCACGCACTGAGATTGCAGAACGGAGGGTACGTAGCCGCGTTACTGTCACAGCAATGTATGTATCATTCCGCTCGGCCACACAGATCAAGAAAGTAGTTCGTCGTCGACCACTCAGACAAACCGCGTTATAACGGGAAGAGCCACGTTTTAAGGAAACGCGTTGTGTGAGAAACGCGTTGAGCGCGAACTTACTGTGCTTAGTACTGCATTCATCGCAACTACCGTGCTATAATGGTTAGCGCGATCGACTTGCGATCCAGTGGTCGATCCAATCTTTAAGATAATTGGTGATGCTGCTGCTGTGTTGGCAGTCGTGCACAAGCACAGTCAACAATACAACTCAGCACATTCGTTTATAAGTGGCCTTAAAATAAAAATGTATAATAGGCTCCCTTTAATTGCTAACATTTAAAAATGTCAATGGACCTTCTTCTATGCACGAAACGTTATCTTTTTCCTGTGTAGGTCACAGCATTATTGACGAACGTGTTCAGTTTTCAATTATGATAGTCACGGTTAACATTATGATTTTGTAATTGGTAGCGCTGATTGTTATGTAACGAACATTGGCGACCATAAACGCTCATCATCGTCAGGATCACTCATCATCACCCATCATCCCACAGGCAGCTGCACCAACAGTGGCAGCAGTCGGTGAAGACAAGAGCTTTGATCTCCTGACCTCTGGACGCAAACCGCCTTGCCCACACACACGGGAAACTTTGATCAGTGGCCCAGTCGGTGATGGACGTGAGCTCAGGCGGTGCAAGAATGCCGACGGACAAAGACCAAGATCACCCGTATAGTCTTGAACAGGCTGGTGAGGCAAGTGCTGTTAGCAAGGGCCAATGAAAGCCGACATCTCCCCAGTGGTGACGTTGAGACATCGCACCTGGCTTTCGTTCAAGTCTCAGTCGACCTAGGGGAGGCCCAGCACCGGTTGAAGTATTCGCCACTGTTATTGGTTGTGAGTGGGTATCGAACTCGGTCAGGTTCAATGGTCAAATAACCCTCATGACCGGTATGGTGTGGAGGGAAATCATCTCGCAGTGGATTGACAAAAGGATTGTAACAACAGACCATGGGAGCATATCCTGACCTGGAGGGCCTTGTCAGAGCGAGACTGGGCCACATCCTCACGTGCCATGGTCTATCCACTGCTGGCCTTGTGTGCCCAATACTAGACAACCGTAGGAATGTGGTGGCAGGCCAATTACATAGCGCCACCTGCAGGCTTCATACCTTGCGGCTGAAGAAGGTGTGTGCGTGGTGTAAATTAAGTTCGCAAACAATAATTATTCCATTATAAAATGTTTAAAAATGCGTTGCGTTGCTTTTATTTTTCAATACATTCCCAACGATGTCATTGTAAAAAATGAAATCTGTAAAAAATGAAATCAGTAAAAAAAAGAACGTCTCAACAGTGCCCACCGTCAGACAATGACCCAAGCCACACTTGGACACGAGACTCATCCTTGGTCTCAGGTGCTCACCTGGTTATAAACAAAATAAACTTAACTGAAACGGTGATGTCAGCTTGGGATTTTGTGGGATTGAAACCATGTAAAAATAACGTTTACAACGATGGTAAATCCCATAGCTGCACAGTCCTCTTTTATTTGCTTTTTCATGAACATTTTTTTTTAAATAAAAAAACAAGCGTTCAACAGACACTCGCTCCACAACGAATGAAAATAAAAAAAAACGATCGCCCGTCTCGATGTGATGACGTCGATGGCTGGAATTCCGTGGCATTAGGCACGACTTTAACATTTCCAGCCACAGACCAGGAAAACTTGTTGCCGATGCATAGCGTTGGTGTTGCCACCACCGTGACCATTTCCTGTCCTGCCCTCAGCTGCCCTCGTCAGCCGACACGCAGGGGCGGCGCCACCAGAATGACCCCGTCGCCTCGCACGAACAGCATCGGGATGTTCCGCTTGGTGGACTGCGAGGGTAAACGCGACAGAACGTGGTGAGCGAACGGACAGGATCCCTCCCCCCCCCACCCGGGGTCAAAATGAGACAGGGATCAAATTACGAGGTCACACCGGTGCCGCCAATGCTCGGGCACTGCACTGTCGCGTCTCTACCTTGTAAATCTCCTCGTAGGTCTCTTCGTCAATCTCCACGGTCGTCACCGTCTCCTCTACGTCGCCCAGGATCATGTTCAAGTGCTGGTCGTAGGCCTGCGAGGCACGAGCGCACAAAAACGGCTTGCCATTAAGAGCTTACTCCACTTCTACATCATGATGGAGGGGGACGCTCTCGCTCTCCCCGCGGAAAAGCACGTGACCAAACGGCCGTGAATGTTACCGATCTTGTCAGGTATAAGACCAGCAGGCCTGACACAGGTTCGGATCTGAATGGATGACCACTGGAGGAGGCATGCCCGGGGTTGAGGCTGTGAGGTTGGCTGGAGATGACAGTACACCAATGAGCTCAGCCCACAAACAAACATTTCAGAATCATTTATTTATACTGGAGGAATAGGATGAGCTAGCTATAAAGCTCTTTTTCATAGATACCCAGTAGCATTTACTGAGCCTATCAGGGGAATATATTTAACTGAGCTTCAAGTGTTATGCTCTCATATGCGTGGGTTTCCTCATTGAGGGATGTTGACACGGCCCAGTAGTGGCACCACACCGCTTGTTGCAGAGCTTCGCCGCTTGAATCTGGCAGACGGCTCTAGTTAATACCGAGGGGTATATTAATCATACAATACTCCGCATCTTCTGCCTCAAAGCAGCCGTGAGAGATCCCGTGACGCCACTGGCGTCATTGTGCAAATATGAAAAACCTCGCAAAATAACTGAATTGGGAAACAACGAATCATTGCTCGCTCCTGCGAAAAATTTGAAGAGCCCCTCCTGAAAAAGTCTTGAGACTTCAGCGCGGCTCTGCTAACGTGTAAGTAATTGCCATTACGACGAGCATCAGCAGCAGCTCTGAGAACGCGGCGAGACGCAGGCGCGAGAGCGGGCGGGATCTTGTGCGGGGAACGAACGAGTCGACGCACGTGGAGGCGGCCGCGCAGCTCCCGCTCGTTACGCATCTTCACGTAGATTCGCTCGTCCAGACTCAGGCGGATGAGATCCAGAGGCTCCTCCACCGTGTTTCCCGTTTGGGGCTGTGGGGATGCGGGGGCAGGGGGGGGTCACGCGCAATGTTACTACATGGGCCACCGGTGGCGCTGAGGGAACTCTCTCCCCTCTGCTGTACCGTCTCTCCACACCTGCACTCTCTCCCCTGCTTCTTTGCTACGGTATGTTGTTGCATATTTTATTTAACCAAGAGAGCAAATAAACCCAGACACATTAAAACATTTGCCTCGATTGCACGGGCGAACTGGGTTATTACATCTGTACTCTCCCCCCTCTGGTATACGATGTCCTTGTCTCTCCGGTCTGCTCTGTAGATCTGTCGGCTGGGTTGCAGGCGTGGGGCTGCAGTGAGGTGCGAGCCAGGAGATGGAAGTTCCGAGTGTCACCCCCTCGTGTGTTACACAGCAGCAGTGCCGAGCTGGGGCTCAATCACCGGCTTCTCCGGTCTCCCCCTGCCCCACAACACGGAGCCAAAGCCGCCACGCGGGGTCGCGTGTGTCCCGCGTGCGGGGCCGCCCGTAGGGTGCGGGGCCCGGGGCAGATCGCGATGTGGCCGCCCCAAAGCGCGGGGCCCGGGGCAGTCGCCCGGATCCGCTGTATTCTAGGGACGGCTCTGCCCGCGTGCGTTAGGTTCCCCATCGCTGCTCTTCGGCCCTGTACTCTCTCCCCACCGCACGCTCCTTCACTCTCTCTGCCTCTCTCACACTCCCCACCGCACGCTCCTTCACTCTCTCTGCCTCTCTCCCTCTGCCTCTCTCCCTCTGCCTCTCTCCCTCTGCCTCTCTCTCTCTGAGCCTCTCTCTCTCTGCCTCTCTCTCTGTGCCTCTCTCTCTGCGTCTCTCTCTCTCTGCCTCTGTGTGCCTCTCTCTCTCTGCGTCTCTCCGTTTCCCGCCGCTCTGCGTGCCACTCTCCGCTCACCGCCTCCACGTCGTCCGCCATCTTCCCGCCGAGCCACGTGACCGCGGCGTGACGCCCTTTGACCCACGACCCGGTGACTCCGCCTCCTTGTTCATGGCCCGCCCACTTCTGTGCGACCACGCCCCCTCCTCGATGGCCCCGCCCCCCCGTGCATGGCCACGCCCCTCCTCGATGGCCCCGCCCCCCGTGCCTGGTCACGCCCCCTCCTTGATGGCCCCGCCCCTCCGTCGCCTGGCCACGCCCCTCCTCGATGGCCCCGCCCCCCCGTCGCCTGGCCACGCCCCCACAGGCCCGCGACCACGTGACCATGGCGAAGAGAAAGGCGGACAGCGGCACGCGTGGTGAGGAGGCAGTTACATCATCATCGTCATCGTTATTAACAACAACAACAACATCGTTATCATTAACAACATCGTGTTTACTAACAACATCGTCACTAGCACCGCCATCATTGCTGACATCACGACTCGCATTACCACCACAATCCCATCGCTAACATCCGGACTAGCAGCAGCAGCAGCAGCCATCGCACGAAGCTGAGCACATTCGTCAACAACAGCGCGTGTGGCCTTCATAGGAGGGTGGATAAGCGTGAGGAGACTGCACTCTACACCACTGACTCTGTCAGTTGTGAAGAAGGGCCATTGGCCGAAACGTCGCCTATGTTTCGAATGTCTTCATGTTTGTGCACCTCTGCCAACGCAGCACCACCACCAGATCGCTGTTTCATCAACACAACATCATCATTACTCACACCGCCACCACCATGGCGATAACAACCATCACAGTCGTCTCTGTTGGTCGCGTTTGGAGAATGAACGACGCCTGGGGAATGAACGACGTCTGGAGAATGAAAGACGTCTGGGGAATGAAAGACGTCTGGGGAATGAAAGACGTCTGGGGAATGAAAGACGTCTGGTGAATGAAAGACGTCTGGGGAATGAAAGACGTCTGGAGAATGAAAGACGTCTGGAGAATGAAAGACGTCTGGTGAATGAAAGACGTCTGGAGAATGAAAGACGTCTGGAGAATGAAAGACGTCTGGAGAATGAAAGACGTCTGGGGAATGAAAGACGTCTGGGGAATGAAAGACGTCTGGTGAATGAAAGACGTCTGGGGAATGAAAGACGTCTGGAGAATGAAAGACGTCTGGGGAATGAAAGACGTCTGGTGAATGAAAGACGTCTGGGGAATGAACGAAGACGTCTATTTATTAGTAGGAGGCATCTCTGCCCGGCAGTGAGTCTCTGTGATGTAACGCGCTCTCGGCGCCACCCAGCGGGGTGATGACAGGGGGGGGGGGGGCGGAGTGCTCGTGGTTGACACTCTACACACACGATACGTTCTAGATTTGAAGCTTTCGTGACTGCAAGGATTCATACTCTTAGTTCTTTCGGTAAAGTCACGTATGTAAAAAATTTAATTAAAATTAATACAATTAATTAAAAAATAATAATATTAATTTTATTCATTTTAATTTCATGTTTTACCTACGTGACTTTACCGAAAGAACTAAGAGTACACACGATACACTCCACGACTTCATTTAGTTCGTGCTGTACTGCGTGTGAAGAAGCGCGTGAGTTTACCTCGTTAGAAGGTTCTGCATAACCCAAACCTGTCGACCCGCACGGTTTACTGCCCCGTTTCTTGTGCTACGTCTGCGCACCTGAATGCGTTTACAACGGACGTGCAGGCAGCAGGACCCGCGGCTGCGACGATGCTGACGGTGCGGCCCAGAAGCGGGCGAGCAAGAGGATCTCGCGCACGGCGAGGGGCCGACGCGGCGGAGCGCGAGGGGGCCGCGTTGAGCCCGCCAAACATGGAGAGGCCCGAGACTCGGTGGCGACCACGAGCCAGCGGGGAGCAGCGCAGGGCGGCGCGGCGAGCGAGGGCGAAGCGGGCGGCGTGTGGAAGGAGAGGGCAGCCTCTCGGGAGGAGAGGGCAGCCTCTCGGGACGGGGGGCAGCGCGAGGCGGCAAGGGCCGGCGACCGCGTGACGGCAGAGGGCTCGGGCAGGTGAGGCGTTGGTCACGCTGCAGTCACGCGCGCGAGTTCCGTGATCAAGACGAAGGTCCCCCAATCCCCCAATGGTAGCACGGATCTCGGACTGGTTTTTAAATATGTTTATTGTGGTAACCGCATAAGCCCAGTACAACGCATTGATGGCTTTTGAGGAAAAGGGACCGAAACTGCTGGTGGGGGGGGGGGGGACAAACACGCACTACAAGTCATGTAACAGACCGTGGCTTTATGTGTTAAGGTGACAACCTCTCCTCTACAGTTCTCGGGCTGTTACTTTCTGGCGAACCACATTGGAATAAAATTTGATGCGCTGGCGAGCCACGTGACATGTCCGTCACGGGGTCGCGTGGCATCGCGACGTCGCAACGTCTGACCACGCGATCGTTCATCTCTGTCTCTTGCCCGGCGCTCCACGTCTCCATCCCTTGTTTGTCACTCATCTCGTGCATCCGCGTTTCCATAATCTGCATGCGGCTACCCCGTGCGTTTGTTGCGAAGGAAAAGAGCCGCGAGTGAGAGCGACAGCGAGGAGAATGACCTGGAAGGAAAGTCCGACGAAGAGGACTCCTCGTCCGACTCGGAGAGTGAAGGAGAGTGGCAGGAGGTGGACGGTAGGGTAACTGCCTTTTGTCTGTGCATAGTATCAGTGGTGAGTGTGTGTGTGTGCTAAATGATCTTTGTCTAAGTGATATGTATGTGCCTAGTGGAAGCAATGTGTGTGTGTGTGCTACTTGCCCAATTCGATATAGGCATATAAGTGGCTCTGTGGTGCTGCAAGTGCAAGAGGTTAAAGCACAGCAGAGTTCGTATTCGTGACAGCAGTCATCGTAACAGCATGCATTTTAACGGCAAGCATCCTCAAAGCAATAATCGTAACGGCAATCATCGTAATGGCATGCATCATAACAGCAATCATCGTAATGTCAATCATCGTAATGGCATGCATCGTAGCAGCATTCAATATAGCAAGAATCATGACGGTAATCGTTTCAGCAATCATCCTAATAACAATCGTCGTAATGGAAATCACCGTAGGCATCACATCAGCGAGCGTTGAAACATCAAACGCACGCACACAGGCGCTCACCGCCCGCTGCTAAGCGCCACCTTTGTGGCTGCGCCGTCTCCCTCCAGAGCTTCCGGCAGAAGAGGAGGTGGGCGCCACAAGCTCAGCAGCCGGCATCGTGAGCATCGGGCAGGCCGTGCAGATCGAGATAGAGACGCCGGAGATGGCAAAACTGCGTGCTCGCAAGTAAGAGAGCGCCGACAACACACAGTCAAAGGTTCCCCTTGTAGCCTACACAGGCTTTTGGGGCAAGTGCTGTCAGTGAGCACCTATGAAGGCCAACACGACGCATGAGTGGGTGGGTGGTCAGCACCATGCCTGGTTGCCTTTGTTTCTCCAGTGCTGTATGCACACTACACACCACGTTGAGATGTGATTTAAGGCTGAACTCGATCTAGGGGAGGCCCAGGACCGCTTCAGATATTCATCACCGATGTTGGCCGTCTGCGAGAATCTAACTCTGGCCTCCGGGTTCCCAGCGTAGTGCACCAACCACTGCGTCGCCGCTCCCTTTGCTGCAGCACAAAGACAAAGATCTTCCGTATAGCCTTAACAGACCATCGGGGCAAGTGCTCTTAGCGAGGGCCCTTTGAAGGCCGGCACGGCGCACCAAGGGGGTGACACTGTGATCATCACCACGCCGTTCGTCTTAATCTCCCCAGTTCTGATGTTTTACACTCTGCGCCACCGTGTGTCCGTGTCTGCTCCCGACCAGGGAGAAGCGCAAGAAGTTGTTTGAGGTCTGGGTGCGCCGCATGGCAAATCGCCACAAGAAGGAAGTGCAGCTCGACTTGCACAAGGTGCTGCACCCCGACCTCCACACGTGTGTGTGTGTGTGTGTGAGAGACTCCTCCAACTCCGGCGTAGGTTCACGTAATCGTGTTGTGTCGTCCGCCGAAGTGTTTTTGGGCCGTACCGCGTGTCGTTCGAAACGATGTCCAGCAAATTCACTCCCGACCGTTGGGAGCTTCCTCAGGAACCGAATCGGTTCCTCAGTTACGCGTTCCTCCTGCCGAGAGCTCAGGTGTGCGCGGGCGGCTTCCCGCTCCGCTTCACAAGTGAGGGAATGGCCCCATTTGAGCCGCGGACACACGTGTCGCGTGTTGCGTGTCCCGTCAGGTGCACCTGCTGTGCCTGCTGGCGAACGGGATGCACCGGAGCGCCATCTGCAGTTCCCCCGCCCTGCGAGCGCTGGCGCTGTCGCTGCTGCCCACGCAGTTGGCGTCTTCGCCATCCACCAATCACGACCTCGCCTTCCTCGCTCGACTCCTCACGTGGTGAGAGGCTGTGGCGCCACCTCCATGGAGCTGCATCCCACCCCCCGCGCCACTCGCTGCAAGACCAAAGCGTGAATGCGTTGGCTCCGTCCTTCTCTTTGTCATGGGAGGAGGTCGTGATATCGCTCATGGCGGTGATCCAATGTTAAAGTTGTGTTGCTGTTAGCGTTATGGAAAAAAGATGTATTTAAAAAAACGGGATCTGTATTGAAAAAAAATAATGACAGCTAGAATTATGAATGAGAGCAGGAATTAGAATACTACAGTGTTACATCTGCAGGTCTTTTCTCCTATATCAATATGAAATCTGAGAATCTATGGATCTCTGTCAGTCTATGTGTCTATATGAATCTCTGGCTTTATATGTAAGTCTGGATCTCTGATGTGAGTCTTTAGGAAAGCATTGCAGAATCCATGCGTGCGCGTGCTTCTTCCTCCCCTGTGTGATTGAGCGCAGGTTCAACTTCATGTTCCGGGTGGACGAGGAGGAGGAGGAGGTGCAAGGAGGGACGGCGCAGGGGGCCCTGATGACGGAGGTCCTCACCGCGAGGTTCAGTAGCGAACGGCACGCTCGGCTGAGGAGCTGTCGCACGTGGGTAGCAGCGTGCACCGCGGCACACGCGTGCTTACGCCACACGCAACAGCGCATGGCGCATATACCGTAGAGCACACTCGGGTGCACGCTCAGGCACATGCACGAGAAGGCACACACATTCGCAGCACATGCCACGCACAGCACAGCAGACTCGGCAAGCGAGCACGACTCGTTTGCATCATTGGCATAACTTGTGAACGGTCTGCTAATTATTTGAATCATCACAAGTCTGGCAATTCACGCACTAAACTAGCTTGTGTCACTGTGTTAGTCTACTGACCTCTCCTCTGTGCTGTCCGGCCTCTCCTTTGTGTTGTCCTCTGTTATCCTCTGTGCTGTCCGCACTCTCGTATGCTATCCTCTGGGTTGTCCTGTGCCTTTTGCTCTGCTGTCCTCTGCCCCCCCCCCCCCCCCCGTACGTGGTCCCGTGGTTTTTCTATTCGCGCATGTGTGCAGTTGTTCCTGGTCGTGGTGCGAGCGCTGGGCATCACCTCGCGCCTGGTGCTGTCCCTGCAGCCGCTGCCGCTCAAGGCCGCCGCCGCCGAACCCAAGGTATTCACTGCGGCTTCTCCGTCGGTGGCGCGGCTCGCTCCGACGCCCCGTGGCACGTTGGGCGCCGATTAAGTCAATGGTTTAAATCGGCAAATTTTTTCCGATACAGAATGACGCAATAGTTTTGGACAAATTTTTTTAGGGGGAAAATAAAGTTTCTGAGCACAGCAGGCTCAAAGGCCCCAAATATCAAGCGGCCAGCAAAAAACGGCACCATCAAAGTTGTAATAAATAAGCGTTGACACTCGTATTCGCCGTGAGTGGAAATTGAACTCGGGTCGCCGGGTTCGTAGCGCAGTGCACTAACTGCTGCGCCACCGCTTCCCACCCAATCATTACCACCAATACTAACACCAACCAATACCTGCCAATCGCCACTAAGTTACGGTGACGTTCCCACAGCTCCTGTGCCAGGTTAGGTGCACTTTGATTACCACAAAGATCCCTGTATAGCTTTAACAGACTGTTGGGGCAAGTGCTGTTCGTGAGCACCTATGAAGGCCGGAATGGCACACGAGGGGGTGGGTGGTCAGCACCACGTCCAGCCGCCTTTGTCTGCCTAGTTGCGATGTTTACATATTGCACCAGGTACTCATTTGAGGCTGAGTCGACCTAGGGTAGGCCCAGGACCGGTTTAGATAATTGCCACTGGTGTCGGCCATGAGCAAGAATCAAGCCCGGGTCGCCAGGCTCGTAGTGCACACACACAGACACACTGGTTAGTGTCGTGAGTTATTGAAATGACTGTACCAAAAAAAAACTACTTGAATATGAAATTAACTTTCTCCATTCGACTTATTTCAATTGATTACGTGACCAACACTCTTCGCAAGTCATATGAAAGTCTTTCCGCTCGTGTGGATAAAGGGGCCTGTTACTTCGGAGCTAGTTTTGTGACGTCAATTTCTCGTAGCCACTCTCCGACACGGGGGGTGGTGCGCTGCTCGCTGTCAAACGTTGCTCCAGAAGGGGCAAGGTCCCTTCGTCTCGTGACTTCACGGCCCCATAACCAACAACGTCCACGCTTCACCCCAGGTTGGCAGGTCGGCCCAAACCAAGACGCGCAAGGGAACCTCGAAACGGCAAGAATCCGCTCGCCAGGGGCCCGGCGACTTCGTAGGCGGTGGTGATGGAAGTGCGAGGGTGGAGCGAGGGAAACGTGGAGAGGCTCGGAAGAAGTCCTCCTCCACCACCACCTCCCAGAGTGGAGACGTCTCCAAGGCGGAGAGGATTAAGGAGGAAGGGAAGGGCGAGAAGGTGGAGGAAGAGGAGGAGGATGATGGGAAGATTAGAAAGCGTCAAGGTGCTGGAGAGAACGAGGGAAAGAGACGGTCTCCGAGAGTATCCGCCCAACAAAGCTCGAAGCCGCAAGCAGGTACCGTACTAGAAGTGCCGTCCGACTCCGCTGAATTTCGAATTGTACAAATAGTTTGCGATGCCGGGACAGTCTCTCTGATAGGCCGGGATGTTCGGTAGCTGCGTCGGACCGGACGTAGACCAACACCCCCGGAAATGACACGTGTGGTTATGCCGCAGTTAATAAGCGTTCGGCTTCATATGGGAGGAACACGGAGAAAACCCACCACGACATGAAAGGCGGTAACACTCGGCAATGCCATCTCCCGGCCACAGGGTCGGGCGGTGGATGGTAGCGCCCCGAGTGGCTGTAAAGTTCGCATCTCATATTTAAATTGGCACAAGCCTCTTGTAAATCACGTAGCTTCTGCGTTGCCACCCCACACTCTGAATCCCCTCCCCTTTCACCTCCCCCTCTTGAGAACAGACGCTGCTCCGTGCAGCTTCCGTGCAGCTCCGTTACGCTTGCTCCCCTTTTTATTTCCCATTCTTTATCTTTTCTCTTCCCTGACCTTTTTCTCTTTCCATGCATCACAATCTTATCTTTACTCTGCTTCCTGTGGCGTGCCATGGATACAACTTTTATCACATTGAGTCTTACACGTGCAATTCAATGCATGTATCGTCCACTTCCAAACCAACGTTAGTCAACTAACTGACGCTGGTGGTTTTGGTCGTAGTTGTAAATTGCAGTCCCTTGACAAACCCATACCGACTAGCGTGATGAAGTGTGGTCGTCAAACCTTTACGACTGCCATTGTGTTGGGAGGCCTTCATCCAGCAGTGGATAGATCGTGGCCAACGACGACATTGCAGTTCTGCTGCCGTGTGCGTTTGTTTCACCAGGGCGCTACCGAGTCGCGGCGAGCGGCAGCGACGGCAGCGGCAGTGACGAGGACTCGGAATTCTCCCCGAACTCCGGTGACTCATCCGACGAGGTCTCAGATTCAGACGAGGGTGGAGGGAGGAGGAGGAGGTCGGGGAAGTCGAGGAAGAGGCCATCCTCGCAACAGCGAGGAGCGGCCGGGAAGAGGCCTAAGGGAGAGAAGGAGCCGGAGCTTGCGGGCGACAGCGACAGCGATGATTTTGTCGCCACCACGACAACCGGACGGGCGAAACACAAGCGCGCCAAGATGCAGAGAAAGTCACCGAGCCATGTAAGGGATCGGCGAGGGGGTGTTGAGGCCTTGGGGAGAGATTGCTGAGAGGTTGGGGCATTGTGCGTCTTGGCCTGTGCACGAAAAATAGTGCACGTTGCAGGAGATAAACACCTTGCGATGTGGCTCATTTACGACTTGTTTTTCTAATTCTCAAAAATTGTACCTTTCCCGCTGTGCCATTTCACAGCCTAAAGCTGCGTGGAAGCCTGGGGCAACATCGACGGCGTTGGCCCCTTGCGACGCGTGGGTGGAGGTTCTCTTGCTGGACGAGGGCCCGCACGGATGGGCGCCGGTGGGTGCCGCTGCCGCCGGCGGGCGCTGGGTGTGCGTGGAGGTCGCCGGCGCGCAGGCCGACCGGCCGGAGGCGTGCGCGCGACGGGCCACACGGCCCCTGGCGTACGTTGTGGCCTTCGATGACGATGGGTGCATGAAGGACATCACCCGCAGGCAAGTGAAGGACGGGGGGGGCCAGGCCTGTATCCTCGGTCGATGTCCCGGGAAAAATGTGTCCACTGTCATCGCACGCGAGGGCCTCCTCCGTGAGCGCCTCCTCTGCTCCCTCGCAGGTCGCGGTGGGGGTTACCGTGACCACAGTTTTCGCGCTTGGCGCGGGTTTGTGAAGATGAGCACAGACATGGGAGACCGCAGGAGTATGGTACAATAATAAATGTTGCTGTGCTGCCTCATGCTGCCCACCACGTATGCCGCACTGCAGCGGGTGCGTTCTCGCTTAATTGGTCATAGGCGTATACAACGCGTGACTAGTTCAGCGTCGGTCGTTACACGCGAGGATCGACGCGTGCATCGTGAGCCCGAGTATCCGTATTGATCGACATTCATAGTTCCACTCAGGGATTAATTACAGCCGAGTCCCTCCCAGGTCACAGAGTCCAATAGCCTCGCACGGAGACCCATAGATTCTCATAAATTCCCATAGACTTGTAGCGACGCATACATTCTCATAGACTTGTAGAGACCCAATTTCTCCGTCTGGCGAGCGATCCCGACGTGCGTTCTCCAGGGCCGTCACCGGGAATCCGCGCGTGCCGTGCAGGTACGACCCCGCGTGGCTCACGTACACGCGGCGGCTGCGCGTGGACACCGAGTGGTGGCAGGCGGCGCTCTTCCCGTTCGAGAGCCCCCACACGCGCCGCGAGCAGCAGGAGGACGAGCAGGTGAGAGGTGGCGCTGCGGGCGACGGCGGCGGCCTCGGGAGCGATCGGGAAGAGCCGCTTATTAAGAAGCCACTGGGAACTATTCTTTAGAACTGCTGTTTGTGTTTAGTTTGTTGTCCTTCCCCCCGCAGCTCCAATTAACACGGTTGGCTACGTACGGTGCGAAAGAAGTTCAGCGTACATACATACAGTAGCCAGCACAGGTGGTGAATCTGCAGTCGTCTCAGCTCATGAACATCCTGTGACCTCCTGCCAGAGATGTATCGACACTTCACGTGGCAGCCTCAGTGCACCTAGCCTGGCCTAAAGTGCTGTGGTGGTGAATAGCGGCTGTTATTGGTAGTGGTGGTGGTTGTCTATAAACTGGTGGCGTTGTTGGTGGTGCTGGTTATATTGATGGCGGTGATGGTGGCAATGGCGGTGGTTGCGCGATCAGCTGGTGGCTGCGATTGCGGTGCTGGTGAAATTGGTGGTGGTGACGGTGGTGATGGTGGTGTCTTATCAGTTAGAGGCGGGGCTGCTGATCCGCCCTATGCCAAGCTCCGTGTCGGAGTTTAAGAGCCATCCGCTGTACGCGCTGCCACGCCACCTGCTCAAGTACGAGGCCATCTACCCGCCCGGTGCTGCGGTGCTGGGCACCTGCCGCGGAGAACCGGTCTACGCCAGGTACTGAGGCACCGGCGCCAGAATGGGAGCGGGGCCTTGTCGCAAGGCTTAGCATAGATTCTTGTCTTCAGGAGGGCCCTGCTACATTGAGATGTTTGGCCACGAATCCCATTAGTAACGAGAGTCTGGCTTCGTGTGCGAGGGGACCGGAGAACCTGGAGAAAACCCAGCACGAGGGGGCGGGGTCGACACTCGGCACTCTCCTGTATCTCTTCATCTCTCGGCGGGCCGCTCCGAGAGGTCTCGGCGGCCCTGCCTGACTGTCTGCTGCCAGCTGTAAAAGCCTGACGTGCAACTGTACGAGTGTGAGAACGCACGAGCCGCGAGGTGGGGTGGAGTGGTGGCGCAGCGGTCAGTGCAGTTCGCTACGAACCTGGCGACGTCGGTTCAACTGCCCCCACGATGTTCCTCCACCGATGTTCGTCTGCCCGCAGGGAGTGCGTCCACACCCTGCATTCGTGCGACACGTGGCTCAAGCAGGCGCGTGTGGTGCGGCTGGGAGAGGTCCCCTATAAGGTGCCGTTTTTGCAGCACGCGGGGGCGCGATCGCTCGTTAGATAGCGTTAAAAAGTACAAGTTGGGTTTTTTTTCCGGGACACCTGAATTCTCATAATCGCTGGCGCGAGCCGGGATGGTGGTGAATTACAGCAAGCCTTCTGTCAGCTGCAGTAATAATAATCATGTTTAGTTTTGTATCTCATGTCGTCGAGGAACCACATACGAGCAGTTAATGAGCGTTTATACCACGGTTATGCCACAATGGTGCCGCGTGACCTTTGCCCCCCCCTTCCCCATCCCCCCCACCGTCAGATGGTGAAGGGTCAGTCCAACCGCTCGCGCAAGCTGCGCATGGCGGACCCGGAGAGCCGCGACAAGCCTGACCTGGCGCTGTTCGGCCTGTGGCAAACCGAGGAATACCAGCCGCCCGTGGCGGTGGACGGCAAGGTAACGGCCACGACGTCACCGCCTCCACCAAAGACAAAGATCCCCCGTGTAGGCTACACAGACTTTTGGGGCAAGTGCTGTTAGCAAGCTCTTATCCGGCACGATGCATAAGGGGGTCGGTGGCCAGCATCACGTCCGACTGCGTTTGCCTTCCCAATGGCGATGTTTACAAATAGCGCCAGGTACTCGTTGAGGCTGAGACGAACTAGGCGATGTCCAAGACCAGTTCAGATAATCATCGCTGGTGTTGGTGGCCGTTAGTGGGAATCAGACTCGTGTCTCTGGGTTCGTAGCGCAGCGCACTTACCGCTGCATCCCACCGCCTCTCCAAGTTGCCACTGCAACTCCATCCGCATCCCAGGTGACGCCTCTCCATGCTGGACATCACTGCTGGGGTGGGAAAAAACGTGGGTAAGGATTAGGGTCCTCGTGGAAACAGCGCTCAAATACCTCGACAACCCGGAGCGCTTCACATCACATCATCTCAAGTGTTCCAGTGCCCCGCTTGGCAGCTGCCCCTACGCGGCGCGATGTCTACACGGCACTGGCCTGCAAGTGGGCATCAGTCCCTTGCCACGCGGTTCTTTTCCCGATGTAGCACTTTGTGAGTAATTTATAAAATTTGGCAAATATGGACCGTGACATGTCACGGGATCATTTACGTCCGCCGGAAGCAGGTGGCGATTATTGAACGCTAAATACACACGCGGTATTAACCAGGGCGGCCACTGGACTCGAACCGCGAAACCTCTCCAGCGGCGCTAAACGGCCCTCCTGCCGGGCCGCGTCACTGGAAGCTGGGAGACCTCGCGACCGCCGGGCGCTACGTGGCCAACTGGACATCTGCACAAACCACTGGATCTGTGAAAAAGAGCTTTATAGCTCATCGGATTCCTCCGGCATAGATACAGATTCTGATTCTAGATGCTGACTGCGCCGTGCCACGTGAACTGCCTTGTGCCACGCCAGGTTCCCCGGAATGACTATGGCAACGTGTACCTGTTCCGGCCGAGTATGCTCCCCGTGGGCTGCGTGCACCTCCACGCGCCGGGCCTGAACCGCGTGGCGCGCTCCATCGGCGTGGACTGCGCGCCGGCGGTCACGGGATTCGACTTCCACGCAGGATACTCGCACGCCGTGTAAGCGACGCACGTGTGTGTGTACATGTGTGTATGTGTGAGTGTTTATGTGCACGCGTGTGTACGCCTGTGTGTGTTTACGCCATTGTCTGTGTAGGCGTGTGCATGTGCACGACTCAAACGAGTACCTGGTGCGGTGTGTAAACATCACCACGAGGGAGACAAAGCCGGCCGGGCCTGGTGCTGGCCACCCACCCCCTCGTGTGCCGTGCGGGTCTTCATAGGTGCTCGCTAACTAAACTTGCCCCAACAGTCTGTTAAGGCTATACGGGGGATCTTTGTCTTTGGCAGTACCGACGGCTTTGTGGTGTGCGAGGAGGTGAAGGACACCCTGCTGGCCGCTTGGGAGAGAGCGCAGGAGGAGGTGGAAAAGAAAGAGAGAGAGGTGAGACCCAGACGTTGCCCAGCACCGAGGCCGTTCACCCCGGCCTGTTGAGGAGCCTCCCTCGTCAGAGACTCTGCAGTTACCTTGCTCCTCCGTTTCCTCGCAACGTGGGAGTTCTCTCCCATTGTCCAGTCCATCAGGAGTGCGCACGGATCACAGATAATAAGCTCTTGGAACCTCACCGTTGTAAGTCCGCTGCACAAACTGGCTCAGACTCAAGGATGGGAACCCGACATCTGCCGCTGGCGGTAACCGGGTCAAGGCCTTCGGGCTGGAGAGCCCGGTGACGCTGCGTCGGCCGTATCGCTGCGTAGAGTTTGCGCTGCGCGGGTCAAGCCAGCGGCAGAAGCAGCAGCGGTAGCGGCCGATCGCCGTGGGCTACGGATCGTAGACGGCGTCTGTTGGGGTCTGTTGAGGCCGATGCTACTCACTGTTCGGCGAGTTGGAGCCAAGCAAATGAGTGTAGACTCTTGCAGACGAGCAGTTGTAGTCCCACATACGGGCAATATCGTTGCCTCCCCATTAGGGACAGATGAATGAATGGACGGGGGACAGGTAAAATCGATGCATAAATGCCTGAGATTGATCCGAGATGAGATTGGGAGGCGGTGGGGCGATCGGAGTGTTGGGGCGATGGCGTCGTGCTCACGCGGTGCACGTGAGAAGTCTGGAAATGGCGATTCAATCAGTTGTCGTCGTCGTCGCCGTCCACGCTTTGTGTCGTACAGAAGAGAGAGAATCGCGCTTTTGGAAACTGGAAGCTGCTGACCAGGGGACTGCTCATCAGGGAGCGGTTAAAGCTGCGTTACTCGGCTAACGTACGTCGGCTCACGCCGCACTCGCCTCACCACACTCGCCGCACTCGCCACGCTCAGCGCAGTCATCTTACCGCAATCATCATACTCACCACAGCCACCTCGCTGCAGTCACCTCACTCACCATGCTCACCACACTGGCCATGCTCACCTCTCTCACCATGCTCATCACGCTCACCACACTCACCATGTTCGCTACATCGCACGGAGTCTGGCTCGGTGTAGCGTCCTTGTCTGCATTGTCTCATTCTGCCTCTGTACTCTCCCATTCGTATTGTCTCGTTGTCTCCTTTGCATTGCTTTAACCTATTTCGTTTGTACTCTCCATCTCATTTGTTTCCTCTCGCTCTAAGCCCTTTGTCTAATCAAGCGGTGAGCTCCTTTCATCCTGAAACGGGGTGGCCACGTGACGTTCGCGTGACGTTCACGCGACGTCGTCGTCTTTTTTCCGTCCTCCAGGATCCCGGCTCCACACAGACAACGCAGGGCGAGGAAGGCACGAGCCAGGCGGCCGAAACCCCGGGGGTCACCCCCGCCAACGACCTGGCAGTGGCCTGGCCAGACTTGGAAGAGCGGGTGCGGTCGTCTGTCAAACGAAACCAGGGGGTGGGGCGGCGTGATCGCCAGGGCCAGAACTCTCACCTGTTCCCCTTCGAGAAGCTCTAGAGGAAGGAGTGGGACCCCCCCCCCCCCCCACCGGCGCGTGGCCCACACTCGGGCCCCTCAACTCCACTTAATTTGCGGATTTTCTTCGTGTGACGTGGCCCACGGCCGAACGAGGATCGCCACTTGGAAACGTCCAGCAGATGATAATTAGCCCACGCTCATCATCTGCTGGAGGGGAATGTTTCAAACCTGGCAACATAGCACGATCGGTGACTTCTGTCACTGCACTGGCCTGACTATGAGGTGTGTGTGTTGATGGTTTTGTATGGCCCATGAAGAGCGACTGTTGGTCTTTCTCACTCTACATGTGTTCGGTTTGTGCAACTTCGCGTTGGAAATGCGGCAAACCTATTTCTACCCAAAATTCGCTCTGTGCGATTTTAATTCACTAGTGCGACGGCTATTCAGACGTGGGCAAGCAGCTGTCTCGTGCGCTTCATTGCGGGTTGGCTGACTGCGGTCCGTGCTTTGGGATTATGCTTTGTGCGCCCCTTTTTTTGGAATTAATCGACCGTGTAAAGCGAGGGAAACCTGTAATCCAAATTCAGTTGCAAGTGATTGAGCCATTGAGTTACATTGTCTGGTAGTCGGTAAATTGCAGACAAACCGTCTGAAAGTTTATATTTGCGGCAGTGGCAAAGTTATGTTCTCCGTGGTTCTATGTTCTTAGCTGCAGTCGCACAAAGGAAACGATTTTATTCTCCACGTTTGGGTGTGTGTGTGTTCATGTGCTGTCGCCCGATATTTGAAAGGCCTGCTTTGCTCTCAGGGACAGGATTCCCGACTGCTGCTCTCCAGGCATGTGCTCACACCTCTTCTGATCCTCGCCACCGCGAGCAAGATTGTGCCTTTCGCATCGTCCCGCGGAATTCCTCATTGACGGCGCCACAACTCGGGGGGTCCTGCTAAACCGTGGGTCGGCGAGGGGGGGGGGCTGGTTACTTCTTTGAATATTTCCTGGGTCGCTTGAAAACTGGAGCAGGTGGCACGAGTAGCCACAGTCAGTGCAAGTGGTATACTTGATGTGGTGTGCCGGGCACGTAAACATTTTCAAGGTCGCCTACCCGGGACGGACCCGGCTGAAATGAATCCCTGGGTGGAACTATGAATGTCGATTAATATCGAATCTAGGGCTCGCGATGCACGCATTGATCCTCGCATCTAAACTGATACTGTTGCAGTCACGTGTTGTATACGCCTCAGACTAAATCACCCAAAATGTACCTGTTGATCAAGTCAGATGTCAAAAACTAAGCGCTGACCCTGCATAGGACTTTGCTGAGCGACCTCCTTGCATAAATCAGCTCATCGGCTACTGTGGGGCTACCTGGTGGGCAGAAGGAGACGGCGCAGCAACATTTATTATCGTACCGTGCCGAGGAGCGCGAGGTGTGGTCACGGTAACCCCCAACGCGACCCGCACGACCGTGGTGGAGCCGCTCATCCAGCAGTGGATCAACAAGAGGCCCTGTGCGTGCGAATGTACTGTACCGGTGTTCCGTGTTCACGTGACCCACGCAGCCAATTGGATGCTGCTACCGTTCACCGCAGCGTTACAAAAAATACCCAAAACATTTCTGTACGATTCAAATCGTAACCGTGAATCGGTGATCACCCATCGAATGGGCGGAGGGGGAAGTCATTCCAACCCCTCCAGCCACAAGCTGATAACCATTGTCATAGGTCCCTCGTGTTTTGTGTCAACTCGGGAGTTCTCGGTGGATTCTTTTTACTTTATGCGGCATTATTTGTTATTGGTTTGTGCTTTTTGTGTGCTTTGTTTTCATACTTTATTTAAAAACGACAAAAAAATATGCAACAATGATTACCATGTCCCGAGTCATTTGTTCAGATGTGTTCTTGACGTAGGCGCTAATTCACGGGCAGGGTCATCTCAGTTATTTCCACAAAGACTAAATGTTCACAGCCTGTAATGTCATTATTTAACTTTTTATATGACATTAGGAAGTATAAAATCAATATAAAAGAAACGTGTTAAACACCGAATCCACTGAAAATCCCAAGCCATTTGTGGAACGCACGTTGCAGTGCCACAGGAGTTTGTGTGGGGTGTGGAGTACGGAACCCAAGTGGGGGCCTCCTGGTATTTGACGTTTCAGCGTGGAGACGCAGCCGTCAGAAAAGCGGCTTTGCTTCACGTTTCGCTTTTCGAGCATCAGCAAGTGAGAGGTTACATTGTATTCCCATGTTTTACCTTCAATGTGTATGCCCCCCCACCATGTATCGAGGATATTTTAATCGGCGCGGAAAGTGGCACAGAAGGGACGTATACATTAGCAGAATTACAACGAGCTACCTGAGACTGGTACAGAGCAACTGAGAACAGATGCCTTCCAATTTAAGCGGTCACCCCTACCACAGGACGGAGCCAGGACACCCTGCACCTCCGATTATCACGGTTGGCCACGTACGGCGCAAAAGAAGTTCAATATACAGAATACAGACTCACGTGAAACGCCCTCTTGGCTCTGACCTCAGGTGACCCCTTGTCAACGTTAACCCCGCCCCTACTCTTTGGTTTTTGCCGTAAAGTCACGTAGGTAAAAAATAAATTAAAAGTAATAATAGAAATAAAATAATAAAAATCACGACGTTTCGGAGGCAACACAAGTCTCCGTCATCAGGTGGGACCGTCACAGCCAGATTCACTGTCTCAAGTGATGCAAACAAATGTCAAGATACAAGTTCTTAAATACAAGTTAGGGGGGGGAGGAGCTTATCTGAGTGTGGTAGCTGTGACGGTCCCACCTGAAGACGGAGACTTGTGTTGTTTTCTACCGACGTGGTGACTTTACCGAAAAAACCTAAAAGTGCGATTCCTTGCAGTCACGAAAGCTTCAAATCTAGCCCCGCCCCCTTTAGTTTAGCCCCGCCCCCCACCCACGTGACGTCATATCCGTTTCCGGCACGTGCAGCAGCAGCAGGGCAGCAGCAGCAGCATGGCTCCCAAAGCTCGCGGGGTCGTGGCGATGGCGCGGGCGGCTGTGGGCTTCATCTCGGACCGCACAGACTTCAAGAGGTGCGAGACGGCGCGGAGGAAGAGTGGCGGAGACACAAGAAGGCGTGGACAGTGGGGAGACGAGATAGGGGAGAGACACAAAGAGAGGGGTGGGACACGGGGACGCATTGAGGACGCGGGGAGGACGCCGTGACAGAGGGGACAGACACGAGAAGTGAGATGTGGAGACGAGACAGGGTGAGACATGGGGAGACACCAGGAGGGTGGCACTGGGTAGACACGAGGATGCATGGAGAGGGGGAGACATTTGGAGGGAGACACGGATAGACAGCGACACGCGGGGGATTGGATGTTGGTGGATTTTGCCGGCAAGGCTCCGAATGGAGGATAGTGGTCGTACCCCGCCGATGTGCGGGCCTGGAGTGACGATGAGAGGGGGACGCAGGGGCGGTGACACGGGGAGACGGGAAGAGGAGGAAGAGATGGCGGAGACACAGGGAGACGCAGGGGCGGAGACACGGGGAGACGGGAAGAGCGAGATGGTGGAGGGGGACGACTCCAGGGAGATTCGCGCCGTGAAGGCCTCGCGAGGAAACGAGGGACACGGAGCGAGACGCACAGAGGCAGATGAGAGACACGCACAGAGGCAGATGAGACACACGGGGAGAGATGGAGCGACACGAATAGAATGACACGGCCACAACGACGGACAATCACAGAGACGCGCAGTGTCAGTGCCACGTGATGTGTGTGTAATATTTCACAATCAGAAGTACGGTGCTTGATCAGTCGCCGGCCCTGGGTTGCGTGTGGTGCAGGAACCTGCTGGTGAACGTGGCCCTCTTCGCCGCGGGGGTGTGGGTGGCGCGAAACGTCGCCGACCTGGACCTCATGGCTCCCGCGCCACTCCCGTAGAGGTACCGCGCCGGGCAGGGGCAGCCTCCTCCCCTCAAGACGCTGGGGCTGTCGCGATTACTCGACGAATCGGATCACGTGAATAGGCTGTAGTTGACTTTGGGGTCGGGGTCATCTCTGTTCTCCCCACGTGTTTCGGTGGACGGGAGGTGATGGGCACGGCAAGAAGTGATGACTAAGGACGGGAGTGGAAGCTGTAAGGGAGAGAGAGCTGTGTGTGTGCGCGTCTCGAGAACATTGCGGATTAGCGGTGAGCTGGTGACAGATTTTGGAGGGGGGGGGGGGTAGCGGGTTGGTCGTGGCGGACGGTGCGGCAAATGTCCTGTGGTGCAGCAAATGTTCTGTGGTGCGGCAAATGTTCTGTGGTGCGGCCAGTATTTTATGTTTCCGTTGTGCTGCAGGGGATGTGGCTAACTCCTCCCTCCCCACTTGTTTTCCAGATCCATCGCACCTTCTCTGGAGCTGTTCCTATTGCCCGACAACCCCCCAAGCCCTCGTGGACCAGTCAGTGTAAAATGTTGTGAAATCATAATAAAGTGTTTTCCTTCGGCAAAACAAAAATCCCAAGGATGACGATTGAATGGAAACGCGAGTCAATAACTACGAGAGATAAGGCATTTAGAAAAAAATGTATTTATCACAAACTCTATATATATATAAAAAGAAATCGTAAACAGTTTGAAACTAACGTAGACACTTTTCTCGACAAAATCACAGCAACACGAACTCGAAACAACAAAATCCTCACGCCTTCTTTACACTGGCACAGCGAGTGCAACTTACCCAGCATGCATTGTGCTCCACACGCCAACCAACTCTCGGCAGGACCCACCCAGCAGACTCCCAAACTCATCTCTACCTAATTCTAGATTTGAAGCTTTCGTGACTGCAAGGATTCACTCTTAGTTCTTTCGGTAAAGTCACGAAGGTAAAAAAGGAAAATAATTATTAATTTCATTTTTTTCTTACGTTACCATCTCTACCACCATTTCCTGCAGCCAAGGGCTTCTCCATGTCGCTTCACGCAATGGGCATCCTATCAATCAACTTTAATTATTGTTCCCAGACGGCGGGCTGAAGGTCGCCGAGACGAGGTTACACCACGTTGACCACTGGGCCGAAATGTGTTAGTTCGCTCGTGTTTAAGAGTTGTTGCACATGAAGGCTATGGAATTAACGGGACAGAAAATACAACGGGAGCAGATTGTAGAATAACAAGACATGTGACACAGTACGAACTAGCAGACAATACAAATGAGATACTTATTAACCAAGTTGTGATGGATCATCAAATTGTTGAGGCGTAATTAATAATTTTACATTTAAAGACCACCTTCACTCAAGGCGCTTGACATGGTTTAAAAACCGGTGATATAATAGAATTATCTCGTCTTTTGCATCGCTAGCAATAAAGTCCACTTGGAGGGATATGTGTGTATCGATCACAGATGGCAGACAAAGAAGCTGCTATGCTCCGAGGTTTACAGCGAGCGGGGCGATTCCAGAGGTCTGGTGTCGTCCTGCGTCTCGACCGAGCCACTCTCCTCGTCCCAGGTCGCCAATCCGCCCTCGCGACCGGTGGGCCGAGACGCAGGGCGGCAGTGGACACCGCCCCGGGGACCGGAGCTTAAGAGCCGCAGAGAGCACCAGCTCCTGGCACGGCTTGTTACGACGTTGCTTTAAAAAAATACGGCGCATTAATTCATGACTAACTTCATTCCATTTTTTAAAATAACGGTTCTTGGGTGTTGAGACGAAATAAAAAAAAATACAGGCGTTTACCACTTTTAAAATTACATAAAAATAGTTTTCGCGGGAAGGCTAAGGATCCTGCCTGGGCCAAGAACAAGGCCAACACGGTTTCAACTGGGAGGGCTGGGTGTGGGCACAGTGCACAGGGAGGAGAAATATTCAGTGTCAAACCATCCTGTACGGAACAGCTGCTGTGGTTGTTGCCGTCACAGCGTCCCCGAATGGCTTCTCACCCTGATCGATGCTGACCCCGACCCCTAATTCAGACCCCGACCGTGATCCCGGTTGTGTCCTGCGAGCCTCACCGACTCCATAATTTGCTGGACAAACATTCAATCTACCACACCCAACCCCACAACGTAAAGCAGTTTTAAGCGTAAACAACCCAACGCTGACACTGACGCAAACGCTACGCCTACTCTTAATACTGCACTAACGCTAGCCAAACTGGTCCCCACCGTCCGCTGCACAACCCAAGGTCAACGATCAGAATCTCTATTGCTCACGAAACGTTTTAACGCTAAACACCCAACAATTTCACGGCTCACCCCGAGGCGAGGTGCCACGAGTTTGTTGCGTACAGGATAATTTAGACACGAATACAAAAAAACTATTTCAAAACCACCACACATCCTAGGCCGCCGCTCGGGGGCCCACTACACGTGACAAGTAGCTCTAACTCTACTCACCGAGAGACACGGGGGGCCGCCGGCATGCGAGGCAAGGCCCCACACCGCAGGACGAGCAACGTACGACGACATCCTCTGAAAAACCGTGGGGAAAAAACCCCCACGTCTCTTGCCGACAGCAGCACCGTGGACCACGTCCGATCGCGAAACGCTCGCTTCACGTACACACGCGCGCACGCCCGTTTCTTCCACGACTTGCACGTGCGGCAGACGCGCGAGTGCGTGCGCACAAGCGCTGCAGCGCCTCGGGCCACAACCTTCGCGAGGACCCCATCCGCTTCCACCCCACGCACGGCTCCGTGTGCCGTGCCGAGCGACCCGGCAAACTCTTGCACGCACGCACGCGCGGTGTACCTTGCACGAGTGCCTATGCGATCACGTACTCGCACACGAGCGTGCGTGTCTGTGCGTACAGACAGGCGCGAACATCCGCGCGAACATTTCCACTCGGAAAATACAACCGAGTATTTTAAGGGTCTCTTGCAGAACACCACCTGCTGCAAACACGGACCTTAGACAAACCCCATTATTACTTCCCTCCCTACCCACCCATAACCCAGCAGTACTTGCACACCCCCTAACCAATCAGTACTCACCCCCTAGCCCACCCCAGCAAAGTGTGCGGTTCTGTACAAATTCACACACCAGTGTTGTTCTCACAGTGCCGAGGAAAGGACTGGCAGTTCCTAGAGTGCACGTGTGTCTGCGTGTGTACGGTACAGGAATGCAAGTATGTCCGTGCGCTTAAGTCTATGTGATGTGTAGTTGTATCACTGTGGGCGCGCTTGCGTCTATGCATGCATGTGTGCGTGATAGCATGTGGGTGCATGACTGTTCGTGAATGCAAGTATTGTATATGCATTCGTGCGCACATAACTGTATGTTAATGCGTGTACTGTAGATGTATTTATGCGTGCACAAAGACTGCATTTGCGTCTCAGTGCGTACCAGTATACGTGCGTGCGCTTTGTATGTACCCATATGTACGTACGCGTGTCAATATATGCGCGTGTGTTAGTGTTGATTTTTCCAAAAAAGCTACCTGAGCTGTCGTTGGGCTGATGTGCAAACACCGGCCGCATGAGGTTACATGTGGTGCACCGCATGGTGTACACGTGGGCCACGCGATGTGTGCGTGTGGTACACGCCAGGGGTGGCGCAAGCGAGGTGGTGCAGGGGGGGGCCTCCCCCCCCCACCCCAAATCATGAAAGGGGAACAGTGGCCCCCTCACGGACACTGGCCCCGCCCCCCATGTCCATCTTTCCCTGCTTGCACCCCCACATTGCGATGCTGCCTGAGTAGTAGTGAATTACAAGGCCTTTTCTTTTTTAAGCTGTTGAGAGTGAACGCGGAAGTGCTGGTGTAAAAACAGAGGCCAAAGTGAAGATCCTGGTTTTCTCCGGGAATGAACGGAGACTGGCGTCGACCGACGCCCCGGGCACACCGAGCCGAGGAGAACGACGCGCGCCGGCGCTGTGGCTCCTGTGAACCCAAACCGGCGGTGGCGCGGCGACTTGCGCATTATCAAACGCAAGTTGACGCCCGCACTCTTTAGCCTGGCTCGAGGTAACCGAGCGTGAAGTTGCCATCAACTGGACCGAAAACCCGCGTCGATTTTTAAAACCACATGTAGCTAGGGTACCGGCTGTTCTTTTAATGCTGTCGCCGCCACGATACGGCCGATGCAAGCGCTGTCAGTTCTTCATCAGGAGACCGCTTAGCACGAGCGTGGAGAGCGTGGAGCGCGTGGAGCAGCACTACCCGCCGCCGCGTCGACAATCAGCTGTGCTCCGCGGCCGCGCCAAACTCGCTGGTGACGCCGCAACCTCCTTCCGCCGGTCCGGCGGTCGCGACGAGCGGGCCAGGCTCAACGGCGCCGCCGCCGCCGCAAGCTTGCGCTTCGAGCCAGAAACCCGCGGATGTCTGGTGCGGCTCGGCGGAGGCCAGCGTGGGCGCGGGCAACGCCGGCTCGGCTCGCTCGCCAACGGAATCCGGGAGATTTCCAAAACCCGGGACGGAGTGTCCGAGTGGTGGCGACGGCCGCTCGGACACCTGCGGGTGAAGCGACAGCGTCCTTACGCCGGCGTCGCTGTCGGGGAGCGAGCTACTCCGGGCGTCGGGCGTGCCGGCGGCAAGGTCCTGTTCGTCGTCGCCGCGCAGGCCTCCCCGGGGCTGCGTGTCCAGCGGCGGCGGTGCCGGCGGGGTGAAGGGTGTCGCCTGCGGTTCGCAGCGCTCCCCGTCGGCGGCTGGCGAACGTGCGGGGAGCGCAAACGACTCGGCCGCCCTGCGATCCAAAGAAAACGGCGCCTCGGGGCCGGAGGGTTTTGGGGAGGCTGGGGGCGTAGGGGAAGAGGTGGGGGGGGCCAGGGTGGGGGCGACCGGGGCCGACGCGGGGGGCAACACCCGTGTTTCCGGCACCGCCGTTGCCGTGGCGCAGATTCGATCGTCGGGTGACTTGCGCTGCGAGTAGAAGAGGATGTAGGCCTGGGCGCGGCACACCTCCTCCACGCTGCACACGCTCATCTCCGAGTCGTTGCAGTGAACCCAGAAGCCTGCAGACACACAAGACAAATAGACCCCACAGAGCCTTCACAAGCGCACTAACCGCTGCATTACCGCTCCTCACCCACAACAACAACCGCTATTCGCCACTAAGTGGCGACGACATCACCACTCTCCACAACTGCCCTATCACCAATTGGGAGTTGTGGGGGTGGAGTATCCGATGGTACAAAATACCCAGGCAGGTGCTTCGTTTTGGTGGGGCTGATGGTAAGGCCCCACCTCTTATTTGGCAAGCTCCAGGTTCAGCAGCAGCGCCTCCAACTCCTCCTCTGAGTGAGCAGCAATTACCAGATCATCGGCATACATAACATGGTTGAGCAATAGGGAGCCATCCCTTGACCGCACCCGGGCATCGATCAACCTCCCATTGTATCTGTACCAGGTGGAAATTCCTCCCGTGCAGCTATTGAAGGCTTCACGAACTAAGTGGTCGAAATAGATGTTAAATAATGTGGGAGCCAGAGGACATCCCTGTCGCACCCAAAGGTGAACAGGGAATGGCTCCCAAGGGGCCACTTTAGCTCGCAACTGTGACAGGAGGTCATAGAAGGCATTTGACCCCTCAAGAAGCTCCTAGCACGAGGATGTGGTAGGGGTTTTTGCCGCACACACACCCACACACACAGGTCCACACGCATGTACACACACGCACGGATACTCATACCAACACACAAATGAACATACACGGGCAGGAGACAAACACCCACAAGCGGGCAATCACACGGGCAACGCTCTACTTCCTGTGCGGCCATTACTGCGCCCGAGGCGTGCGGCCAACTCTCCTCCAACCCCCTTCCTACACTTACTCACTCTCTGTCGCTCTCACTCACCCTCTCGCTCGCTCACACTCACCACCCTCAGTATTGTAGACGTAGGCCGTGTAGTGCCCGGAGCCGAAGCCACGCCCGTGGTGCATGACGACGGCCGACAGGTCGTACACCAGGCCCTCGCGTCCGCCCAGCCGCGCGCCGCTGCGGCTGCAGAAGGCCCTCATGCTGAGCTCGCGTGCGAATGCCACGTGGACGCCGATCTTCTCGCGCTGGTTACGCCCGGACCACCTGCTCGCGCCACACCACACGTTGCCCAGCGGGCGATCATCCTTGTGCGGTGCAGACGCTGGCGCCTGCCACCGCTGCCGCCACAGCAGCAGAACAACACTCACAACAACGGACAGTGCCCAGCGGTTAAAATACATAGCTCATACAGTAGGGGGTACAGGTGGTGCATCTACCAGTCATATCAGTCAGTCAACCAATGGCACCTTTGTCTGTTCCGTGAACTGCCCTTTGACACATCATGTGGCCTCAAAGTGCACATCGCCTGGCATAAGTGGCGAATGGCGGCTGTTGTTGTTGTTGTGTGTTCGCTGGATGTGTGAGTGCACCGGTATACCGTCATGTAGTGTGTGTACCGGAAGCGCTTGAGGTGCAGCCGCAGAACTTGGGGCAGACGGCACACCAGCAGCTGCTTCCTGGCTTCTGTTAGAACCAAGGGCTTGGAGGCGCCACCCCGCTGCTTGCCTGGGCACAACGAGGTGCAACGTTGGCAGTGTAAGCAATGGAACGTGTCACAGTGCTGATACGCCTCAAACTCTCAGAAATACGTCATTATTTTGCTTGTTAAGTTCTTAGAAGCTTGCTCAAATATTAGAACGTCTCAATATTGCCGAACGTTGCTGGCCGCTTGGCGTTTTGGCCGCCTCGTGTGGGTTATTTTTAACCACGCCTCCCCACTCTGGTCAGTGTGGGTTGGTGAAGGCGGGAAGCAAAGAGGCACAGTACAGCAATGGATTTTTCTGCAGTGCCCTCTGCTGATCCATCGTACACAGTTAGGCGGTCCAGGCATCCAATCAACACTAACCAGGCCCAACTCCCCACTTAGCTTCCGTTCAGCTTTACAGCCGCAAATGGAAAACGAGACAATCCAAGAATGTGAAAAGAAACAATAAAAATCGATTTTGTAAATCAAAACGGGACCGTGAATCTTAACGAATCGAAGAAACCCCGGTCGCCGAGTCGGTAGACCCCAGCGGGTGGCGCAGCCAACCACGTACTGTTGCAGAAGCTGCAAGCGTAGATTTTGCCCTCTAGCGCCTCAGTCTCGGTGAACTTGCTCAGCATCTCGGTGAGCGAGCAGTCGGCGTCCGGGTGGTGGGCGCGAGCGCGCGCATGCGAGCGCCCGTGCGCCCCGGCGCGCTTGCGCACGCAGTGGTAGCGCGCGGGGAACTCCAGCGACAGGTCCCAGAAGGGCTCCACCGTGTCGGACTTGTGCAGGCATGACATGCAGGTGACCTGCGGACGCAGGAAGGCCGACTCCCATCAAGATGGAGTACACGCCCCTCTCTCTCTCTCTCTGCTGGTACACGCGGTGGCGAGATGTTAACTACCTCGCCTGGTATACAGGAGGTTGTGGGTTGGATCCCGAACCCAACGCCTGTAATATTTGGAGTTTGCATGACTCTCTCCCCGCAGTCGTATATATTTTTCTCTGCGCCCTCCGGGTTTTCCCCTCATATTTTGAATCAACACGCGTCAAGAATATTTGGATATTATTCATTTCCACATGATAAACCACTTCACTGAACTATCATTTCTGGCCAGGTCGCTTCTGAAGAAGAGCTATGAAGCTCAGTAGGCCTTACCTGGTAAAATAAAAATGTGTTTATAATTTAATAGTAACTCCCATTAAGATGAAGAACATGCCCCTCTCTCTATGCTGCATGGCTGCTGTGGTGTACATCACGTGGCGACGATACTGCCACTTTGTGGCGAATGGCGGTTGTTGTTGTGTACCAGCATGTGTGTGGAAAACGGTAATGGGATTCATTGGCAAGCTGCGCTACAAATCCGGAGTCCGATTCACGGCCACGTCTAACACCGGCAGTGTGGCGTATCTCAAACCGGTGGTCCTTAGTTTGACATCAGCACCGGGAATTGCGAAGGCAGTCACGGTCGGTCTCAAGCGCACGGTGCCTCACCTGGCTGAGCAGCTGGCCCTGGAAGATGGTGTTGACGACCTGCAGCACGTGCCTCAGCAGCGTGCGCTGGGCTAAGGGTATTAGGAGTGGGGGGCCACGGCCCCCCGCCCCCTCCAGCTCCCTCTGCACGCGGTCGAGCAGCTCACAGAGAAACTCCTGCGCATCCTGCTGCCCGTAGCCCTGCAGAGCAGCGACGGCACGTGGCGGCGGCGGGGGGGGAGAAGGAAGAGATGGTCATTATGGATACCGTGCCGTCATCAGCAAGGCATGCACACGGGTTTTGTGAACTGTTTTCACAATGGCGTTGAGGCGACCATTTAATCAGTGTGGCCGGTTTTTAATTGGGTAATTGCCTTACAGCAACACAGCTTCATAATAAAGTTGGGTTTATATTTATAATTGATATTCGAATCCAGTATAATGTCCAGTCGCTATTAAACAGATTGGCACGCGCCAACAGTCAAACCGCATGGCGCGTTCAGATTGGATAACCTTTGAGAGTGTTATGTCCCCGTTACAGACCGACACATCCAATTCATGAACGTGCTCGGGGTTATTGCGGTTGTGCGGTACAGCTCCCCACTGCGTTTTCGGGCTGCTTTCTCCCTGAAGAAGCTCCCATCATGTAGAGCGAAACATCGAACGCAAAGCCGCAGCGCAATCCCAAAGGCACCTTGAACGCGGGGATGAGCCTCCACACCGAGTGCAGCATGGCGAAGGGCGACACCAGTGCCCACTTCCCCGACCACATGACGCGGAAGAGCGTGTGCAGCTCGCGGCACAGCGACAGCGGCCCGGGGCAGCCCACGGGGCTCTGCAGCAAGCGCAAACTGCGCGCCGACCCGCTCCCTCCGCCGCCCAGCCCCGCGGGGCCCGCCGGCTCGCGCGCCGTCTGCCCCGGTGCGCGCCCCACGATGCCGGCCGCACGCCGCGCCTGCAGCAGCTTGTGCACGCTGCGCGTCGATACTCGCGCCAGCCGCCCCGCCGACGCCGCGCGGTCCAGGAGGTCGCCGAGCGGCCCGGCCGACGACGGCGGCGCCGACGGGATGAGGGGGAAGGGACCCCGCGTCTCACCGCCGCCGTGAGCCGGGGACGGCGGCGGCGGCGCTGGCGGAGCGTCGCCCTCGCTCATGTCGAGCGCCAGGAAGCACTCGCGGAACTTGTGCAGGTGGCTGAGCACCTGCAGGATGGAGTTCATGTAGCACGTATTGCCCAGGTTGCGCAGCCCAGTGACGCCGGGGGTCAGCATCGAGCTCTGCCGCTTTAGCGCTGCCATGGCACGCTCCAGCTGCCGGCTGCGCCACGCGCGGCTCGTGCCGCCGCCGCCGGGCCTGGCGCCGTCGCCGTCCCCGCCGCCGATGGCGTAGTGAGCGCGGGTGGCGAGGCGGGCGCTCTTACGCGGCGGCTGGGCGGACATCTCCTCGCGCAGCTGGCGCTTGTGCTCAGCTCGGCGGGCACGCTGGGCCTCGCGCCGGCGTTCCGCCTCCTCCTGCCGGCGCCCCTCCTCGAGCCGGGCACGTCCGCTCCCCGTTTCGCCAAACCAGGCGCCAAATGCGCGCCGCAAACGCCGGAGGCTGAGGTGCACACAAATACACGTTGTGTTTATTGCCTGCTGGGGAAAGTGCTGTTAGTGATTGCCGATTCAGGCCGGCACGGCACATAAGGAGGTGGTGTGGCCAAGAATTAATATTTTAAGGCTGGATAAATTAACCTGGCCCAGGCCTGGTTCTGATATCGGTCGCCACTGATGTTAATCGTGGCCAGCCATTAACCTCACTGGGGTGGAGTTGCGCTGCTACTCCCACATGCTATCCACACGTGCTACTAGCTGCACACCACTTTCATGAATACGCACGGACAGCTACAGACACACTAGCCAAACACGAGCATACACACACACATACGACTGCACACGCGTCCAATTAAAGGTGTGAGAGGTTAAAGGAGACTGAAAGAGGGCAACGGTTACCCTGTTACTGAGCATGAGACTCTATAAGAAGGTAACAGTCACTGCGTGACGGGCTAATGACTCGGTAACTACGCAGCGGTCGCTTGCCATCCTCACCGGCGAAGCTTGAGTGCTGTGAGCAGGCGGTCGTTGGCACGGGCCCGCGCCTCACCAGCGCGATTCCACGTGCACGCCTCCCCACTACCCCCTGCCGATCGCAGGGCACGGCCCCCACCGCCTGAACTTCCGCCACCACCGCCGCGCAGCAGCCCCCCCGGGGGACCGCCTCTTCTCGCCCGCACGGTGCCCAGGGCCCCCCGCAGCAGCTTAAGGTCGCCCTGCGCGTTGTCGTTGAGGACGTAGTCGTCGCACGCGAAGCAGAACACGTAGAGCTCCGCCACGTGCATGGCGAGCGGGTGCCGCGTCATCGCGGCGTGCCGGTCGGCGTGAGCGGCCACGTCACGCCCGCACGCCACGTGGGGGCACGTCAGGCAGGCCCACACCGAGGAGGCGCAATCGCAGGCGCCGTCGTCGCAGAAGGTGGCGGCCGTGGTGGCGGTACCGCAAGAGGCAAAACCTGACACGTCGTGCGGCTCGCAAACCGCTCCGCCGCCACCGCACGCGTGGTTACAAACCGCACCGCCGGTATGACCACCGCCGCCGGCGCCACCTTCATCTCCGCCGTCCACGGGCAGGCCTCCGCCCTCGCCGTTGCACGCACCACCGTCATTGGTCTTCCGTACTGCGCAGCAGCCGGCGCAGTCCACGCACGCCCACTTGTCTGGGTTGAGTATCGAGTGGTTCTGAGAAAGCTTGAGTCTCCACACGTGGCGGCAGCGATCCATGCCCCGCACCGGCACGCGCACAAGCGCGCCTCACCCAGCAGTGGTTGCCGCCGGTGCTGCCAAACAGTAGGGGTGCCCTCCTCACTGGCCGTGTTGCCTGTAAGGGGGGGGGGGGAGTTTGTGATTAAGTGACTCTGTAAATACTCCTGCCTCTGACCGCTCTTAGCTGTGTCATGCTTGCTTCAGTCAACTTCAAAGCTACGTTTTTTTAAATAACAAAGGTGGAATTATATGGCTCACGGAACCAGACCGAAAGCAAAGCATCGGCTACTAGAGGGGAAAGACCTGCAACGTTTTAGACTTGCCACGCTGATAATTTTAGCGATCTCGGTCACCTGCTGTCGATCAAGTAGTTCTGAGCACAAAGTCAATGTAAACAGTTCCAGCCGTACACAAAGCTTCGTGTCAACCAATGTGTGGGCTGCCCGTCAAAGCTATTTGAAAATCAGCGCTGAGTAGGGAAAAGTCCCCCCACGAGTGTGGTTGACTCGGGTGCCAGGACTAACGGGTTCCCCCCCCTCCTCACATCGCTCCTTTTGTTTATGAACAAAGCCACAGGACCCCGATCTATCCAAGCCTCCATTTCCCCACGTCTCCCTGTGCCGCTTAAGTCCCCTTATGTGTGTATGTGTATTTGTGTAGAACTTCTTTAGCACCGTACGTAGCCAGTCGTGCGAATCGGATGTGTGGGGGAAGGACACCAAACCAAACAAAAAAGCAGTTTCTTAATCAAAACAAGTTCTCAATCTCCATGTAAAAGTGAATTCTCCCGGGTTCCTGGGACCCCTCAGTCCTGACCCCCTCAATCCTTTGTCACAATGGGCCTCAGTCTCTCTACCCGATGTCACCCATCCCCCTGGTCCCCTGAATCCCCCAGATCCCCTCACAATAGACCCCCTTCTCCCCATTCCATCGATCCCCTCTTTCCGAGCATCTTGAGAACCCCCCTCACCGTTGTCGCCTTTATCCCTCCAAACCAGAACCCCGTGGATCGCCCCACGCATCTCCCTCATCCCTCGGATGCCATCGACCCCTTTAGACCCCCTCGCCGGAGCCCCTCGCCATGACCTCTCTACCCCTCACCCCGTCCCCTGTTAGCCCCTCTTCCTGGACTCCCTTTCATTCCCCTCGCATTGTACCCCCATCACCCCTCTCTCATCATCCTCATCATCTCATCTCAACCAAACCACGCTCGACCCCGTTACACCCCCCCCCCCCCCACCGCCTTGCCCCCCCTCGATTCCCACACCACGCTCTTGCCCCCCACCCCCTCTCACCATCACGACCCCGCTCATCCCCTTTACCCGACCCCCGCCACCACCCTTGATGCCCCCTCTCCCTGCCCTTCCACTCGCATCCCCTCGCCAAACGAAATCCCTTTGAGCCCCCTCGCCCGCTAGATCCCCTCTCGTCTTTGGATTCTCTCGCCTCGTTTCACCTCGACCCGCTCCCCACCCGCCACCCAGACCCCCGCCGCGTTACCCGCACACGCAGCCCGGACCCCCTCCGCTCCGCTATCCCCTCGGCGGGCCCCCCTTGATGACCCCCTTGATGGTCCCGCGTTGAAGCCCCGCGCCGGGATCCGCTTCGCGCACAAAACGCGACTCCGCGTCCCGGGCGCCTGGGCCTCCCCCCGGCGACCAATCGGCGCGCGGCGCAGAGACGCGCGCGCCGATTGGTTGGCGCGCGGCGCGACGCCGGGGTTAGCCAATCACGGCGCGCGGTACTGCGGCGCGGAGGAGAGCCGCGGAGGCGGAACGAAAACCTGGAGCGGGGCAGCGTCAAGTGCGGAATGGAGTCGGAGTCCCCCACCCCCCACCACCATCAACAATGAGCATTCAGTGGGCACCAACGTTTGGTTCTTCTCTTAACATCGTAAATCTTCCCCTAAAATATGTATAAAGCAGAATATTTGGTGCGTCATCATACAACTGAATTTACAAAATGTGATGAGTAACTTTCATCCTTACCCCGGTGTATCGAGAGTAAAAATTAATTACAGAGCTCCCACGTGCTGTGTCGGTGTGGGGTCTGGAAATGGGTTTCTGTTTTGCTGCTTGGGAATTGGTGCTCTCATGCAGTTTGAACAAATAAACTTGATATATTTTACGTGTTTATTTTTAGTGATTTGCTAACCTTTCCTATACTTTGCACTCAAATCGTGTTGTGTTGTTTGCGCTTGTAACTTTATGACCCGCCCCAACTGGACATCTGTGAACAAGAGCTTCATAGCTCATCGGATTTTTCCGGGATAAACAAAGACTCCGATTCCCTAATGGTGTTTACCTTGGCCAAAATAAACACACAAAACCCCCATCATTATCCCATACACTCACCGTAATCACATCGCCTGAAACTTTATCAGCGTTACGTCACCCATAACCATCACCATAATCACCCAGTCCTCATCGAAACCTCACCAGCATCACCTCATCTCATTCTAACCCGCACCTTCATCCTTACCAAAGCTATCAAACTCCTTCACCCGTACCTCCGATTTGCACGGTTGGCTACGTACGGTGCGAAAGAAGTTCAACATAAATACACATACCTCACTAAGCCTTACTCTGATCACCTCACCTTTGCCACCATTCTAACCCTCACATTGAACTCTCAACATCACCTCGCTATCATTGGGCATGTCATTCTTACCTCAACATCACCTAAGCCTCACCTTTATCCATTACCACCTCAATCTAACCATAATCTTACTTCACTCTAAACATCATCTCACCTCACCAACACCTAACGATCACCTCACCTCATCCTCATCTCACCCCGAGCTCACGTCACCCTCTCCTCACTCAGCTATACCAACCGCATGATTGTGTAGCGCCTTCAATAATCACTCAGACTGACATGTTGTAACCAGTCACCTGCTTACACTTTATTGACCTATTCTTGCACCAGTTGTAGGCACTCCTAGGGCTATCTGTACGGTCACTTAGATCTAACTTCTTCCCACTCGTATCTACGTTACACCTCACTTATCCTGCCCTCGGCAGCTCTACACACAGCGTCTCACACACAGCGTCTCCGCACACAGCGTCTCCGCACACAGCATCTTCGCACTCAGTGACTCTGCACACAGGGAAGAGAGAGTACAAGTTCAAGCATCAAGAACGAAGCCCGGCCCTTGAGTTAGAGTTTTGTCTAATAAATGTGCATAGTAACAACGTGTGTTGGTGTCACTACAACTGGTGTCAGAAGTGGGGTTGAATAAAGATGTCGCGCCCAGGCCGAAAAAAGGAACCCATCCGATGACGTCCGACGACGAGGAAGTCCTTCTCCAGAACGTCCTGGGAGAGAAGGACCCAAAGACTAACCTCAGGTTGGGACCTGCGAAAGATGCGCACGATGGTACTGACACTGTTCCTGGACGGAGCAGGGGATTGTTGCACCCCATTGTTCCCATAATCTGTTGTTGCTGTTATTTACTAAATGTAGGAGGTGCATAATCCGTGCAGCAAAAATGCTCACACCACACAAGGACACATTGTAAAAACATCATCAAGTTTTGGTGGGTTGATTTCCCCTTGGCTTTTCCTGGTCTGTTGGGTTGATCATTTCCCTCCCGGGGGGGGGGGGGGGGGTAATGTAATGACCGAAACAACAGACCACTCACCTAACACAAGTGTACAGTACGTGCAAACGGACAGTCAGGAAGTCAAACAAGGCCTCCGATTGGCGCATGGAGGCCTCAATAGTGATTGGTGGGGAGGCGAGGTTTAGAAGCGATTGGAGGAGAGATTAAAAACGTAAAAGCGGGAAGCGAGGGTGGACTTTATGGAGGACGGTTGATAACCGTTAGACGAGGAGGTCGAGGATTGGATGAAGTGGGGTGATCAGAGCTTCCAGACAAGAGACCCGTCAACCCACACGGTTTACCCCGTATTCTTGTACAGGGAATTTGAGTTTTCAGGTCCATACGGCGTACAGCCGTTTCAATACACGCAAAACAATGTTTGTGTCTATTTATTTGTGTTTCTCGCTTGTGATGGGACTTTGTAGGATGGACGTTGAGATTTATAAAGGGCACGGGGTGACCATTAATGTCTGAATTGGTCTGTAATCAGGTAGGGCACTGACAAGGGGTTGACGGGCACGAGAGAGGGCTGGCTCGGAAGGTATAAAAGGGGATAAGCACAAGGGGGAGGGGACGAGTTCACGCATCAAGAACGAAGCCCGCGGGCCTCGAGCTCGGCTCGCGTCCTGATCAAAGCCCCGCGAGACCCACGTGTGGCGACGGCGTCGTCACGACACTTGCACCAATCTGCACAAAGCCCCGAGTCTGCACCGCGCTCCAGTCCGCACTCCGGTCCGAGTTCCACGTCCAGCCCAGGATCCGCGCACGATCCAGGATCCGCGCCGTGGAACCCATTCCGGGTTTCGCAAGCGGGAGCCCAAGATGGAGGCGCACGGGGAGCCCTGGGCTTCGGGGCGGCGCTGCGTGACTTCCCCCTGTCCCCCCGTGTCTCAGTGTCCCCCCGTGTCTCAGTGTCTCCCTGTCTCCCCCTGTCCCCCCGTGTCTCAGTGTCCCCCCGTGTCTCAGTGTCTCCCTGTCTCCCCCTGTCCCCCCGTGTCTCAGTGTCTCCCTGTCTCCCCCTGTCCCCCCGTGTCTCAGTGTCCCCCCGTGTCTCAGTGTCACCCCGTGTCTCAGTGTCTCCCTGTCTCCCCCTCTCCCCCCGTGTCTCAGTGTCCCCCCGTGTCTCAGTGTCTCCCTGTCTCCCCCTGTCCCCCCGTGTCTCAGTGTCCCCCCGTGTCTCAGTGTCCCCCCGTGTCTCAGTGTCTCCCTGTCTCCCCCTGTCCCCCCGTGTCTCAGTGTCCCCCCGTGTCTCAGTGTCTCCCTGTCTCCCCCTGTCCCCCCGTGTCTCAGTGTCCCCCCGTGTCTCAGTGTCTCCCTGTCTCCCAGTGTCCCCCCGTGTCTCAGTGTCCCCCCGTGTCTCAGTGTCTCCCTGTCTCCCAGTGTCTCCCTGTCTCCCCCTGTCCCCCCGTGTCTCAGTGTCTCTCTGTCTCCCCCTGTCCCCCTGTCTCACAGTGTTTTCCTGTCTCGCAGTGTCTCCCCATGTCCCCGGACCTCCCCGTGTCTCAGTGCCTCCCCCTGTCCCCGTGTTCCCCCGTGTCTCAGTGTCCCCCCGCTTCGCCTTGTCTCCCAGTGTCTCCGTGTCTCCCCGCGTCTCACTGCCCCCCCGCGTCTCACTGTCCCTCCATGTCTCACTGCCCCCCCGCGTCGCCGTGTCTCCCAGTGTCCCCGTGTCTCCCCGTGTCTCCATGTCTTTCTGTATCTAACTGCCCCCCAGTGTCTCCTTGTCTCCCTGCGTCTCCGTGTACCCCCATGTCCCCGTGTCTCCCCATGTCCCCGTGTCTCCCCATGTCTCCGTGTCCCCCCATGTCCCCGTGTCCCCCCGTGTCTCCGTGTCCCCCCATGTCCCCGTGTCCCCCCGTATCTCCGTGTCTCCCCGGTCCACCCGTATCCCCGTGCGCCTCCCTGTCTCCGTGTCTCCCCGGTCCCCCGGTGTCTCCGTGCCCCTCTGGATCATCGTGTCCCCTGGGATCCCCCAAGTCCCCCTGTCCCTACGCATCCCCTTGTCTCCCCGGCACCCCCATGTCCCCGTGTACCCCCATGTCCCCGTGTCTCCCGGGCCCGCCCGTGTCTCCGTGTCCCTCCTCCAGGTCCCCGTTTCCACCCGCGTCCCCGCCGCGTCCTCCGCTGTCTCCGTGTCTCCCCGTGTCCCCCTGCCCCTCCTCGGGACCCCTCATGCTGGCCGTGCCCTCCGTGTTCGGCCCGGCCTCCGGCACCATCAGCCTTCCGGTGATCATCAGCGCCGAGCTGTGCGGCACCCGGGTCGGCGAGTGCGATGGAGGGGACGATCTGGGAGTCCTCGGAGACCAGGCGGCGTCCCAGGACGGGTCCCAAGAGGGAGCTGAGGCGGGGGATCATCACCAGCACCAGCAGCACCAGCAGCACCACCAGCAGCAGCACCACCAGCAGCAGCTGTACGTGGTTCTCAGCATCGTGGGACCCAGTGCGGACGAGATGGGCCCCGGGCTCGAGCTGGGAGGACCACTGCTGCTGGAGGGAGTCGGGGGAGTGGACGAAGGGGAGGGGGTGGACAGATTGGAATTGGAGAGGGGGGGAGTGGAGGGAGCGGAAGGAATGGCCGGTGTTGGATTGGAGGGAGTGGATGGGTTGGGGTTGGAAGGGGTGGGAACTGAGGGTGTGGAAGTGAGAGGAGGAGACGGAGTAGGAATAGAGGAGGGCTTGGACGGCATGGTCCAGCTAGAGGGAATGGGGAGGATTGAGGGGGATGGAGCAGAGAAAGTAGCGGAACTGAGAATGGAAGATTTTGGAGTGGAGAGCACGGAGGATGGAGTGCGTGGATTGGAGAGAGCGGAGAGTGTGGAGGTGGAACGAGCAGAGGGAGTGGAGAGGGTTGGTTCCCTTCTCTTCCGTGGATCCGTGTCACCTGACAGCTCCAACACAGCGGCGCACCCATGGACGGGGGTCAACACATTCAGCAGCAGCTGTAGCGGCATGATCGGCCTCACCGACAGCAGTGTTATCAGTAGCAGCGTGATCCCCACGCCCTATGCCACGGACGGGACCACCTGTGTTCGAGACCCGGCAAACTGCGACCCCAGTGGTGGCGATGTTGTGCCTCACCCCGTCTGGCCGTCGGACGAGGCCAGAGTGGCGGGCGTCGTTTCCGCGGCCTCCGCCGCGCCGTTCGGCCACCCGGGTTCAGACCCGACCCTGGCTTTGGTCGATGCTGGGGTGGCGGAGGGGGAGCCACCGCCGCAGGGGGGGGCCCCCGTGGGGGAGGAGGACAAGGCGCTGTTCGCCGTGGTGGGAGACGCGTGCCTCATCGTCGACCTGGACGCGGCCGCCGACAGGGGCGGCGGGAGCAGCGGCGCCGAGGCCATGCGGCAGGACAGTGAAGGGGGCTCGCGGCCCGCTAATGGAGGGAGTGACGGGGTCCCCAAGGGGCCGCCGGGCGGCCTGGTTGACCCTGCGGACGGGGGAGAGCGCCTCGGTCGTTCACCCGACTGCCGCCTGGCTGCTGACGGAGACTGCACGCTCGCCGTGACGGGTAGGGGATTTGTGGGACCCTCGGCAAGTGCAGGGGTCTGGATCGCGCGACGGGGCTACGGGGCTGAAGTTCTGGGGTCAGCCGGTCCAGCACTGAGGTGAAGGATCCAGGGCTGAGGTCAAGTAGACAGGATTAGAGAGTTAAGGATCCAGGTTTGGTGTCCAGCATTCAGGACTGAGTTCAAGGAGTGAGGAGGATTGGGGTCAAGGTGTCGTCGGGGGAGGGGAGGTTAAAGTCACATGAAGTTGCCCATACCATTGATTGGGCATGAGTTCCAGGCTCGGTTGTAGCACAAGACCACGTGGATCTGCTTCGTGGGAACCCACAGGCAGCGTGTCCACGCGGGTCACCCTTCACACTCTGAGCCTGTCATGTGTCCATCAGGAGATAACAGCGATCATGACGTGGGGCGGTAGGGTGATGCAGTGGTAACACTTCAGCCTCGCAGCAAAAGAAGGGCCTGGGTTCGATTCCGAACTTGAGCGCCTTTCTCTACACCGTTGGGTATTATGTTCTACCCCAAAGCTGAAAAAAGTTAATGATTTAAGTTTGATTTATAACGCAAATTGTATGCAGCAAGTCCCGACACGACCACAAGTCATGCAACATAACTGCTATTTGCCAGTGATGCTGAAAAAATGCTTAAAAAGGACCTCTCCATTATACAATTTGGATTACACACATCCTGCAGTGGAAGCAGCGGTTAGCCTGGTGCGCTACAGACCCAGCGACCCGAGTTCCATTCCCGTTCACAGCCACCCACACCGCTGATCATTATCTGAACCGGTCCTGGGCCTCTACTAGGTCGACTCAACCTCAAATGAGTACCTGGTGGAGTGTGTACTAAACATCTCCAAGAGGGCGACAAAGGGCCTAGTGCTGGCCACCCACCCCCTCATATGCTGTGCCGGCCTTCATAGGTGCTACTTGCTAACAGCACTCGCCCCAATAGTCTGTGAAGACTATACGGGGGATCTTTGTCATTGTGGTTCTGCTATGTGCAGGTCGGGGAGACGCAGCGGAGGTGGAAGAGGAGGAGGATGACGAGCACTGTAATGGCCAGGAGTTCCCGTGTACCGTCGACTGCTGCCACAGCGTATACAGCAGCATGCGCAAGCTGCAGGTGCACATGATGGCGCACACTTACGGGCGCCCCTACAGGTCAGTGCCGCCACGAGTCGGCAGCTCGCCCACAGAGCGGCGCGTCAATTCATTTCGGTTGATCTCGGTTTATGTCAATACAATTATTGTCGCTTAACACGGCCTGTCAACAAAAGTGTGGGCGGAAAATTCTAAAATCGCTAAAAACTTAACGCGGTGAGGACTACAATGCAGTGCTTTATGAAATACTGGAGGGTTATTGTTTTTGTTGCATAATGCACAAAAGGATGAGTTCCTTTCCTGTTCTAATTCATGCGCCCGTCAAACCATCCACAACGCAGGTGCACGTGGGACGACTGTGGCTGGTCCTTCACCTCATCGTACAAGCTGAAGCGGCACTTCGTCTCACATGAGAAGCAGCGTCCGTTCGTGTGCGAGGAGGCCGACTGCGGCAAGCGCTTCTCCACCGTCTACAACCTCAAGGCACACCGGCGCGCGCACGGCGCCGGGGTCACCGGCGCGCCCGCCTGCCTCCTCTGCGGCGCCGCCTTCGCGACGCCGGCACGCCTCGCTGCTCACCAACGCGTCCACGCCGAGCCTCGCCGCCCGCACCTGTGCGACTTCCCCGGTGCGACGGCGAGACGGCCAGTGTGGTGTGGTCAGAGGGAAGTGCGGCCGCTGTGGCTTGGGATATGTGGGTGACAGTGTGGCCAATGAGGGACTGGGAGGCAATTGTCGGCACGGTGAGCCCGGAAGAGGGAGTGGTTGATGGCGTATGCCTGCGGGAATGTCTGCTGTGTGTGACAGGTGTGTAGTCAGTGGTGTGCACGTGCTATGTAGTTGGTTGTGTGGCTTTTGGCGCTGTCGCTCACGTGCTCTGCCAGTGTTTGTGAAGGTGACAATGTAGCCGATGGTGTGGCCGTAGATGTGGCTATCGGAGTATGCATGTGGCGTTAGCCGGCCAGTGTGGCCGAGGGATACGGGGCAGCCGGCTCCCCCTCGACCACGTCTTAACCACGTGGTGTCCATTGCCCCGGCAGGCTGCGAGAAGACCTTCTCGACGGCGAACGCACTGGGCGCGCACCGGCGCTCGCATGCACGCGCGCGCGAGCTCTTTGTGTGTTCCTACCCGGGCTGCGGGAAGACGTACGACAAGGCGTGCCGCCTCACGCTGCATCTGCGCAGCCACACCGGTGAGCGCCGGCGCACGGTGGGGTGGGTTGGTGGGGGGCACGCCAAACCACCAACAGCACCGGCAGCATCGGCAGCAGCACCGGCAATGGCGTCACCAACACCACGCTTGAGAACGCAGCACTACTGGACATCTGTAAAAAAAGTGCTTCATCGGCTTCCTTCTAGTATAAATGTTTTGATTCTGTACATCACATCGCTAACCTCACCTGTTGTTGTTGTTCAGGTGAGCGCCCGTTCACCTGTGAGCACGAGGGCTGTGGATGGACGTTCACCTGCATGTCCAAGCTGCTGCGTCACAAGAGGTGGGTGCGCATCTTTCTTTCAAATGTTTCGGCACCCTTTGCTGTCCGTCGTTCGATTTGTTTTCCAGCCCGCCCGCGTTTTTCTGGTGTGGTAGCTTTTCTCATCGTTGGCACAAAGCGTTGGATTTGGATGGGGTCTGCGTGTCGTCGTCGCATTACCACGTCACGACAGCCCGAGCGCATGCTGCCCGCCCACCGTCCCCCACCCCACCGTCCCCCACCCCACCGTCCCCCGGCGTGCGTCACCAGGAAGCACGCCGACGAGCGGAGGTTCGCGTGCCGGGAGCCGGGTTGCGGCAAGACCTTCACGAGGGCCGAGCACCTCAAGGGCCACACCATCACCCACTCGGGCACGCGGCCCTTCACCTGCGACGTGCAGGGTGAGGGTTCACGTGTTCCTGCCATAGTCGCCCTACGTGTGTTGAACGTTTCTGTAACTTTGTAATTGTACTGTGGAGCAAGGTTATAAGAGTTTGAGAAAAGAGATGATGGGGGTGGGGAATTCCAAAGTGGGGCAGTGCGTGGGAAGAAGCAGAAAGACTCGCAGTGTGGTGAGAGGGTGGGTTTGTGAGTAGGTGAATGAATGAATGGTTGGGCGAGTAGGTGAATGAGTGAATGGTTGGGCGAGTGAGTGGTTGAGTAAGGGGTGAGTGAGCGGGTGAATGATTGAATGGTTGGGCGAGTGAGTGGATGAGTGAGTGAGTTGTTGTGACCTTCAGTGTGGTGATTGAACGCAGCAAGGATAATGAGACAAATCGGTCAATTGTCCGGTAGAGACCGTGTCCTCAACTACAAGTGGAGAAATCAATGAGCTACAGTAGCCATGGTAGTAGTAGCTATAGAAGCGTGAAAAGGAGGCGACTGACCACTGGCGAGCGAGCGAGTGACTGGAGTGGGCGTGCCTCCGCGCCGTGTTGTCTTTTCCACCCCGCAGGCTGCGGCGCCCGTTTCTCCGCACGCAGCAGCCTCTACGTCCACTCGCGCAAGCACGGTGCCGGCGGCGACGGCGAGGGCGGCGAAGGGCTGCGCTCGCAGTGCCCCGTGGCCACGTGCGGAAAGCTCTTCGCTTCCGTGCACAGCGTCAAGGCGCACATGATGAAGCTACACAACGTGAGCCCCGGTGAGTGGAGGTAGGGCGGCGCGCTGTGCGCCGTTGCGTCACCTCACCGGGCACCCCGTGCCGCCGCCGGCGGGACTTGCCGGGGACCGGGTGCCGTCGGCGCTGTCGGGCGTTGCGTTAAATCTCCCGTTGGAATTGGTTGTTGCGTTAGAGATACACGCGTCAAAATGTTTGAATTAGTAGCAACACAGCCGAGCACGCATTTCACATTTTTTACGGTTATGTTTTATTACTTTCAGATATATGGATTAACTAAATTATATATTTTGATTGTGAGAGGTGGCCAAGATTTTGGGAACCCTTGATCCAGCAGTGGGTTGGCCATGGCCGATGATGGGTGGAGTGGTGGCGCAGTGGTTAACGCGCTCTACTCTAAACCCGGCGATCTCGCTTCCAGTCCTCGCCATGACTCAGTGGCGAGTGAAATCATATCTGGTCCTGGGTTCAAACCTTGACCAACCGGCACTACCCAGTGTGGCGACGTGCAGTCAACCACCCTCATAACCCGGCACGGCGCGGCGAGGCCTTCATCCGGCGGTGAATTGATGAGGCGTCGCCACGCGTGTGCCCGTCCCAAACTCCCACAGCCCAGTTCGCTCTCCTCGAGCAGTCCGGTTGCCTCGTCCCGGCCTGCGACCCGGACGATGACCCCAGTGGCGGCAGTGTCGACCCCAAGCTGCTGACGTCCGACCTCTCCTCTTCCTGCCTGACCGCAACCTCCGACCCCCTGAGCGGCGGGGGGTCGCCGCCGAGCTACGGGGACGACGTACTCACGGTGGACGGCACAGCGATTGGCGGCGGTGCTCGCGGGCGCCTGTGCCGGACCTCGCCGCAAGATACCAAGCGAGGGGGCGCGGGAGGAAGCGGTTCACCGGCTGGGCAGGGCCTGGCACAGGGCGGTGCCGCGCCGGCAGAACGGCGCCGGCAGCACCAGCAGCAGCACGGAGTGGAGGACCAGGGATTGATCCCAGCGGTCTCCTCGTCGCCCTCAAGTGGTGCCGCCGCCGCCACCGCCAGCACAGAGACGACCGGTGTCATTTGCCCGGGCCTGCTGGGAAGCTTGTGCATGAAGCTGGAGTCCACTGCCACGCTCGGCGCGGAGTTGCCGAGTCCCCCGCCTTCTTTTGCCGGTGCAGAGACCGGCACCGTTTTGGCGGCGGGCGGCCACGACACGTGTGCCATGCGCCAATCCTCGGTGGCGCTGTCCCACACGCCGCTGAGCCTCGAGATGCTGCCGTCATCGCTGCCTCCCGCCGCTTGCGCCGAAGCCCAAGCGCTGGGGCTGCTGACGCCGCTGGGGGGAGGGGGGGAGCAGGCCAAGGCACTCGCACCGGCGTTCTGCGGCCTGGGATCGCTGAGTCCAGGGGAGGTGGACGTGGCGCTGGCATCGGTGCAAGCGCTGCTGGTGAGGCCGCGTGTGTTATTTTTTGATACTTTTTTCTGCGGCCCCAGAGTTTGACCAGTTTGGTTCTGGCTTCCTTCCGCAAAGAGCACCTCGCCGGCACAGCTTGGATTTGCTAGTGGAAAATTGTTATACGTTGCCCTCACGTGTCCGTCCGTGTTGCCCTCGTGTGCTCGTCCGTCCGCTCAGGAGAGCGGGGGCTCTGCGCGCACCGACTACCGTTCCGTGCAGTTGGCCAAGCACAGGAAGCGCAAGATCGGTGCCGCCCCCTACAGCACTGGTACCGCACCTGGCACCGCTGTTCTGTGTCTCGATGCTTGCACATGGGCTGCATCGTCGCCCTGTGTAGCTACATCCATGTCGCCCAGCAGAACAATTTCAGTCTCAACTTGGTCTCCTATGTCGCGTCTTTAAAACCACGATCGTGCCGCTGCAGGCAGACCTGCGGTCTTGTTTTTTCATGGTGATTCAGATTCACGCCTCTTTATTTTCCAGTAGTAGGGTGCCGCTGATGTTGACCTTGGCTGGGACACGAACCCAGGTCGCTGGGTTCATAGCGCAGTGTGCAAAGTGCCAGACCACCGCACTCTCGTATAATGAATTACACATCATAAACTTTATGATAATGGATATTAATGATGACAATGATGGCTATTAATGATGACAATGATGATCGTGTTGACAATCACCAATGATGGTGGTGATGATGACACTGGTGATGATACCAACGGTGGGACATCTTGGCAGGGGCTTCTGGCAAGAAGAAGAGCAAGTCAAGTAGGGCTGTCACGGCCGGGGTTACTGGTGCTTACTCGAGCGCGCTGGCGCTGCAGGACCCGGGTAGCACCGGCGCGCACTACCTGCAGGTGCAGATACTGCAGGTATGGCACGCGGCACGCGGCACGCATATCGGCTACGCGTTCTGTCACGCTCGTGGTGCGGCGGTGCTCACGGTATTGTGGCGGTGCTCACGGTATTGTGGCGTTCATGGTTGGTGCGGTGCTGCTCGCGATGTGTGCAGGACGAGGCAGGCGGCGAGGGGGACCTGTCGTTTGGGCTGGGCTCGCAAGGCCCGCACTCGTCGCACTCCACGGACCTCCCCGTGCACATCCTGCAGGTGAGGCCACCCTCGCCGAAACCGCGGCGGGGCACGGTGGGGCCCGTTGGCGTTGTAGACGGGGTCAAGTTGATACCGCTGCGCTTGGGCAGAGATGTGGATGCCACGTGCGTTTGAGCGATCACGTTCACGTTGGTGGTGCACGTACGTCGTTGCCATGTGGGTGCCGTGTTGACAGGAGGGGGTCACACGTTTGCCAATGTTTGAACAGTGATATGTCAGTGCGGTGGGCATGGGCCCCGACATAGAAAATAAAATGGTGGGGGGAGGGAGGAGAGCGTCCCCCCTTCCCCCCCTTCCCCCCCCCCGTCAAATCTCCCCTTTTCACAGCAGCGGTGCCTGGGTTTACTTTCACGGACCCCGGTGCAGTTGCACTCCTTGCACACTCGCTGGCCACGCGCCAATGCAGCGTGCGTATTCCCCTCATTCCAGGAACAGGCGTCGTGCGCTGCAGGCGAGGAGGTGGGCGACTTTGGCCTCATTCACCCGGGCAGCTCGCAGTTTCCGGGAAGCACCATCAACCTCCAGGACCTCGAGTAGACCCTCGATCACTTCCATCGGACCCGACAGCTACAGCCCCCCACCCCGAGTGCACGGCGACACCCACCGTCACAGCGGTCAGCCGAGCTTCGGCTGCAGCGCTTGAGGCTGAGAGCATCGCCCGACGAGACCCGTGGGGCGGGCGACGACGAGTCTGGGCTTCACAGGCCTGCCGCTTGCCTTCCCAGAGGACTTGGGAAGTGCGAAGGGGCTTCCCGTGGAGAGGTTACCTCCACGGAGCAAGTTTACAAAGTGTACAGAACGCGAAGATGATGGTATAGGGGAGCGTGTGTGTTGTGCATCTGCGTGGTCATATGTGGGCGCTTGTACATAGGATGTTGGGAAATGGACGGACGTTTTTTAAGGACGCGTGCCTTTAATTGCGAAGAGGAAAGTGTACTTAAGGGACACACGGCTGCGCCTGATAGTAAGGCGGCAGCATGGACAGATTCACGTGTAACACGTCATTTATTTAAATTCGTCGGTCACACACGCACACATCCCAGCTGTGAAACATGGAGACGTTTAAACCTGACAATCGCACCCCCATGTGCTACCTGTGTTTAACTGGGCGTTGAGCGGAGGTTACTCTGTCTGCCAGGTGTGGCTGGGCTAATCTGTGATAAAGTAGTTAGTTCGACTGCGGGGCTGAGGTGTATATGGACCGGCTTGGACTGCGCTAAGTCTGGGCGGTATTTCCATGAGTGGACCAGGCCAGTGCAAAAAAGGAATTACATGGCGATCCATTCATAGCTACCCCATTGTTTCTAATGATCCCTCTTCTCAACTGGTGACTAAGTATTGTGGAAGCAAGCTGTTACGGTTGAACAGAGTAGGAAAGTGGTAGCATTGATGGAGATAGGTGTGAGACGTGTCGAAATTTTGAGATGATCATCTCTATAACACCTTCATATTTTAGCGGGGTGTTTATAACTGGGTCACCCTTTATTTACGTTGGCTTGGGATAACCTCACCCATGCCTACGTGCAATATTATGTAAACGTAAATCTTTCGAGTGATAAAGGATGGTGGGGAAGCGAGGGGAAGATGGAGCAGGGAGGGGCTAAGCCAACAGAGTATGGTGGTGGTGGTGTTGGTGGAGTACGCTGATCCCAGCCCAGGTGGAAGGCCCCGGGGCTATTCCTGGGCCGGCAGGGAAGACGGCTGAGCTTGCGAGTGGTTGTGGGAGCCCCGCGCTAGGCAGAGTTGTTTTGGGCTGAGTTGTTTTGGGCCGATCCAGGCTGGGGTGGGCCGAACGCGTCCATGGTGCGCAGCACGAGGCCGAGGTGGTCAAGGTACGAGGAGACGGAGACGCGCAAGATCCGCGCCTCTGCAGCGCTCCAGCGGCTAACCACACAGCGGAGAAAGAGCGGGCCACTGAATACACAGCACACGCCAGCACACACCAGCACAATACAGCACACACACACAGCAGACAGAGCGGGCCACTGAATACGCAGCACAAGCAAGCACAAGCCAGCACACGCCAGCATACGCCAGCACAGCAGACAGAGCGGGCCACTGAATACGCAGCACACGCCAGCACACGCCAGCACACACCAGCACACGCCAGCACACGCCAGCACAATACAGCACACGCACACAGCAGACAGAGCGGGCCACTGAATACGCAGTACAAGCCAGCACACGCCAGCACAAGCCAGCACACAGCGGGCCACTGAATACGCCAGCACACGCCAGCACAAGCCAGCACAATACAGCACACGCACACAGCAGACAGAGCGGGCCACTGAATACGCAGTACAAGCCAGCACACGCCAGCACAAGCCAGCACAATCCAGCACACGCACACAACAGACAGAGCGGGCCACTGAATACGCAGTACAAGCCAGTACACGCCAGCACACGCACACAGCAGACAGAGAGCGGGTCACTGAACTCGCAGCACGTGTAGGGCACAAGCCAACACAGTACACACATACGATACAGAGCACATCGCAGTAAAGCTCAGCACAGGTAGAAAACTACACATCAGAACACAGCTTAGCATAGATCGCAGTGTACAGAGCGCACAGCACAAAACGACACCGTATATACGACAGTTCACGACACCCAACACAATATGGACCACAACAGTACAGAACACATCGCCCAAAGGCACACGCACATCTCGTTTAGCGTAAACCATCACGCGGTCATCCTCGCAGTCGCGGCTTGTCTCGCCATCCAACAAAGACGGTGGTCGCCGCATCTCGCGCGTTCAGATGCGCCGTCTGGAATCCTCTTTCTATATGAGCGCACCCGTCCACCCCTTACCAGTGCCCTACCTTGTTAGACCAATTCAGACCGTATTGGTCACCCCGTGCTTTTATAAATCTCAACGTTCATCCTACAAAGTGCCATCACAAGGGAGAAAAACACAAATGGACACAAACATTATTTTGCCCGTGTTGAAACGGCTGTACGCCCTATGGACCTGAAAACTATGGACCTGTAAACTAAATTACGGGTTGACAGATTTGTATCAGGAAGCCAATGGAGCTAGACACGTTTAAATTTAGATTGGAAATTAATTTCTTTACAACCACTTGTGTGTTAGTTTGTTGTCCTTCCCCCGGCACCACCGATTCGGGCGTTTGGCTCCATACTCCGTGGGGCGCGGAGCACACGGAGCAGAAGTTCGCGACTGCCGATTGCTCCTTGCAGGGGACATCCAAGAACCACAACAACAACAGGCCGCCTGATTTGCCCGGCACTCTTCCCCTGGACCCCCCCCCCCCCCCCGAGAAACACTTTAGGACCCCCACTAGAACCCTTTTAGGACCTCCCCTAGGAACACTTTAGGACACCCACTAGAACCACTTTAGGACACCCACTAGAACCCCTTTACGACCCCCACTAGGAACACTTTAGGACACCCACTAGAACCCCTTTACGACCCCCACTAGGAACACTTTAGGACACCCACTAGAACCCCTTTACGACCCCCCCTAGAACCCCTTTAGGACCTCCCCTAGGAACACTTTAGGACCCTCTATGAACACTTTAGGACCCCCACTAGAACCCCTTTACGACCCCCACTAGGAACACTTTACGACCCCCACTAGGAACACTTTAGGACCCCCACTAGGAACTTTAGGACCCCCTATGAATACTTTAGGACCCCCCCACCCCTATGAACACTTTAGGACCTCCCTAGAACCCCTTTACGACCCCCACTAGAACCCCTTTAGGACCCCCCTAGGAACACTTTAGGACCCCCCCCCCTATGAACACTTTAGGACCCCCCCTATGAACACTTTAGGACCCCCACTAGAACCCTTTTCCGACCCACTCGGACCCCCGAGCGGCACCCACACGCCCAGGGTGGCCCCTCCAAGGCGCAGCTCCTCCACGCGGGAGACGCCGCGGCCGCGCGGCTCGGGGTCGGCGCTCAGGGCCGCACAGGCGATGCGCGCCTCGCGGGCCGACGGGAACGGCACCTCCAGCTCGCTGGAGGCCTCGCGTTAAGGTGCGGTAAGGTTGCGCCAGTGGGGGGGTGGGGGGGGCGAGAGAGACAAAGGCGGTGTTGGGAACAACAACATCAGCTCGGGGTCCCAATATTTCATGTCTCGCACGGTCGCACATTGGGCAGCTGCTATTATTCTATACCGCGGCCGCCTCCTGCCCTAATCACATCGTTACACACACACACGTGTTTACACACGTGTTAGTTTACACACGTGGTGTTAGTCTACACACGTGTTAGTTTACACACGTGTTGTTAGTTTACACTCTTGTTAGTCTACACACGTGTTGTTAGTCTACTCACCTGTTTACACGTGTTAGTTTACACACGTGTTGTTATCCTACACACGTGTTAGTTTACACACGTGTCGTTAGTTCACACTCTTGTTGAGAACACATTTCACGGTGGTTGTCAAGCGCCCTCCCCGACTCATTGCTTTGGCCACCAAGGGACCCCCTCTCCCTGCCCCCACGCGAGTTGCGCTCCTGGTGTAAAGTTAACTCACTCCTCACAGACGAGTGCTGCTAATGTGAAGCCATCGCTTCCTTCCTTCTGCCAGACGACGTCGAAATTCGAAGGTGGCGCGCGCGCGTTCCTGCGACTTCTAGATTCGGGGCTGGCTTCTAGCCGGGTCTGCACACTCTGAACATACAGAAGAGTGCTTCAATGTTTTAGACACAAATATGACTATCGTCATGAATGTGATGTTAATAGCTTCAAAAAGTCACGAGTCCCCACTTGTTCTCGCCATCATTGTCAACGCGGGCCTGGAATCTTCTACAGGTGGTCTCTCCAGAGCCCAGAGGGCACACTTCTTGTGTTATCGTTGCACATCCTGAGAAGTGTTTACACGTGTTTCTTGAAGCACCACCCTGTACACGTGTTTCTTGAAGCACCACCCTGTACACGTGCTGTTTAAAGCACCACCCTGTACACGTGCTGTTTGAAGGACCACCCCGTACTCCCACCACCCGGCACACCACGTCGAGGAAAACTCCTCTCGCTATGCGCGTGCGACCAATTGCCCCGTGCCATCTCTCCCTGTGCTCACTGGGGTGATGCCGGATCCATGCCCTGTGCTCACTGGGGTACATCACCTCTACACTGCGGGCCGGGGACGGCAGTCTGTGCCGCACTATGATATATATATAACAGACTGTTGTCATCTACTTCTAGGCTCCCCCTGCTGCAAAACTCGCAACGACGCTCGTGGCGAGGCGCGCTCAGCTAGCCGCCGCACAGGCGTGGGAGGAGGGAAGAGGCCCTCATCCAGCAGTGGATTGGCAACCACCGCTCTCTCTCTCGTACTCGCCACTGCCCAAGCGGGGGAAGGATACAAGCCCAGCGGCTGCTCGCCCATCGTGTCGGGGGTGGAGGCCCTCGCGGGAGGTCCAAAGCGGCGCGCGTGGAGACCTCGAGCAGCGCCGCCTTTCCACGTGCGGCCCGGAACTCGGGCGGAAGCCGGAACGAAAGACCCACGACGGTTTTCCGGGAGGCACGGACAACTTAATTGGTGCGCGCCTATTTAAATGAGCACTCGGTGGAAGGGGGGGGGTGTGTGGTCACGTGGGCCCAGGCGCGGCCATGTTGCTACGGGAATGTCGCCATGGTTACAGCCCCCTGTGTGACGTCATCAAGACGTCGCAGCCGCTCGCTCCCTTACCAAGATGGCGTCCGCGATGCGCGTGCGAGGGTGGCGACCGTCGGCCCCGTGACGCCTCCTGGCGGGCGACGTCGGCGGAGTCGGAGCGGGCGACTCGGAAGCGATGGAGGTAGGCGGTGGGGCCCACACACGAACACTCGCCAGCCGTGGCGGCTGTGGCGGTATCCACCTGTCCCCCTTGTGTTCGTGACCTTTAGAGCCTCGTCCACCACTCGTCCTGTCGTTTATTGTCGATGCCCACCTGTGCCATTGTCCACCTGTGTGTGTGTGTCCATCTTTAGCCTTGTCGGCCTCTCGTCCGTATCCACCTGTGGCTTCGTGTCCACCTTTGTGTCAACCTATGCCCGTGTCCACCTCTCGTCCGTATCCACCTGTGGCTTGCGTGCCCACCTGTGTCATTGTCCACCTGTGTGTTTGTCCATCTTTAGCCTTGTCCACCTCTCGTCCGTATCCACCTGTGGCTTGCGTGCCCACCTGTGTCCGATGTCCGCCAATGATTGCGTGTCTCAACCCGTGCCCTGTCCTACTGACTGTGCCCGCGTCCACCCGTGCCCGCGTCCACCCGTGCCCGCGTCCACCCGTGCCCGCGTCCACCCGTGCCCGCGTCCACCCGTGCCCGCGTCCACCCGTGCCCGCGTCCACCCGTGCCCGCGTCCACCCGTGCCCGCTGAGCGCAGCAGCAGCGCGGGGAGGAGTGGCCACAGCTGACGCGGTGACAGCTCGTTAGTGGCCGCGCCGATTGGTGTTGTAAACGTCGCCGTGGCAATTAGCGTGGCAATTACAGGGCTGCAGTTGGTTTTTTTGTGACCAGGATAGAGGAGCAAGCAAGATAAAAGCAGCTTCGCCTTATTACCTAATGGGTGTACAGTGCAGTGCAGAATTCTCAAACCGGTTACTCTAATTTCCTTTTCACGATCGTTTTGGTTGCCGAGTGAAAACATTACTTTCGGTTCACTTAAAAAAAAAATCAAAGTTGCTGAGCATAGGCCTAAGGCAGTGATCAGCCAGCAACAAACAGCACTTTTGAGGGTGAAATAGAGAAGTGGAACACGATTTGTGAATTGAGCAAGGCTAATATTGTCAGAGCTTGTGGAATAGAGACGACGAACATGATATATTTATTATTTATTTTTCCCTACGTGACTTTACCGAAAAAACCTAAGAGGACGAAGATGATGACGGGAGAGCGAATTCCAAAGTGGAGCCGTTTGTGTCCTGCAGTGTGGAGCGGTGGTGCAGCGGTTAGCACGCTGCACTACGAACCAGGCAACCGGAGTTCCATTTGCACTCACGGTCAACGCCAGTGACCATTATCTGAACCGGTCTGGGCCTCCCTAGATCGACTCGGCCTCAAACGAGTAGCCGGTGCGGGGTGTAAACAGCACTGCGGAGACAAAGGTGGCCGGGCGTGATGCTGGCCACACCATCCCCTCGTGGTGTGGTCAGAACCTGCCCCAAAAGTCTGTTAAGTATTTAAGGGGATCTTTGTCTTAATTGTTGTTGTGACCTAGTGTGGCGGTCCAACGCAGTGTGAATGAGACGAAACGGTGTCTAATAGTTCGAGTCATTAACGTGGGTGGCGGAATAATTGAGTGAAGTTCAGAGGAGCGGTAACCATGCTAGTAGCGTTAGCAGAGTGATACGGAGGTGACTGATCGCCGGTGAGTGAGCGACTGGAGAGTGAATCGGGGAATGCTGGATCATCAATCACCCCGACCGCTTTGCGTTGAATTCTATCCGCTGGTGCAGTGAGGTACAGTAGGAACTGGGTGCTTCAGCCCGGATGCAGGGCTCCAAGCCGTGGGAATTGTCTGTGGTGTGTGGCGAGTGGCCCTGGTGAGTGTCTCTCTGTGCCTCTCAGAATCTAAAGCACGTGAAGGTGGTGATGGCCGCGTTCAGAGACGTGGCGAAGCAGCCGGTCGCTCTGCGCGCCAGGATTGGTCCCCAGATGAGGTCTCGCCACGGGGGGGCTTACAGCCTGGTGCACACCGGTGAGAGCGTCGCCCTAACCCCGCCAGCCTCGACTCACCCACGCGCACTCGCATCGCCCAGCCCTCGTTTACTCACCCGCACCGCAGCTCGGTCGCACTACCTGACTCGCGCACACATCACCAGCCCGGGCCCTCCCAGGTCTCACCGCACCTCACCAGCTGTCAGAACGCATCACTACACATCACCCTCACCTCGCCAACCTGTGACCTTGCCAATCTGTGACCTCGCCAACCTGTGACCTCGCCAACCTGTGACCTCGCCCAAATCTCATACCCGCTGCCCGGCACCCCCACCGCCCCTCCGTTGTGTGCGACAGAGTGGTCCTACCGGGACGTGGAGCGCGCCGAGTCCGTGGTCTGCAGCCTCAGCTACAGCGTGTTCCGCGATGGGGCGACCATTGTGGACACCAGCCCAGCGGGGGGGCCCACGGAGATGCACGCGGAGTGAGTGTGGGGGGGCGCTCCCCACGAGGGAGGGGCTCGAGCTGAGTGGATTGGCCAATTAAGTTAGTTGTTAATCAACTCTACATTCTAATCGATTACTTTTCTTTCGCTCGACTACTCGGGCCCCCTGTGAGAATGGAAGCCGCTTCTGCACCCTGCCTCGCGAAGGCGGGAAACCCCCACAAGCCACGCCCAGCACGACTGTGACGCTGATGACATCGCCAAGCCCCTCCCAGCGGCACACGTGGGGAACAGACGTGAAACTTTTTCCCTGTTTTCGTACTCTCTGATCTAAGTCGAGTAATCGAAGTGGCAATCGGTAGAGGGACCGCATGCTCGAGGAAAGGGTTAAATTCCTTCGACTGAGTGGATAATACGACGAAAATAGTTGTCGGAAAATGTCTGACACCGCACGCCATAGAAGTCACACCCAGGTGAATGTGTCAACCGCCTGGCAGGCTTGCCCTTAGAACTTCACTCAATTATTCCGCCACCCACGTTAATGACTCGAACTATTAGACACCGTTTCGTCTCATTCACACTGCGTTGGACCAGTCTGCCATTCACAGACTGCGTCATTTGTGTGTGTTTGTGTGCGTGTGTGACCCGAGGTTGATTTCCGCTCACAGCCACCAACACCAGTGACGATTATCTGAACCAGTCCGGTATTTCCCCTCTTTGGACTCAGCCTCAAATGAGTACCTGGTGCGGCATGTCAACATCACTTGGGAAACAAAAGCGACTGGGCATGGTGCTGACCACCCACCGCCTCGTGTGCCATGCCGGCTCACTAACAGTTCTTGCCTGAACCGTTGACTAAGGCTAAACGAGAGACCTTTGTCTTTGTGTGTGTGAAGGTTGAAGCGCAGCGTGTCCCCGTCAGGGACTCTAACCGCCATTCTGCGCAAGATTGGGGGAAAAGGCGGCGCAGAGGAGAAGCAGTTCCTCGAGGTGATGGCAGTGATTGTCACCGCACGGCGTTACGCTGCGTTACGCTGCGTTACGCTGCGTTACGCTGCGTTACGCTGCGTTACGCTGCGTTACGCCACGTAGCATTACACCAAATACCTTACCGTGTTGCACCACACACGAGACATCGCCGTCGCGTGCCGTTAGCATCTCACCGTGGTCGTTGTGCCGTCGTGTGCCGTAGATCTGGAATGGGAACCTCAAGGAGAAGAACATCGACCTGGAGGCTCTGGAGCAGCACGGGAAGTTCTACGATGACGGTGAGAACACGAGGAGTGTGGCGAGGGGAGACCGTGCGTGCGTGCGTGCAGTGGGGGGTGCAGCGTGACCCGTGGGAGGTGTGGTGTGACTCGTGCCGCACGCAGGGCAGTTTGGTGTGCTGGCCTGGTCCAACTCGGAGTCGCATCTTCTCTACGTGGCCGAGAAGAAACGCCCCAAGGGGACAACGTTTTTCCAGAGTCGCCCACCCAGCGCCAACACCGCCCAGACAGACGCCCCGGTAACACACACCTCCTTCACACAGACCCCCTTAGTACAGACCCTGGTACCACAGACCGACAAAAAGCTAAAGTATTATTCTGCATAAATGTTGAGTTTGCGGCTGCTCTACATGCGCATGTGTGCGTGTCTGGTGAATCCCCCCGTGTGTGCGTGATGTCTGCTATGTGTGTGTGTGTGGTGTCCCACCGTATGTGCGTGTATGTGTGGTGTCTCCCCCATGTGTGTGTGTGTGTCGTACCACCCCTGTATATGTGTAATGTTTCCTCTGTGTGTGTGTGGTGTCTCCACCCCCGTGTGTGTGTGTCGTACTACCCCTGTATATGTGTAATGTTTCCTCTGTGTGTCTGTGTATATGTGATGTCTCCGCTGTGTGTGTGTGGTGTCTCGCTCCTGTGTATGTCTCTGCTGTTTGAGTGTGTGATGTCCCCCGTGTGTGTGCGTGCGCGTCATGTCTCCACTATGTGTGTGTGTGTGATTTCTCTGCTGTTTGAGTGTGTGATGTCCCCCTTGTGTGTGTGTGTGCGTCATGTCTCCGCTGTGTGCGTGTGGTGCTAGGGAGACAAGTTCCTGTTCCGCGAGGATTGGGGAGAGGCGCTGGTGAACAAGAGCGAACCCGTGCTGTGCATCCTGGACGTGGTGAGCGGCACCGTGAGCGTGCTAGACGGGCTCCCACCGAACATCAGCCCGGGGCAGGTGAGCCACTCGGCACATGTACACGATGCTCACCACCCCACTCAGCACATGCACACGATGCTCACCACCCCACTCAGCACATGTACACGATGCTCACCACCTCACTCAACACATGTACACGATGCTCACCACCCCACTCAGCACATGTACACGATGCTCACCACCCCACTCAGCACATGCACACGATGCTCACCACCCCACTCAACACATGTACATGATGCTCACCACCTCACTCAACAC